ATTCTTAATTATTTTTTTACTGTTCTTTTATTAAAAGCCTTTTTAGCTTTTTCTTTATCTGTTGGTTCCAAAGCCTGAGTTACAGAGAATTGTGAAGACTTGCTCTGAAATCACTCTAGGAAAAGTCACAGCTTCTCTCTTTGTGGGAGGAGCAGGTGCTGAATGAAGCAGTTTACTGGCTCAGCCTAAACATCCTCTAATCGCCAACTTTGTAATGGGCGTCGTTTTTATGCTCCAGCGCAAAAAAAATAAAAGTTTTTCCAATTCTTTTGTGCACTCTGCCATAAAACTGTTGAACTCTGGTAGAGGTGTAGTGTAGGGCAGTGTTTTTCAACCTTTTTTGAGCCAAGGCACACTTTTTTCACTGAAAAAATCTTGCGGCACACCTCCAGGAGAAAGTGTAAAAATGTATACAGTACTAATGTAAAAAAATATATACTGTACATACTCTGTGTGATATATAAAGTATATCTTATCTTATAATGTATACAGTATACTCTGTAGCCTATATTCACAATATACAGTTATTCTCATCAAAATGCTTAAGTCCAGGCCTTGACATTAAGCTTTATTTAATATTTCTCGATACAATTAACAAGAGTTTGGGAATAAAGTGGCACTAACTGTGTGGAAAAAAACTAAGAAAATCCACTCTCTGCCCAAATAGTCAAATAATAACTCACACAAAGAACATGCATTGTTAGTGCATAGGAAACATTTTGGTATCCGAGCTTTAAATTCAGGAGTTTTGGATGAGGGACACGGGAGGTCCTGAACGCGAGTCCATGGTTCTGTCCGGTCCGCATGTCTGTGGTTCTGTCCACTCGACTACGGTCTGCGCTCGGTACCCAGTTCAGAAGTGCGTTCGCGAGAGCTGTTGTACAAAAATGGTAAATTTCATAGTTAAACCACTACAACGCGGCCACAGCTACCCCGGGGCAGAGCGGAGGATGTTAATCCTGTTCAGAAACGGCATAATTCATTTTCAAAAACGTCTCTATCACTTTCACTTCTCACTCGCCACAAAGCTCTTGTCTCGCTCCCTCCCACATTTGTTGGTCGCATCCAATTTTACCTTTCTCGCCACAATGCTGACCTGTTACAGCCAGTGGTCGCATCCAATTTTTCAGTTTCAAAGTACTTAGCTATCTGCTGCCATCTACTGATTTGAAAAAGTATTACATGGTTACTCACAGTTCAAAACAAGTCACCGCTCGTCAACAGCGAATGCAGCTATTTTTAGACAAAGTAGACGAATTTCTCACGGCACACGGCACACCAGACAATATCATACGGCACACTATGTAGGGATGTAAATCGGTGACCGGTTAACCGGTCAAAGCTGTCGGTTAAAAAAGAGCGGGTCTGTCTCTAGCTGTTTGCGCCAATGTATTAAACTCCGAGCCGACTTTCATGCCGCACGCGCCGCGCACATACATACACACACACACACACATATGCACACACAAGTGCCATTTCACACTCGCGCACCTTTTCCCCGTTCCATTCATACGCAACATCCACACGCATCATCCATACTCTACATTGGAGCATACACACATACATTTACACACACATACATTTACACACACATACATTTACACACACATACATTTACACACACACACATTTACACACACACACCGGTCTGTCGCGCTCCTCTGTGTCACGTAGCCCAAATACGCGGCTTCAGTCAAACCCCATGGAACATGTTTGTGCTGCTGGTCCTTGTCATTAGATCAGCTCCACACACGTCACTTTATTTACACTTTAGCGGAGACCAGCGAGACGCGGCTCGTCACTCGCTGCTCTGACCATGTGGACGAGCCGTCGTTTGCTGCTGAAAAGCTTTAGTTTTAACCCGCAGCTCAGAAGAATGGGAAGATTAAAAAAGCAGTTCTATGTGCGCAAAGGTGCCGAAGCTGTCGTGGGTTTTGGCGCCGCTGTCTCGCCTCTGATCCATTAGAACGCAGAGCTGCACTTATGAAAAGTACGCGACTCAAAATGGCTGTTATTTCAAAGAACGTGGAATATTTAAAACTACACGGTTAACCGGTTTCAACCGGTTAATGAGGCTCGGTGGTCGGTCATGAAAATTCATAGTTTTTTACACTCCTAGTGTAGTGTATTGTATTTTTTTTTAACTTATATTGTAACGTGCTGCTGCGTGAACGTGTATGTTGTGCTTTAAAACCGGATCAGAATTTCTCAAAGGTGTGGTTCTCGTTAATAAAATCTGTATAAAAACAATTTTCTCTTGGATATAAAAGGAAGTTTTGAAATGGGTCTAAAATTATTAAAATCTGTGGTGCTTAAATTAGGTTTCTTTAAAGGCACACCGCGGACTTTGTGACCTAAAGAGTTGACACATATGAGTTATTTTATATGAATACTTGGGCCAATATACAGCGCTTGACACTTGCAATGCTCCGAGCGGGGCTGCCCTCTTGAAATACCGCCCATGTAACTTTCGAGCAGACGGACCGTCTGCCACCAGGTCACGTGACTTGGAAGAAAGACTTGCTTTACGGCTACAGGCGCTGATATACTCATGGAGCTAAGGCTTTTGCTACTCATTTTTCACCTGCTCGACTCCTGGTCATGGCTGAGGCAAGGAAAAATTTTAAACCTTTGGAGGAGGCTAAAAAGAGGAAACGCGAAAGGGATCGTGCTGTAAGCTGCATGTCTGTATGAGCGCTGCTGTTCACCTGGTTCCTGGATGTCATCGACCGCAACGATGTCATTCCACGCAGCACGAGCTAGACGCAGAACTCCCTCATCCAGGATATAGAAGTCCATGTGTGGTAGATTACTAATGCAGCGGTCTGGAGGCTGACCACAGCAGAGTCTCTCAATATCTGTAGGCATGTCTCTACAGTTTGAACACACACACCAGTGCATGCTGTCTGAATACACACTCAAAAGACACCGGCTGACTGTTTGACTTTTGCGACAGTGCTGAGTTGCTTGTGGCCACTAGGGGCGCTAAACGTGAAAGTTGCAGGTCTAGCGCCCCTAGTGGCCAAGAGTTACACGGTGTGCCTTTAAAAGTGGCTGGACCACAGAATGTTTTAAACTGGATGGGACAAGACCTTGGTCCAGGGACTGATTAAGGATTGATAAAATGGAGGGTCCAACCACATTAAAAACATCTTTGAGAAATTTGGTGGGGATGACATCGAGGCTGCACGTGGTTGGTTTCATGTGGAATAAAATGTCAGATAAAAGAGAAAGGGATAAAAGGCGTAAAATTAGTAAAACAATTAAAATCCAGAGTTTCTCTATTATGAAAATGGCTTGGCTTGGAACAGGTATTTGGGCCCGGATATCAGTGATCTTTTTGATAAAAATTATTTTAAAAAATGTTCACACAGCTCAGTGGATGCATCATTAAAAACACAGGAACTGGAGTTTGTAATGGAATTAAAACTCTAGGATTTGAAATGTTTTAACTGAAGGTATTTGAATAAAATAAGGTTCTTGCTTCCTTGACTACGTCTTGATACTGTTTTTGGCTCTTTCCAGGTGAGGTGAAATTCTGTGAGGAGTGTCTTTTTCCATTCCCGTTCATATTGTCTACATGTCCTTAATAGTATGCGAGTGTTTTCATTGAGCCATGGTTGTGGTGTTCTGGTGGGGTTTCTTTGTTTAAAAAGGTGCAATGGTGTCTAAAATCTTAAGTGATATTTGATAAAAAAGAGGAGACCTGCTCCTCCAGGCTAAAATGTTGGTTAAATGTTGGTTAGTCAAGGAATCTGCGGTAAAAAGTTGGGAAAATGTAAGAGCAGACGTGGAGTTAAAACACGAGAGTGGAACTGTATGTGCGTCTCGAGATGCATGCATGGACTGCGCGGCAGAGGCGCAAGAGCGGAAAATCAACGCACGCAGGAAATAAACATTGCTGAACTTTTTCCTCGGGACGCTCGTGCAGCGACCAATGAGAGCCACAAAGTGGTCACAGGGACATTAGCGGTCTCGCGAGCAGACTGAAAATACTCGTAAACAGCCAAAACAGAAGCTACACCAGGACTAAACCAGGATTGACAATGGGGGACACGGTGCTTCTGAAGTTATAATATATAATTGTAATAGTTATAATTCTCTAAACTAGTGCAGCTAGCGTGTTCGCCGATGCGGAAATATCGTTTAATAATAAAATAAACGTATGCCGCACCTCCATGAACACATACAACTGTTATATAAAGTCTCTGGACTCAGAGAAGAACTTTACACAAAAAGCCGCTAGCTTAACTCCGTTGGCATCAAAGCCTGCCTGCTACTTCAACCGCAGGCCAGGACTTCTGGTCTGAACACCCCTAGCCTCTGAAATTTAGAGAATGTGTGTCTAGTGCACGCCAAAGCTGCGTTCCAGCGTCGGCGGTCTGAACACCCCACAACACCCCCAGCCTCAGTCTGGTGGAAAACTTCTAACCTATGGGACTTGAGACCGGCTCGGGCGTCCTCCACAGAACAGTGACACAATTTACCGACCAAAAGATATGCGTGACCATTAGTGACTAGGCCTGTCACAATAACAAATTTTGCTGGACGATTAATTGTCTCAGAAATGATTGCGATAAGCAATAATATTGTCGTTCTGAGATAATTTTCATCTAATACAATGATAATGATGCAGGTGCACCTTTTCAAAGAGAAATAAACTTTTATTTTTAAAGACCACCGCCGGAAGTAAAAAGCCGCAAGCTTGATGCTGTATTTTGTATTTTTGATTTGCTAGACTGCTAATGTTCCCGTGACAACTTTGCGGCTCTCTGACCCGAGAGAGAGAGGGAGGGAGAGATGGGGAAAACAAACAAGCATGCAAATGGAATTTATCGCGGCCAGGAAAATTATCGAGCTAATTTTAATTATCATGCGATTAATTGATTTATTGAATATCGGGACAGGCCTATTAGTGACTTAACACCCTGTAGTGAGAAGGGGGAATGGGACAGCGTTGTGCGGAGCTTGTGGGAGGATGCGTGCGATTGACAGCTCACCTGGATGTCCCTTTGCAGCAGCCGGTTGGACAGAGTCTTGAGGGAGGGGCGGGGCTCACGAGGCAAACCGGCCAATCGCGTGAGGAGGCGGGAACAGCTGGTGTCTCTGATCATGTGACCAGGATGTGAAAGGTCCAAAGACGAGAGGTCAAAGTGCACAGAGTGTCCAACCAGTACTTTACCAAGAAGCAGAGACTGGACCTGAGGGAGGACCAGAGACCAAGGTTAGACCACATTTAGATCAGAGAGAGAGACTAAAGGAGGACCAGAGACAAATCAGAGAGAGAGACCAGAGAGAGTTCAGAGAGACCATAGAGCATGGCTCGGCAACCCTCAGCTCTGGAGACACATGTGGTTCTTTAGTGCGCCCCAAGTGGCTCTTCATAAATGTATGAAAATAGTAGGGAGGGGTATATTTTATTTTTTGTTTTAATGTGGCTTCTGTAGGAGGACAAACATTCTCAACGTTTCCCAATGCTGTAAAAGTGTGCAAAATAAATATTCAATTTCAAAAATTTTGTCAACGTAGATTTGCGTCATAGCCTGCAACAGGATTCAGAGCAGCCCCGAGCCAGGCACCCGCTGTGCTACATGGATCCCAAAGCTAAACAGAGAAAGAGGCAATGACAATAGGAGCTTAGACTGCAAACATGCTCGGAGGACGCAAATTTGTTTGAAAAAACACAGTCCATGGCATTTCATACAGCTTTTCACATGGCACCTTAATGTCAATGTAAAGGTCAATGACCCTAGTCATTGAACAACATGGCTTCATAACAGAGACTACCAGACAAGAACAACTCCCGCAATCTAAAACTACAGAGAGTGGTTACTTATTTATGTAATGCAGATTTTTTTTATGTTAATGTTGCAGAAGCACTTTGTTCCTATGCACTTCCTGCCTTGAGTTGTTTTATTTGTTGATGAAGAAAGGGATATTTATTTACCAGTTAAATTATCATTTTTGAACACAGGAAATTATAATAAATGTGACACATTTTTCTACTTGATCTTACTACTTAACGCAGCTTCCATGTGTGCAGGGATTTTTTTTATTTACTTAAAAAGGTACATTGTAGTTTTTACTGCTGTCTAGTGTTGAGATCATATATTGCAGTCCAAGGTACTACGGAAGCCTTCAAAATATGTTGTCTTTGATAGCACTCCTCAACTCTCAGTCATTCACCGGAGCCAAGGAAAGAATACTTTAGTTTGATAAATGAACGGATCTCTCCAAACGTCTCGGGCACGTGACAGTCGAGTGGAGGCGACATGTAAACAGGACCGCGTCCTGAAGGGGCACCCGCTGCACAGAGGCTTTACTGAGTTTTACCATGGATCTATTATAATACATAGTTTTACAAACGCAGTGTGGAGAGAAGAGACGCATGGAGGAATAACGTCTGTGGGAGCTTAAATCTACGAAGATCAAAGAAGCAGGAGATATACACAGCCGCGGCAAGACATGGCTAAAAGCTCATGGTATTATTGGCGTTAGCCACGGCACTATCTGCATCACGGTAAGAAAACAGAACATTCACTCACGCTACTGATAAAGTTTGCTGTTATGACGTCTGACTTTTGCATAATTATTTTTTTAAGATTATTGTTCGGGTCGTTCTTTTACATAACTGTGATCCTCCATGGTTCCTTTTTCAAACTTGTGAGGGCACGGTGAAAGCAACGATATCAGTAGTAGTAGAAACGAAAACGTGATTCTCGCATTCTTTTTGTCACTTAACCATTGCAAAAACATGGTGGTAAATATTCTTAAAACGGTCACGTTTGTTATTAGTTAACATGTTTTTTCATATGGAGCAACAAAAAATGACACAGGGTGGCTTTAAGAACACATCTACTCATACAAATAATATTGCTAATAAAACAATAATGACAACAAAACGGCAAAGCGGGCGGCTACATGACTTCTTTCCATCTGACAGCCCTGCTGCTGGTTCTCCTCGTCTCTTGATTGGTTGACGCCTAGGATCAAGCTCGAAAAGCTCATCATTTCTCAAATTTGGCGTCATGGGATGTTGACACCAAAAAGTGACGCGCATCATGTGAAACCTTCTCCGCACCACCATTCATTTTAAATGACATTGAAACATGACGCCCACAAAGTCAAAGTTGAGTGCGTTGTGAACATGCCACCATATTGGACCTGCACTACAAAAGATCTGAGCCTCCTCATCGAGTAGAGCCCGCTCTGGCCCTTCTTGAAGAGAGTGTCTGTATTACGAGTCCAGTCGTGTTTGTGATTCAGGTGAACACCCAGGTACGTAAGAGTCTACTCTCTCAATGGATGTTCACTGGGGCTGGAGCGGTAGTGTAGCTCTCTGCCTTTATTGTCCCGGGAAAGTAGCTCTCTGGTTGAAAAAGGTTGGAGACACCTGGTGTAGAGGGTGAACAAAGACTCACCTGTTCCCGGGTGTGGCTGAGGGGCGTGGCCTGGCGAAGGTGGCACTTCCTGATTCCACTCCATTGGCTCCTGAAATCAGTGACTTGTCCAATGGGTAGGACATACTGGTCGAACAGGACCTCTCCACTGTAACCAACAACAGAACAACGGGCAACCTCACTGACGCGACCACCGGGACCAGTGCCAACCATCTCGCAGTCCAGAGAGACCACCCGAGTCTGGACCAGGATGGGGAGAAGAGCCAAAAGTCACATATCACAGAAAACCAATTCACAGTCCAGGGAGACCACCTATTGTCGGTGAGGTTTTATTTATCCTCTCACTGTTTTTTCTCGCTGGTCTCTCACCACTCTGAGTGTCTAAACTGTGTCTAATCAGTGACTCACATGTATTGCTGACTCCGCCCGGACAGGAGAGCTCCGCCCACTCACAGGAGAGCTCCGCCCACTGCTGAAGCCGCTGTCTGACTCTGCCTCTGATTGGCCCACGGCAGTCTGCAAGCGTTGTGATTGGCTGGTTTGAACCCTTGAGTTCAGTGATTGGCTGTTTTGAACCTGTGACTGAGGTAAATGGCTCGTTTGAACCTGCAAGCTCTGTGATAGGCTGGTTTTAACGTTTGAGGTCTGTGATTGGATGGTTTGGGAGGGTCCGCTTTGTGATTGGCTTGTATGAATGGAAGAACTTTGAGATTGGCTAGTTTGAGGGTGGGAGCTCTGTGATTGGCGTTTTAGTCTTTTTGTAGTTTTTTCCACCATTTTCAGCTTTCGTTTCATTTTTTGTCAAAGAATAAAATAGTGTTTTAAACGTGAACAAATTACTGTTTTATAGGTGACTATGTGCTTTCTCTGTGTCCATCTCCAACTCTGGAAACAAACAAAGAATAAAGAGTTATCTTCACAGTGCCCATTGTGCTCCGCTCAGACAACAGAGGCCCAAACCCTAACACACAGAGACCACATAAACCATATACACACTCACAGAGACCATAGAAACACAGACTGACCGGTCTCTACTTCAGTCCCATAGATGTTCTTATGAACACATGATCTCGCTCGCACGCGCACAAACACACACACAGCTCATGCAGCTCTATCCACACGTGGGGCTATTACGAACCAGGACTAGAGCCGCGGTTTTAAAGGGAAGACCTGGCGTTTCTCGCATGAGGTCATGCGATTGGAACATGACGTCATCTGTTTAGTGTTTTATATGACATTAAGTTGTTTTACCTGAGCTCGAGATCAAGAACCGCATGCTGCACGTGTCCGGAAGTGACTGTGTGACGCCAGAGGTCCAAACAAGTCGGTCAGCGTGAGGGCGCCCTCCGGTGGCGCACGGGTTGAAGTTTTATCAAAGTGCAAATGTGATGCTGACTGATGAAGCATGACTTGGACCTGACCTAAGAGCTGGTCCGTGAGGGTTTTTATTCTGTCTAGGATTACATGATTCTTGCTCCACATTTTCAGCCTCAGGTTCTATAGTTATTCAGTCCACTTCAAGAGAATGTGAACTTTCTACCCACATGAAAGTAAAATAAAAAGCCACTTCTGCAGGTGAAAACAGGCTGCAGGTCAGATTGACTTCGTTCTTGACCCTTGTGCAACACTTGAATCCAAATAACCCATCAGTGAAGTTAAAAGTAAACACATTTGATCCTAAGTTAGGGCCTAAAAGACCCAGGAGAGTCAAAGGTGGTAAAATCAGCCTCAAAATGTTTTATAAGGTTGAACTTATAGCATGGGTTTATTAGCCCATAACGGCCATCCATTTTCTTCCCTTAAATCCATTTCTGCATGGGGGCTGACAGTCAGAGCTGCACTCAATTCACATGACACCAGCCCCTCACTGATTCTCCTGCAGGTAGAGTCCACTGAAGCCATGATCTTTACAGGGGTTCAGGCAAAGTGGGGTTAAGGGTCTTGCCCAAGGACACAACAGCAAACAGTGAGTCGTGAAGTAGATCTCATGGTGGGCCATCCGACCCACTGTCGCCTGATGACTCTTCAGTGATTAAAAGTAATTAGGGTCTAAAAGGCCCAAGGCTGATAAAGTAAAAATAGAATTCATTCCAAATGTATTTAAAAAAATGACCGTAGGTCAATTTGGGATATTGCTAATATAAATACACACTGCTTTATTCTCCGATCTGTTGGTGAATCCACAACTTTGTAGTGCCATACACAAATAAAGTGAGCACACATGTTTGTACAACTTTATTTGAAAACTAGGCCATGAGCACACAGGCACCTCCAGCTGCCCGGATCTTCTCTTCTGCTCTGCGGCTGAAGAACTTTGCTTTGACGATGACTGGCTGTTTGGGCAGTTTCCCCTTCCCCAGGACTTTGTAGTAGCCCTGAAAAAAACCACAGGATTAGAGCCACCACACAGACTGTAGAACCATTTATCATTTAACAATTACCCATTCAGAACATTTATCTGCCGATTGATCTCAGCTTCACTAAAACCAGATTTCTAGCTTGCAGTGGGATGTCTGACCCCAGTGGAGACTGCCCCCTCCGGCTTAAGGGTATACCATGACAGCTCGTATTAGAGCAGCTGCTGCCACACTCACCGCTCGAACAGCATCAATGATGGGTGCTGCTCCCTCTGGCTTCTTGGCGTACTGCTCCCGTGTCTGCTCGCTCACCAGCGTCCACAGTTTATCCAGGTTGATGGTTGGGCAGTGGGTCATGTTCCTCTTCAGGTGGTAGTGTCTCATGCCCACTTTGCCAAAATACCCAGGGTGACTGAGGAGACAAGCAGGTTCAATCATCTGCCCTAAACCCAAGGTGACGAGGAGAGTACATGCAGAGTATATTTAGACTATTGCAGGAGAACAAACTCATGAAACTCACTATTTATCAAAGTTGATCCTGTGGTGGTGCATTCCTCCAGCGTTTCCACGACCTCCAGGATGCTTTCTGTGTTTACCTGAAACACAACAGTCAGGGGTCAGTCCTCAAGGAGCCCACCTGGCCTTTAGAGCAGCTTTTATGGACAGAAAGGTGAAAAAGAGCACCAACCACACTCAGCTCTCAGCCCAAAGAGGCAAATAAACTCACAGGTACTTAAGAAATGTGACAACCTAAAGTTTAAGCCTTGCACAGGCCCTGTGGTGGCTTTCCTCAAGTCATGAACAAGATTAAAGTTAGAAAATGGAGAATCTCCAGGACAGATTTGCTTTACAGTTACAACTGGGAGCTGTAACCCCGTGTTCTAAAGGGCTCTAGAGCAGCCCTTTAGAAACAGATTGTGATCGCAAATGTACAGACCGATTAACAAGGGAAGTCCCAGCCCTAGATGTCTATTGTATGTGTTTAATGGGAGGAGAAACCAGATTTCCCAGATCAGTAAGGCTTCATCTGGTGAAAAACCAAGAGAAGCACCTAAACCAGACATGGGCAAACTTTTCCTTCTGAGGGCCACATTGGAAATTAGGTCCGGATAACATATTCCAATGTTTTTCTCAGGCTTCATTTTAAAACAAAAATGTATTGTATCTGCGCACAGCACAGAGGGGGATTGTATGAGGTTTAAACTGAAATCACCCCCACTGTGGGATGAATATTCTTATTCCTAATCTCTCTTAATCTTAATCTATATAAATTGAGGAGGCTTCAGGGGCCTGATAGAAGCATCCAAAGGGCCGCATCTGGCCCACGGGCCGGGGTTTGCCCACCACTGACCTAAACCCTGTCAAACTCACCCACACGCCCGTGGCCATGGCTCACGTGACCCCTCAGCTTCCTGGTCTTAGTCTTCTTGGTCGGCTGAAAAACAAAACATCACATCACTTTAGATTTCTGCCATTTCCAGATTAAGGCTCAATTTTTAAACAGCAACATATTCTGATTAGAACTGCTCCATCAGCCTCAAACACATCCTCAGATCTGCAGCTACAGAGTGTGCATTTGAAACATGGGTCATACATGCACTAAACCGTCTTAATACAAACCTAAGAATTAGTGAAGTCAGTTTATACACAGCTCCTATGAGCAGTTACGGTGTGAGTAATGTGAAGTTACTGTATTCAATCCGTTTGTGCACATGGGAGCAGTGTCATGACTAAAGCACATCAGAAACAACAAAACAGACCTCACTGGACTTTACATTTTAAACAGCGGCTGATTCTAACAGCTATAACATCACAGCCACAGATGATACCATTTAACACAATCACTGTTAGTATATACAGACTCAGACCGCTTAAGCTACACTCGGCTAATGCTAACAGCATAACACTGCTTCACAGCCGCATAATACACCATTCTAAAACACACTTCAAATACCATTTTAATCACATTTTAAACATTACACGTGACACACCGCTCTAAATGTCTTTGTGGTTCAGACATCCTCTGGTCCCGGTTCATTTACGCTAACCGGGACACTACGGGACAGTTCAACTCTTTGCCCGGTCTTTCCCCACACATATCCCGGGCTGGGGCCAGGTGGGTACGGGACGAGCTCCGGGGAGCATTCGGAGTCGCGGATGGAGTTGTTGTCGCGGAGGATGGAGGCAGATGAGATCGTAAACTCAGACCACGGAGGAGAAACACACTCACCATTTTGGACGTGGGAGAAAGAGGAAGTACAGAGGAGGAAGAAGCGCTTATGAGGAGCGCGCCGCCGGTGGACTACACCAGTACTGCAGCCCGAAACAGCGCTGGGGTTATGGGTAAGATAAGATAAGTCAAGATAAGTGGAACACAGTGGAAAAAATTCAATGTCAACGTTGAACACATTACAGCCGATTATAAGAAAGGAGAAAAAAAGAGCACTCAGATTACACCCATAAAACAGGATCTATTTTTTAATACAATAGATTATAAAATTAATCAAGATTAAATAAATAGATAGACAATTAAATAAAGTGAAACTGGAGCGATAATTGCACTTGGTTCAAGGATAGCACACTAGTGGAGTATACACTATAAAGGGTCAGCAGGAGGTATTTACAGATGTTTATTGTTGGTAGTAGATTGTAATGTAGCAGCAGAGAATATAAATAAACAATGGTAATAATAGCAGCAGGTAAAGTGACTAGTGAATTGACTAGTGAACAGAAATATCAGGTGAGTGGAGTATGTAGTAATGTAGTAATAATACTAACAGGTAATGTTACTAGTGAATTATCAGAACAGGTGAGTGGCACGTGTATAGACTCAGCAGTTTTCAGTTAGAGTTAGTGTCCTATTGTGGAAGGCCAGGGCCGTTTTCATGTGGTTAATTTTACATTTTATTTATCAAAAAGCTACTTTAAATTATTACTAATAACATGGAACAACATAGTTACAAAACTTTATTGGGTCTTGACCGCTGATCAAATTAAATAAGCAACACACCAGTTTGAGTTTGAAATTAAGAGATCCTTTATTTGTCCCACAGTGGGGAAATGTACTAATATTTAAAATGTACTGTACTACTATCACATAGAGAGGAAGATAAAAAGAGAGAGAACGAGACCAGAGAGAGAGGCCAGAGAGAGAGACCAGAGAGAGAGACCAGAGAGTGCAGAGAGAGACCAGAGAGAGAGACCAGAGAGAGAGACCAGAGAGTGCAGAGAGAGACCAGAGAGAGAGGCCAGAGAGAGAGACCAGAGAGAGAGACCAGAGAGAGAGGCCAGAGAGAGAGACCAGAGAGTGCAGAGAGAGACCAGAGAGAGAGGCCAGAGAGAGAGACCAGAGAGAGAGGCCAGAGAGAGAGGCCAGAGAGAGAGGCCAGAGAGAGAGACCAGAGAATTCTTCACTTAATGTGAGCAGCACTTTGGTTGTGTTTATAAAATGAAATAAATACTGGATTGTTCTGCAGCTGATACACAGCTCTTCTTTGTGGTCTTAACATATCTGAGTAAAGGTTTAAATCAAACACAGGAACAGGATAAAGCCTGTGTTCAGCTGCACAGCTAAATATTTCATTATTATTGTAGCGTTGGATTTCAGACATGCGCAGTGAGGCTCTGTCTACATCCCAAACTCAATTAATACCTCCTCTTAAAATCACATTAAATGTCTAAAGCAGAAAAAAGGAGGGGGTGAGAGGAGGGTGGAGGATAGATTAGATAGAAGAGGAGGTCGGAGGGAGGAGGATAGGATGAGAGGAACGGAAATGAGAGGAGGCAGGAGAGAGGAGAGATGAAAACATTCAGACGCGGCCTTATGGATGCTCAGTCACGCATGCGCACTTGTCCCTGGATCCCCGTGTTTTCCGGTTCTCATCCAGTCTATGTTCTCATCCCGGCCTCAGGATCAGTCTCCAGTCCAGATTCCGACTCTTGTCCCGGTCCCAGGCCTGGTCTTTGGTCCTGGCCCGTGAGTTGTCATTATGACGGTCACCGCGGTGCAGCGCCTGACTGTGGCCGCTGTGGTGACGCTTTGTGCGGCCGTGATCCTGCCCCGAATCCTGAGGAGAGATGCCCCGGAGGAGTCAGGTACCGCCCGTGTCAAGTGTGTCTCTAACCCTGGGGAGACGAGTACCGCCCTCATTATGTGTGCCTCTATTCTCAGGTTCCAGAGCGAGTTTTAAAACGACATATAAACGGGTACATATAGTGGATACATAGACAACAGTGGGTCCATAAGGATCTATTTTTTAATTTCTTTATTTATTTACATGTTTTACTTTTTTTGTATTTATTTATATTTTATTGAACGTTTTTAACTTTTTACACTTCAAAAGACAAATAATAAGAGATACATTGTCATTATTTGCTTCACCTGAAACATCTTTGCACTTAGACATGGGTTTTGTACATGTTCTCCAAAAAGTTTAATAACATAAACAATAAATAAAAATGATGAAAAAACAGAAATTGACAAATATACTCTTGCTTACACATATATACATATACCCACATACATGTATACACATATACACACATTAAAATATAAACACAATGAACACAGTAGCCAATAAACCAGGGTGTGGTGTGGGTCCATTCTATTTTTCCGGTATTCTTCCCCCAACCATTAGCTATATCCGAGAGTTATGTTGTTCAACATACATCATCCAAACTCTCCAGACCTTGTTAAATTTGTCAGCCTCGAGCCTCAGCATTGCTGTGAGTTTCTCCATTTTGCAAATGCTTTGCATTACCTCCACCCAATCTTCTACATTAGGTACCTGATCACTTCGCCATTTTCTGGTCAATGTCTATTTACAAGCCAATAGCATGATCCTTAAAAGTTTGTATTCTTCACTTCCCTTCAAATTTAAGTTTCCTATCATATCTAAGTACATAACTTCAAAATCATATTTATGTTTTTATTTATTCATAAGGATCTATTACGATTAGATTTGTACCCACAATTTCAGTATTTGTGTAAAACCTAAATTACAGCAGCAGTCGTCAATGGGGACTTTACAAAGTTGTCGATTCCTCAACAACAGATCAGAGAATCAAACAGTGGGAGCACAAGAAATGCAATAAAAACAAACACATAGAAGCTATTGGTCCCAGGGAGCGGGATGACCACCCTACAGAATGGTTAATAAATGTGTATAAAAGCAAAGTAAACCCAACAGGGTTTGGAAAAGTACTAATACAACTTGCACACATCAGCATACAAACTTTGTTCCAATGATGAAAGAACTGGAAAGAGTCTAGACCAATGCAAACTTACCAAGACACAGCTTTCCATCTAAACCAACAACAACAATGTCCCAGCCCTACTCCAGACCACAGAGTGCACATGAGGAGTAGACTGACATCATCGTGTTAGCCTTAATGCAGAAGAAGCCCATTTGAACATGCTAGCTGGAGCCAGTTTCCTGATATGGGCATATGTTCTTTGGCGTTAACTTCACACCTTAACAGGGGCAGATGTGTTGCTAGTTTAGTGGAGTGTAGTGGAGTTTACCAGCAAATGAAGGCATCTGATTGGTCACTCCTTATGTGGCTCAATATCTGGATTTACAAAGACATTATCACAATATAAAATGGTGAGTGTGATACAAGCTGTTAGTGATAAGATAAGAGATAAGATAAGATGTGCTTTATTTATCTCACAGAGGAGAAATTTACATGTCACATTTGGCATGGATAGAAACACTCAGATTGTGCAAAAGGAGTAAATGTGCAAACATGTTACATGCAGGATATATGTACAATAAAAATGACAATAATTATGTACAACAAAAGTGACAAGTGTCAATTGGAAACAGTGTCAATAGTAGTCCAGGTTTTCACACAGTGATCATTTAAAGTGACTTATTGTACAGTCTGACAGCGGTGGGGATAAAGGCCCTGCGGTAGCGCTCCTTCCTACACTGAGGGTGTCTCAGTCTTCCACTGAAGGAGCTCCTCAGCTCCTCTACAGTCCTGTGCAGTGGGTGGGAGGTGTTGTCCATGATGGAGGTGGCTTTGGCTAGCACCCTCCTGTCCCTCACCTCCTCCACAGAGTCCAGGGAGCAGCCCAGAGTGGAGCTGGCCCTCCTCACCAGCTTGTTCAGTCTGTTTCTGTCCCGCTCTGTGCTGCCCGGGGCCCAACACACGGCAGCGTAGTAAATGGCAGAAGCTACCACAGAGTCATAAAAGGTCCTGAGCAGAGGCCTGCTCACTCCGAAGGACCTCAGCCTCCTCAGAAGAAAGAGGCGACTTTGGCCCTTCTTGTGCAGAGCGTTGGTGGTATGGGACCAGTCCAGTTTATTGTTAATGTGAACACCCAGGTACTTGAAGCTGTCCACCAGCTCAATGTCCTCCCCCTGGATGTTCAGCAGCGTGTGGGAAAGTGGTTTTCTCCCGAAGTCGATGATCATCTCCTTGGTCTTACTGGTGTTCAAGCACAAGTGGTTGCGCTCACACCAGTCGACAAAGTCCTTGATAACCGACCGATATTCCAGTTGGTTCCCCATCAGACACACAGCCCACGATGGCGGAGTCGTCTGAGAACTTCTGTGTGTGTCGTATGTGAAGTCTGAGGTGTAGATGGTGAAAAGAAACGGTGAGAGGACAGTGCCCTGAGGGGCCCCAGTGCTGCAGACGACCACCTCAGACTCACAGCTGTGCAGCCGCACGTACTGTGGTCGGTCTGAGAGGTAGTTGATGGTCCATGCAGTGAGGCTACTGTCCACTCCCGCGGCCTCCATCTTCCCCCGCAGCAGTGCCGGCCTGATGGTATTGAAAGCGCTGGAGAAGTCGAAAAACATGACCCTCACAGCGCTCTCGGCGGGCTCCAGGTGGGAGAGCGTCCGCTGCAGGAAGTAGATGATGGCGTCCTCTACTCCGATGTTGGGTCTGTAGGCGAGCTAGGAGAGTTTACTTTTACATGTAAGTTAATAGGAGCGAGAGTTGGAGCAAAGCTTCACCATGAGCACTTCCCTATTGGGTTTCATTGAGCTAGCAGGTTAGCATTGTCCATCTATCGTCTGCAATAGCCATCTTCTCTTGTTGTTTCAGCTGCAAACTTTCCTCCCATGATGCATCGTCACATGACACCCGTCTCAGGAGGGCAGAGAGCAGCAGGGGTCAGAGGTCACGCAGATGTCAGAGGAGCAGGAAGTGGAGGGGCAGGAACAGGAAGTGGAGGTGCGGGGACAGGAAGTGGACCTGGAGGGAAGTCGAACCTGGCAGCACAGATCATCCCCGTGTACGGCTTCGGGATCCTGCTGTATATACTATATATACTGTTCAAGGTAATGTTGAGAACATCTGTATGCACCTATCACCTTTCGCTGCCTCGCTCTGGTCTCTCTCTGATCTCTCTGTTCTTGTTTTGGTCTTTCTCTGGTCTCTCTCTGGTCTCTTGCTAGTCTCTCTTTGGCCTCTCTCTGTTCTCTCTCTCTTTGATATCTCTCTGGTCTCTCTTTGGTCTCTCTATGCACTGTAACCCGCCATGGTTACAGTGACTCTCTGTTGGCGTGGTTACTGTGTACATGACTCTCACTTTTGCCGTGGTTACAGATCACATCCAAAGGTAGCAGTAAACCGGCTCCGACACGTTTCCAGTCTCTGCGTTCGGAAAACGCCAAGAGGAAGATCAGTGCGTCAATTTAAATGATCCTCACCCCATGTTTTACATACAGTATATTAGTGCTGTCAAACCATTCAAATATTTAAATGCGATTAAAGGCAAAAATCGAGACAAAATACGAGCTAGGCTACAGCTGCACAGATGTTGTAGTGTGCTCGTATAAAAAGATCGTTAATCACACGATTAAAAAAGGAACACCAATATAATGGGTTTGTGTCAACAGTGTTAATAACGCGTTTAACTGACATCACTGATATATACTGTATATATCTATATTTATACATATATTGTATATTCATAATGTGTAATGTGTCCAGCGGACTTCGAACTGATGCAGTTGCAGCAGCGTCTGATGGAGACAGAGTTAGTAATGGAGACAATCGTCAAGACAACGGACCTAAGAGACGACCAGTGAGTCTGCTACTGCTACTACTGCTGCTACCACTGCTACTACTACTCCTACTACTGCAACCACTGCTACTGCTCCTCTGCTCCTCAGGCCTCCTCTCGTCAGTCTGGACCAGGAGCAAAACCTCCTGCAGCAGCTCACCGCCATCACCAGAGTCATGAAGAGCAACCAACTGATTAAGGAGTTCAGCCCTAATGAGGAGAGAGAGGAGTGGGGAAAGAGTGGCGAGCAAGGTGAGAGAAAGGGGTGAGTGAGAGTAGAGAGAGGGGCGAGCAAGGTGAGAGAAAGGGGTGAGTGAGAGTAGAGAGAGGGGCGAGCAAGGTGAGAGAAAGGGGTGAGTGAGAGTAGAGAGAGGGGCGAGCAAGGTGAGAGAAAGGGGTGAGTGAGAGTAGAGAGAGGGGCGAGCAAGGTGAGAGAAAGGGGTGAGTGAGAGTAGAGAGAGGGGTGAGTGAGAGGAGAGAGATGGACAAATAAGAGGTGAAAGAGAGGTGAGCGAGGTGAGAGAGTGGAGCAAGCGAGAGGAGAGAGAAGGGCGAGCGAGAGGAAAGAGATGGGTGAGGAAAAGGAGATAGAAGTGTTGTTTTAACATTATGGGTGGATGGTGTTTCCTCAGATGCGTCAGAAGATCCGGATTTGTTCTGGAGCCATTGTGACTGTTACTGCCCACCTCCAGGAGAAGACCAGGAACCTCCAGGAGAAGACCAGGAACCTCCAGGAGAAGACCAGGAACCTCCAGGAGAAGACCAGGAACCTCCAGGAGAAGACCACGGGGACCAGGCACCTCCAGGAGAAGACCAGGAACCTCCAGGAGAAGACCACGGGGACCAGACACCTCCAGGAGAAGACCAGGAACCTCCAGGAGAAGACCACGGGGACCAGACACCTCCAGGAGAAGACCACAGGGACCAGACACCTCCAGGAGAAGACCACGGGGACCAGACACCTCCAGGAGAAGACCACAGGGACCAGACACCTCCAGGAGAAAACCACAGGGACCAGACACCTCCAGGAAAAGACCACAGGGACCAGACACCTCCAGGAAAAGACCACAGGGACCAGACACCTCCAGGAGATGATTACAGGGACAAGACACCTCCAGGAAAAGACCAGAGGGACCAGGCACCTCCAGGAGAAGACCTCAGGGGACAGACACCTCCAAGAGAAGACCAGAGTTACCAGACACCCGTTACAGAGCAGAAGGAAGAGACATCAGATCAAGAACCAGAGGAGGAGCAAGTAGTAGCAGAAAAGGAGGAGGAAAGTATCACTAAGGAGCTAGACTCTCAGAGCATTGGAGGAGGTCCAGCAGGTCTGCAGAGAGAGGAGGAGACTGCAGAAGAAACATCTCACACAGAGGAGCTTCAGACGTCAGAAAGTCCACCAGCAGCAGCTCATGTGAGGAGAAGGAACCGTAGACAGAGGAAGAAAAGGACATAGGCCAAAGAGACACGAGGAGACCACACAGGGCCTGTCTATGTGGAGTTTGCATGTTCTTCCTGAATCTGCGTGGGTTCCCTTAAGGGTGCTTCAATAAGACAATCTGCACTAAGGAGAAACAAGAGACTGGCGTTTGTGAGATGTTCCTCCTTACATCTGAGCATGTTAAAATCAACAACTATGATGTCATGTGATTCATTAAAACAAGATAAATTAAATGTGTTTGTATGTTCTGTCTGTGTGTGTGTTTGCATGTTCTGCCTGTGTCTGTGTGTTTGTATGTTGTATGCAGAGAACTAGGGAATGGAGCCTGGTATTTAACCCCTTCAAACACAACAGTATATGAAAAACAATTCTCCTGGTTTCATCTCAGATTTAAGGTCATGTGACTCGTGCGATTTAGATGTGGAATCTTTGTCATGTGTTTCACTTGTATTATTACATATCCATCTGATAATTCTCCCATTCAAGTCACTTTACCTGTTGATACTATTTCTGATGTTTATTCTGCTCATATTCTCATATTCTCCGCTGCTAATGTATAATATAGACATCTGTAAATACTCCGAACCAAGTGCAATTATAGCCCAGATTTTATCTTATTTTATTTTATTTTATTTTATCTTAAATTTATTGTCTATTATCTTAAATAATAGACTTTGATGTATGCAATCTGAGTGCTCTTATTTCCTTTCTCTGCTGTAATGTGCGCAACGATGACACTGAAATTTCTCCACTGTGAGACTAATAAAGGTTTATCTTATCTTATCTTACTTTAATCTGAGATAATCCATTCTGGAGACACACACACACACTTCATAAAAGTGACAAGCCCCACATCTGTATTCACTCTCTCTGCATTGTTCTGACATCTGCCCTTTTACGTCAGCTCACTGTAAACATGGTCAGCTGAGGACAAGTCAGAGGATTTGTTTGTTCCCCTTCAAACATGAAAGTAAAAACAAGGGGCTTGGGTTAGTGGTCATCTGGAAGTGTCAGTAAACCCAAGATGGCCGACAAGTACTGCTCGTTCGTAAACACAAGATGGCGACACAGTCCTCAACATAGCGCGCTCTAGCGTCACTGCTCTGGGGTTAACAGCGGAGCACAGAACTGGGTATACCAGGAATCAGAGCGCTTTACTCGAACACTTTCTGCGTGAGTTCTCGGTGATGGAGCTCCACACGCGGCTGCTGCTCCTGCTGGAGGTGTTAGCGGTGGCCCTGGTCCTCTCTGCCCGCGGTAAGACTCTGTTTTGTCGGTGTGTTTGTGGTGTGAGAGCCGCTGTGTGGGAGTGCGGAGGAAGTAACGGTCAAAACGGGAGATAAACAAGTCTCATAAATGTTATATAAATATGATTCCATTGTGTGTGTCTGGTCTTATTACTGTGATATTACTGTGGTAAGAGCCGTAACACAGCGTAGGATACCTTTTGTAGTACGATTATATAGTTTATTTGTGTTTCTGGACTTCCTCGGGTTTGGGTCAGCCCGTCCGTGTCCATTTTAAAGCTTCTTTGCGGAACTTTTGGGGCGGTCCGCCACCTGCCTGTTGCCATGGAGACGCGAACTTTATGGTCTCTAATAGAAATTTGGTGTTCTGATGGTGTTAAAGCTGGGGTAGGTAACTTTCACACCACATCAGAACTCTGTAATAAACCCATATCTCTAGTTCCTGGCTCTAAAATATTTGCTTCTTTCACTAGTTTTCACGTCATGTGGCGTTAATGCTTTCCTCTGTCTTTGGATCAGCTTTTTCAAACAGAAAAGTGAAAAAGAGATGACCACCCTCATCCGTAAGAGTCAGATAGTGACTGAGAGGTTTCTTTCTTATACAAAAAACACCATGTGGGTCAACGTTTTACTTTCTATTTAACTAAAGGTGTTATTGATGTCACGCACCCCATATTTAAACATGTGTTATTGAGTAATGAGGAGGACCTGAGGACCATGTGGCTGTGACTCAGTCTGCACAACAGGGTGGAGTTTTCAACATGTTTTTACATGTTTAGCTCAGTTTGTGACTTCACTTTGTCACTTTGTCAATATGTCTCTGTTGGTTCTTCCGGTTTGGTGGCAGTTGCTGAGGCAGTGTGGGAGACAATAGACATGATTTCCAAATTCCAAATTCCTGTGCCTCTCAAAAGTACTATACCTTGAACTTTTCCACATTTGGAAGATTTTATTTGGATTTTTATACTGAAATTTCACACACAAGTTTCAGACAACCAAAGTGAAGTGAAAGTGAAATGATACATGATTCTGTTATTATCTTGAAATGTTGGGCCTGCATAGTTTTCTCATAGCTTTTTATGGGGGCATAAAGTGCCTTTAAACTAGTTCTAATGACTGTTGAGTGTTCACACCTTGCCCTAATGATTAAATAGATGCCTCCTGTATGTAATCTACTCCCAGCTGTTCTGTGAGGGCCTCAGAGCTGTGTTGGTTATTTAACCGCCTCATTGATGTATTATTTTAGAGACAAGCAGCACACCAGAGAGGTCAGGGATAACTTTGTGGAGCAGTTTAAAGCAGCGTTGAGTCATACTAAGAATTTGCAAGATTTGAGCATCTTATGGAACACTGTTCAATCCATCATTCGGAAATGGAAATAGTATGGCACCAGTGCAAGCTCACCAAGACACGACATAGCCATGTACCTAAACTAACAGATTGAACAAGGAGAGCTGGGGGAATCTGCACATGAGATAATTATTATTCATACTCTGCACAAGTCTGGCCTTAATGGACGAGTGGCAATTACTGAAAGGTGACCACAAGAAATCCTGTTTGAAGTTTGCCATAAGTCATATGGGGGACATAGCTTCCATATGGAAGAAGATGTCTTGGTCAAATGAGACAAAAATGTAACTTATTGGTAGGGCGGGGCAATGTAGTTCTAAATCTTAATATATTTCGCTATATCTCGATTATTTATTATATATATATTTTATTTATTTATTTATTTATTTGCAGTGAATGTAAAGACACTTTCAGTCACAATCTAAAGCTTAAAAGGAATACAGCCAAGTATCACAGAGAACTTTTCAAGTGTAACTAATGAAATTAGTTACATGACATTACATGATAAATTGGTATCATGAAATAACATGATAAATTGGTATCATGAAATAACATGATATTTATCATGTTATTTCATGAAAGTATCTTGAAATAACATGATACCAGCGGGAAAAAAAAAACACTCACAAGTGAACCTAACAAGCTTCCGTACACTGGACACCAAAATAGATAGATACTTTATTGATCCCTGTTGGAGAAATTCAGGTGTCCAGTAGCAGCAGAAACACATCCATCCACACAAACAAATAGATAATTCTATAAATTGCTAACAATAGTATTAAAATGCTACAGCACTTTATCCACGTAGCTGATGACCTTTGTCAAGTTTAGATATGGTTGGATCTGTTGTATGAAGGTTATTTTTCTACGAATACACATATTATTGGTCCCTCAGTGGGTTAGGGTTTGTCATATTGTACTTCAGCTGCAGAGAATATGACCAGAGTAACAAATGGTAGATATGATATCAATAGCAGAGGGTAAAGTGACTAGTGAGTCATCAGTACAGCCTTAGTCTTATTATTGGTACTGCTGAATGGCACATGAACATGTTCAGCAATTCTTATTGTACAGTCTGACAGCATGTCTGGTGATATTGTCAGGTCTTTTTCTTTGAAGTAGCTGTTGTTGCAGTTGGCACACTTTTTCCTCTCCACCCGTGTCTATTTCCTCCCGTGTTTGGTGTGCTTTAATCGCCCAGTCCTATGAGAGAAGAGTCTGGGACTGAACTCGGCTTTCCTTCCATTACAGATACATATCGTGCCCTGAGCTGGTTCCAAACTCTAAAGAATTATAGGTCATGATAACATGTTGGAGGCTGCTGGTGCTATCTAATTCTCACACTGTCATAGGGGATGATAAGTTTAAACGCAAAAATGTCAGTGATAAAAGAAAGTGTACACTGATCTGACAGTAAAGCCAAAAACCCCCATGTAAGTATTAGCAAGGGCAGAATACAGACATGGACAACAATTTAGCAATCGGCTTAGATAGAGCTAAATCATTCAGAGATTTGAGAAATACAAACCTTTTCACATTTTCCCTACGCCTGGAAACTTGTCCAACCCTCACTGCCTCTCCAAATCGTTCATGGCATCTGGCTGTAGAACATAACAAAGAAATATGCAGCATTGTAAATCATTTAAGGGCAACTTTGTATTGTATGAAAATAATGGTGAAAATGAAACCCACCATGACTGAGTGATATTTATAATGTGATTTCTAACTTTGAAGGAGACCTGTGTGAGGTGAACCTCTGTGATAATGGAGGCACCTGTGTGAAGGCAGCGGGGTCAGAGTTCATCTGCATCTGTCCAGACGAGTACACTGGAGACAAGTGCACCGAGAAGGAGACTGGTAAGTGCTCCTCTGTCAGCCACTGCTCCTCTGTCAGCCACTGCTCCTCTGTCAGTGACTGCTCCTCTGTCAGTGACTGCTCCTCTGTCAGTGACTGCTCCTCTGTCAGTGACTGCTCCTCTGTCAGCGACTGCTCCTCTGTCAGCCACTGCTCCTCTGTCAGTGACTGCTCCTCTGTCAGTGACTGCTCCTCTGTCAGTGACTGCTCCTCTGTCAGCGACTGCTCCTCTGTCAGCCACTGCTCCTCTGTCAGCCACTGCTCCTCTGTCAGCCACTGCTCCTCTGTCAGTGACTGCTCCTCTGTCAGTGACTGCTCCTCTGTCAGTGACTGCTCCTCTGTCAGTGACTGCTCCTCTGTCAGTGACTGCTCCTCTGTCAGTGACTGCTCCTCTGTCAGCCACTGCTCCTCTGTTGGTTCAGGTCCTTGCAGTCACAGTGACTGTCCTTCTGTTGGGTTCAGGTCCCTGTATTCCAAACCCGTGTCTGAACGGAGGTCAGTGTGAGCTGGTGTCAGAGCGTCGCAGAGGAGACGTCTTCAGCCACTACTACTGTGAGTGCCCCCCAGAGGCCACAGGGGAGAACTGCAACACACGTGAGTCTACCGGGAAAGGGACAGAGACCGGGACAGAGACCGGGACAGAGACCGGGACAGAGACCGGGACAGAGACCGGGACAGAGACCGGGACAGAGACCGGGACAGAGACCGGGACAGAGACCGGGACAGAGACCGGGACAGAGACCGGGACAGAGACCGGGACAGAGACCGGGACAGAGACCGGGACAGAGACCGGGACAGCCACACAGTCGTCCCGGCAGCCACAAGGGAGAACTGCAACACTCGTGAGAGACCAGGACCAGGACCAGGACTAGGACCAAGACCAGGACCAAGGTGGCTTTAGGGCTCGTCCAGACCTGTTTCTGTTTTCTTGAATTCAAATGTGTTGAGTGACGCTGTGCTGTGTCCACAGGAATCCCACCTCCTCCTCTGTTCAACACACAAGGTAACAGCATGGTCCTGCATCTGTCCTGAACCTTGTCTGAACCCGATCTAAACCTAGTTAAACCTTGTCTAAACCTGATTCCACCCAGTCTAAACCTGGTCTAAACCTGATCCCAGAACCCCTGATTATTATTGTGTGTTTGTTGCTTTGGGTCTTCTATTGGGTTTTGCGCTCAGGCTTTCCGGCTCTCTCTCGAACCACAGAAGCTGTGAAATATTTAAAACCTTTTGAATCAGAGTTTATTTATAGAACTGTCCTCACGCGCTCTCCTCCTCAACCAATCAGAGCACAGCCTCCGACCAACAGCCAATTAGAGCACAGCCTCCGAGCAGCTGCCAATCAGATTGCAGCCTCAGACCAGCAGCCAATCAAATCGCTGCCTCAGACCAGCAGCCAATCAGATCGCAGCCTCAGATCAGCTGCTTCTGTCACTGTGGACGAAAGAGCTGAAAAGAGAAAACAGTGGCAGCTGCTTTAGTGCCTTATGTAACTATAACTAGTGTTCATGTGACATCAACTATGGTCTCATTATATGCACAGTATATCACTACACACACACACATATATATATATACATATACATATATGTATATATATATATATATATACATACATGTGTGTGTGTGTTTGTATATGTATATATATATATATTTTATATATAATTATATAAGACTGGTATGGAAGCATTTACAGCTAGCTAAGAAACTACTTATTTTGATTATTTCGTGTGCTCCCTGTGTCCTCTTACTACTGTATGTGCGCTGCAACATTGACATTTCCCCACTGCTGGACAAATAAAGGATCTCTTATCTTGTCTTATTCTCTTGGAGAGACCAGAGAGAGAGACCAGAGAGAGAGACCAGAGAGACCAGAGAGAGAGACCAGAGAGAGAGACCAGAGAGAGAGACCAGAGAGAGAGACCAGAGAGAGAGACCAGAGAGAGAGACCAGAGAGACCAGAGAGAGACAAAGACCGAGACAAAGACCGAACAGAGAGAGATACCAGAGAGAGAAAGACCATAATAATATGGCGGCATATTGCATCTAATCAAATAAAATCGGGCAATTTTCAGTAATACAGTTGTATTGACTCTCTGTCTCTGTCTGTGTGTGTGTGTTTGTGTGTTTCTAGGCTTCAGTGTGTGTATAGATCAGCCCTGTTTAAATGGAGGAACCTGTTCTGAACTCAACGGAGACTTACTCTGCTCTTGTCCATCACCGTATGTTGGAAACCGCTGTGAGCAACGTGAGTGTAGACCAGGACCAGACCAGCACCTGACTAGGGCCAGGAACACTGAGAGACACTAGTGCAGCTCCTGCTGACCTCCTGCTGACCTCTGTTACAGGATGTATTTCCCGCCTCGGCCTGCAGGGCGGCGGTGTCTCTGAGGGTCAGATCCGCTCGTCCTCGGTGCGCTACACTCTGATGGGGTTACAACGCTGGGGCCCGGAGCTCGCACGCCTTCACCAGAAGGGACTGGTGAATGCCTGGAGCCCCGCCCCCCATGACAGACTGCCATGGTTACAGGTGAGAGACACGCCCCCACACCTGGCTGCCCTGGTAACAGGACCACACAGACTTGAGATGGACTTCTGTTGACTCTTGTTCTTCTCGCTTAGGTGGATCTGACTCGGGCCATGCGGGTCTCTGGTCTGGTGACACAGGGGGCAGGGCATCTGGGGTACTCTGAGTTTGTGAAGGCCTTTAAAGTCGCATACAGCCTCAACGGGAGCAACTTCACCTTCTACCAGCGAGACGGGAGAGACCTGGTGAGTAGAACTTCTCAGACTTTAACTAGTTTGAGGAGCTGAGAACCTCATAGCTGAGGAGCTCAGAGCTCTTGTTCCCACCCTCACTGCGGTCCACATGAGTCTCTTCCAGAGTGATTGGGCAGAGCAGAGAGTGAGAAGGAGGAGCTCAGAGTAGATCTGCTGCTCACATGTTTCCTTCTGTCTCAGGTCTTCTCAGGGAACATGGATAAAGACTCTCCAAAGACCTCCCTCCTGGACCCTCCTCTCGCCACTCGGTTCCTCCGAATTGTCCCTGTGGTCTGCCGCCGAGCTTGTACCATGAGGCTGGAGCTGATCGGCTGTGAGCTTAGAGGTCAGAGGTCTTCAGGACAGGAACCTGAGACCAGGACTAATGCGAGAAGACTTTAGGACAGAGACCTGAGACCAGGACAAATGTCAGAGGGCTTTAGCACAGAGACCTGAGACCAGGACTAATGGGAGAGGACTTCTCTGTTCCAGGATGTTCTGAACCTCTGGGCCTTCAGTCTCGTCTGATCTCTGATGCTCAGTTCTCCGCATCCTCGACCTTCAGGACCTGGGGTCTGGACTCCTTCACCTGGAGACCAGAGTATGCACGCCTGGACAAGCAAGGGAAGACCAATGCATGGTCCCCAGCGACCAGTGACCAGAACCAGTGGATCCAGGTAAACCTGAGACCAGGACCAAAGACCAGAGAGAGATAGTGAGACCAGAGAGAGAGATATATACAGTTCTCGTTATACAGAGTTCTGTATAACGAGAACTGCTGAGTCTGTACAAGTCCATCCATCCATTTTCTTCCCTGTAATCCATTTCTGGGCCGGGGGGGGTGGCAGTCAGAGCTGCACCCAGTTCACAGAGCACCAGCCCCTCACTGATCCTCCAGCTGGTGAGGAGTCCACAGGAGCCTTGATCTTCCAGCGGGGGCTTCAGGCAAAGTGGGGTTAAGTGTCTTGCCCAAGGACACGACAGCAGACATCAGTGGGAGTCGTGAAGTAGCTCAAGTCTGTACAAGTGTCACTGATAATAATTCACTGGTCACTAGTGACTTTACCTGTTATTATTACTGCATTATTACATATCCATCCATCTGATTTTCTGTCACTTTACCTGTTGATATTGTTATTATTGTTTATTTATTCGATGACACTGAAATTTCCCCACTGTGGAACGACAAAAAGGAATATCTTATCTTAAGGTAAACTTTGTTTTTAAGGTGGACCTTGGATCTCTGAAGAAAGTGACTGGGATCATCACTCAAGGCGCCAAAGACTTCGGCCACATTCATTTCGTCACAGCGTTTAAACTGGCGCACAGCGACAACGGGGAAGACTGGACCATCGTCAAGAACAAGAAGGGCCAGGACAAGGTCTGGACCAGGACTGTGCAATATGTGTGCATGTGATGAGTATAGAGTGTGCGCGTGTAATGAGTGTGTGTCTATTTCAGGTGTTTGCGGGGAACATTGATAATAACGTTCACCATCAGAACCGTCTGGACCCGGCTCTATTCTGTCGATACGTGAGAGTCCTGCCCTGGGATTGGCACGGGAGGATCAGCCTGAGGCTGGAGCTGCTGGGGTGTGCTCTGTGAGGCACACAACTGACCACACACTCATACAAAGGGAGAGAGACACACACACACACAGAGGGATAGAGAGAGAGAGAGAGAGAGAGACACACAGGGAGAGAGAGAGAGACACACACAGGGAGAGAGAGAGAGAGAGAGACACAACACAGAGGGGGAGAGAGACACACACACACACACACACACACCTGCACTGATTGAGTTTGTTTTATAGAATTAAAGTATTTTTTCACTTCCTGAAACTAAAGTGATGACGTTGTTCTCAGTGTAATCCACCTCACTCCTCCAGACGGGGTCAGGGGTTCGGGGTCGTTGTTTTGCCCTCAGACTGTAACTGTTCTGCACTTTTGTTTCATTCCAAAGATGTAAAATAGTATTTCTAAATGCGATGCTTGTGTCAGCTCTTGCACTGATGGTGGGCGGGGCTTAAACAGTATTATGGGATGCTGCAATAAAAGTGATGTAACCCTAATATTCAGTGTTTTGTACTGAAATAAATGTTTCAACAAAGTCATTTTTCTCCATTTCCCTCAGAGTAACACTAGTTCTATACACACACTAATGCCTCTATGTCCATGTTCACAATTCATTAGACCTGCAGCTGTGTTTAGCTCGACGCTGACAGGAACATCCCCCGCCCCTTCTGTTTGGTGCTCTGGTCACATGTTCTTCAGTAGGTTGTGTTTGTTATTGCATTTCCAGTGTTTGAACTGCTCTGTTGGTGAATCCACTACTTTATAAAGTCCTCAGACAACTGCTGATGAGATTTTGGGCAATACACAAATAATACACACTCAAACAGTGTCAGAATATTCACTTTATTCATAGAAAAACAGTTGAAGGTTCAGGTCTAATGCTCCATGGGCTCTGGGACTTCAGGGGCCGCCTCTTCTGCAGCCGGAGCCACCTGAAGAAACAAACAACTAAAGCTTTTGCAAAAGTAATAGTACAACATAGTACAACTCCAAAAGGTAGTACCCGTACCTTCCTCTGGGGGCGCTCTTCCAGTCCTTCTAAAAACGGTGCCACGTCGTCGTCGTCATAAATGGTAAACTCCATGTCTTTCCCGACAATCCCGATGGAGACGTTCTGAGAGGAGCAGAACAGGTTCAATATAAGGACCAGTATTTACCAGCAGCTCCTCATCCATGTTAACAATAATATTATCAAAGAGTTTGTTTTTTTTCATATTTGTGGACACTCCTAGTATCAACCCCCAAGCACTCCACAATTCTGTCCTTACAACTAATGTAGGTCAATCTTTTGTCTCTCACACAAGTAGCTAGTAGGAGCAGCAGCTGCAGCAGCGGTACCTTAATGGTCAGGTCCTGTTCTGCTGGGAGAGTTTCTCTCAGAGCTCTCAGTCCGTGTTGGACCAGTTCGTTTAAGTTACCTTCAAACACAAGAGACAGAAATGTTTAGGAATGTGACCAGACACAAGTATTCAGAAGTAGCACAGAGAGACCCTGGTCGGAGTGTGTAGACAAGTATTAATTGTAGGCCATTTTCATACACAATACGATTGCAGAATGTACTTGCCAATGATAAATGTTTAGACAATAACAAAAGTCCTTTCTCCTCAAACCAGTGAATTTTACCAATCAAGGGACACATCTGGTACTGATCCAAAGAACACCAGACCTACTGTGGAGCATGGAGGGGGCAACATGCTTTACCTGAGGAACATCATAGACTCACATCTCACTTTAAGTTGGAGGACTTTCACAATTGGTGACTGACAAAAGTGGAAAGTGGTGATTTGCCCCACTGCATACTGTGTACAGTGTACTTACAGTGCATACTGTGTACATTGTACTTACAGTGCATACTGCGTACAGTGCATACTGCGTACAGTGTACTTACAGTGCATACTGTGTACATTGTACTTACAGTGCATACTGTGTACATTGTACTTACAGTGCATACTGTGTACTTACACTCGTTGAACTTGTCCATGCAGCGCTCCAGATACGTGCGTGCGCTCTGGGATCGGGCTCCGATGCTCATGGCTTTACAGTCAAAGTAGTTTGCTGAAGGACACGTCTGGAAGATGTGAGGACCCATGTCCTGGACACACGAGAAAACATACTTTTAACCATGAGGGAACTCATGTCTTGGACAAACAGTAGCAGGAGTACTAGTACATATGCAGGAGTAAATTAAGATTAAGTGATCCTTTATTCGTAGGCACCAGTTAGAGAACAGCAGGAATGAAGACCACACAGCTCAAGATAAGTGAACAATAATAGTTGTATCTGTTAGTAGCATGAGGGTTTGGGAAAAAGTGACTAAAGTCACAGTGGACACATGTGGTTTTATATTGCATTCTGATATCAGTTCCAACTACAGCACAAATGCATGACATGTGAGGTCCGATTGGTAGTGTTTGTTGTACAGTCTGACAGAAAGACCTGCAGAATCTCTCCATAACATAGTTGTCTTTGAACCACAAGAGCAAAGAGAAACTGTCACCAGTTACCTGCAGTCTCCTTGAAACCTGCAAATCAGGTTAGAAATATTGGGGTAGTTCTGGACTTGAGTTGAATTTTCAGCAGCACATAAATCTAATATCAGTGGCTTTTTATCATTTAAAAACATTTCCAGACTCAAAGCTAATGTGTCTACACCTGACTTAGAAAGACTTATCCATGCTTTTGCCTCTAGTAGGTTAGACACTGAGATTTCATAACACTTTTAAGCAATTTTTGTTAAAGTTAAACTCATCATTCTATCAATGTGCAGAAGCCTGTACTTTTCCACTACTTGTTTTGACTATCTCTGCTGGCACTGTGGCAGCTGCTGATTGGAGGTCTCTGTTTCTCCTGATTATATGACCACTTGCTGTCTTTAACATCCTTTGTTCGTGTTGTTCAGACTTTATCATCTTCTTCAACGCCTTCTCACAGGTCCCTGGCCCTAGTCAGGTTCTGGTCTGGTCCTGGTCTACACTCACGGTAACACAGCTGCAGTGTATTCCTAAATTCTGCAGCTCACGTCCAGGAGGTATGATCACATTAGTCCAGTCCTCAGGTCCCTGCACTGGCTTCCTGTGGCTCAGAGAATTGAATTTGAAACAGCTCTACAGTGTATAAGTCTCTACATGGCCTCGTACAAAAGTATATCCGAGACAGCGTCCGAGCCGGTTCATATGCCGCTAACATGTCTCGGATATACTTATACACTGTTTTACGTTTTATTGTCGGTCTTTTAATTGCTTGTGAAGCACTATGGGTTACACTGTATGAATTGTGGATTTGATTGATAGAAAGTCTTCAGGAATGACCCCTGCACTCCAAAAGACCTGAGCTTCCTCAGCAGGTAGAGTCAGCTCTGGCCCTTCTTGAAGAGGGCATCTGTATTATGAGTCCAGTTCAGTACACCAGTCCCTCATCAACACGGGGAAGACCCAGGAATACAAGGAACTACTAGTAAATATACAGTAGTAGCAATAGTAAACATAGTACAGTAGAATAAATAGTAGAACTCACATCATATCCTGCAATCAGAAGTCCCACACCGTATGGTCGCCGTCCGTACCTCTGTGTGGGGATCTGTGTCTCTGAGGAGGAGTCAAGTACTACAAGCAGACTACTGTGGGGCAGTAACAACAGGTGACAGCAGTCTCTGTAGCATCAGCAGTATCTGTAGCATCAGCAGTAACAGCAGTCTCTGTAGCATCAGCAGTAACAGCAGCATTTGTAGTATGTGCACTGCAGTATCTGTAGTAACGGTAGTATCAGTAGTGACAGTAGTATCAGTAGTGACAGTAGTATCAGTAGTGACAGTAGTATCAGTAGTGACAGTATGAAGGATACTGGTCCCGATCAGAGACACAAGTCTGGACGTGGGCAGAGGACGGTCGAACACAAAGTGGGAATCCAAACACTCCTGACGCATGAAGTTACTGACAAAAACAAAACATCAGAGATCAAAAATACACACTACTACCCAAGTATATGCGTATATATATTATACAAAACTCACCACAGCAGTCGTGCATCTGCCGTCAGTCCTGCGATGGAGATCCCCACATGATTGTCCACATGAAGAATCTTCTTCTGATGAGCTGCCAGCTCTGACTGAGCTCTCTGTGCACAAAGACACATGTTTAGTATCACGAGACACCAAGAGAGACCAGAGAAATAACAGAGAGAGACCAAGAGACCAGAGAGAGAGAGACACACACACACCTTTAGAGCCACTAGGACTGCATGTGTGGTGGACTTCAGACCTACGGTGGCTGACCCCTGCTTCACCGCCTCCATCGCATACTCGATCTGATGGATCCGGCCCTGTCACAGGAGATTAGTCAAAGTCAGTGTGTACTTCTAATACCATAGAACATACAAACCGCTTGTCTGTCAGAATATACATGTACTATTATTATTAAAACGCATACACACGCTGTGAGAAAATGGATGAGGAATAGTAACATAAGTAACAGCTGTATTAATTCAGATTCAGATTCAGTTTATTTGCCATTTGCAGTAAAAAAACCACATTGGAATACATTAGCAAAAGTCACCAGTGTGCACAGACAAATACAGACATAAAACAACATTAAAAGACAAAAATAAAACAAATAAAACAGTAAACAAATGTCACTGTGAAATCGATCGACTAAAACAGTTTCAAAACAAGTGCAAATCATTAAAGTGCTCTGTTCACACTGATAACAGCTTGTGGATAAAAACTGTTAGCGTAACGAGATGTCCTGCATCTCAGAGAGCGATATCTTCTGCCAGAGGGAAGAAGCTGGAACATGGCATTCCCAGGGTGGCCAGAAGAGTCATTGACAATCCTAAGAGCTTTGTTTAAAAGTCTGGATTTATAAAGAACCTCCAGAACAGGAAGCTCACAGCCCACGGTCCTCTTTGCAGAGCGGAGCACCTTGTTTAAAGATCTCTTTTCTTTATCTGTGATGTTTCCAAACCACACAGACACAGAACCAACAAGTAAACTCTCATTGGTGCAGCGATAAAAGTTAAGCAGAATCTTAGAGTTAGTGGTAAATTCTCTAAGTTTACGCAGAAAGTAGAGACGCTGACGAGCTTACTTAACTTAATAGCAGTAGTAACAATAACAGTAGAAGTAGTAATAGCAGTAGTAGTAGTAGTAGTAGTAGTATTAACAGGAGCAGTAATGTTAAGTCACCTGTGGGCTCCAGACGGTGACATCATTGTCGTATTGATTTCTGAACTGAAAAAGAAAAAAAAAACACCAATTTGATAGGAATCATGTGACACAAGTCATACATAAAACTAAGCTCACGTAATCCTGCATCAGTCTACTTCTAGTGTTGGTGGCAGTAGTGAAAACAGCAGTAGCAGCAGAAGCAGTAGTAGTAAAGGTACTAGTAGCAGCAGCTGCCGTAGAAACAGAACTCTAGTTCTGAAGTCGACAGGTGCAGTATCTGTCACTTGACACAGCTCATTAAGTATTCATAGAGGCGGAGCTAAATGGCTCATTAAATATGCTAATAGGAGGGAGGTGGACCGGCTGGTGACCCTTGTGCAGTGGTAACCTGGAGCTGAACACCCAGAAGATGGAGATGATTGTGGACTTCAGGAAGAGCACTGTCCCCCCCACCCCCACCCCCACCCTCCCTGATGGACTCCCCCATCACCTCTGTGGAGTCATTTCGTTTCCTGGGCACCACCATCACCCAGGACCTCAAGTGGGAGCCGACCATCAGCTCCCTCATCAAGAAGGCCCAGCAGAGGATGTACCTCCTGCGGCAGCTCAGGAAAGCCAAGCTGCCTGCACAGATGTTGGTGCAGTTCTACACGGCCATCATCGAGTCCATCCTCACCTCCTCCATCACCGTGTGGTTCACTGGAGCCACAGTCAGGGACAAACAGAGACTACAGCGCATCGTGCGCTCTGCAGAAGAAGGTGATTGGCCGCAGCCTTCCATCGTTGAAGGACCTCTGCAACGCCTGAGCTCGAGGCCAGACTGGTCGTATCACTGCAGACCCCTCTCACCCCGCACGTGGACTGTTCCAACCTCTCCCCTCCGGAAAGAGACTACGGTCCATTCGGACCAGAACCTCCCACAATAAGAACAGTTTCTGTTGGACTCTTGAACACTTCATCATCTTGTCCCCACGTCCTTTATAAAGTCACTTTACTGCCGTCACTTTACTGCACTGCTTAATGTTTATTGTGAGCAACAAGTGCACTTGTATAAAGTAATTATATACAATTATTTTTTATATTTTAGAAAATGTTATACTTCAGAAATTTGTTATTATGCCTAATTCTTTCTACACTTTTGACTTGTTTGCACCAAGAGCCAAAGCAATTTCCTAGTCTGAATTCCTTTTACTTACATGGCAATAAAAAATATTCTGATTCTGATAATTCATTAAACTTGATCAGTTTACTCTCAAACAGAGCTGGTGTACGTGACATTTTCAAATAAATAACATGTAGTTTAAACAGAAAGTCTTAAAATAAAATGTTGAGAACCAATCAGACCACAACATGCAGTCTACATAGTCCACTATAGTGTGAGAAAGAGCCCTGAGAGTCCCTTGTTAATAACCCTTTGGGCTGCCAGCTGATTGGCTGAGTGAGGGTGTTCATCTCTTTATCACTATATTTGTCAGGTAAAGCTGATCTAAAGATGGGACAGAGGATACAGTCTATGGACAGAGGCCAGAAAATATAGTTACATGATGTGAAAACTAGTGTTGGTGATAGTAGCAACGGTTTAATCCAGGAACTAGATTATTATTATTATTATTATTAGTGTGGTATGAACGTTAAAAGACCCCATCTTCAACATTACATACCCCAGCAAACACTTTGTAAATAGTTATTATATTTATAACTAACTCAAAAAGGTGAAACTGAAAGTGTAGTGTTCCTGTAGCATTAGCCGCGTTAGCTCCCACTGCTAAAAACACAAATTATCAGTTTTTGATTTCCTTTCCTCAAACATCAGAATGAGCACAGAATTAACCCCGCAACGCCATGACCTCCAGAAGCAAAAGCACATTGGACATTATTTATATAAACCACGCAGTGTTTGTGGAGAGAAGCTAACGCACTTTTGCTTACTCACAGCGGCTAAAGCTAACATGAGGCTAACGCTGGCTATCACAGTCTGTCCCCGGGTTGGATGCCGTTCTCTCCGGGGGTCTGGGGCTGTTCTCTCCGAGCTTATGCGCATTAGTGACCGGGTGTGAAGCGTGCATGGCCGTGATGTGTCTGTGGGTGCAGTTTGAGGGTGTTTTCCGTGTTTTTCCTCACCATCTCTGCTCCCGAAGATCTGCTCTCTGTGACTCAGGGCGAACAGTCGAACACAGATGCTTTACGTTACGAGTCCGTCACCCGCCTGTTGTCATGGAGATGCTCTTCCTGTACTTCAGTATCATGCTAAAATACATACGATATCGATATTATTTTAATGACATTGTTTTATCCCCCCTTGTCTCGTTTTAAAAAATATGTTAAAGAGCGAAGACAAAAAATATGTATCATAATGGGACAGGTGGTCTATGTGATTTTTTTTTTATCACATACACAGCGCAGACAGCAGATACAATTATTATGTGCATAATGGCATTTTTGATAACAGTATTTTTATCTTTTGTATTCAGACATTACAAACACAACTGGTTCGTACTCATGCTTCACAGCAGAAGGTCCTTGGTTCGAGTCCTCCTCCGGATAGGGCCTTTGACGAAAATAAAGATTGAGTTTGCATGTTCTCCTCGTGTCTGCGTAGGCGATCCGATCACCTCGACTTTTAACACGGTTCCCATAAAAGCAGAACGTACTATCAAACCTCACTTCCACAGATTATTTTTAATGAACACAAACTAATGTGATTAGTTACAATTATTACATAATTCTTATTTTTTATTGTTTATTGTTATTTTCTTTATCATTACCATTACTATCATAATGACGATGATTACTATTATGTTTGTTGCTATTATTGTTAGTAGTATTCGCAAGTCATAATGTTTCATGTCCTCACTGTCTTCACTGTACTGTAACTGGGAGGTAGTGATGCCTGAGGCGTCCGCCAGAGGGCGCCACAGGACTTTATAGCAGCAACGGATTATGGTAGTTTGACGTGTTCTTTGTGTTGTTTGTTTGTTGTCTGTGTGTGCGCGTGTAACATGTGTCAAAGACTTATCCCTTCTCCTCTTTAGAGGTTTTCCATAAGGAAGGGTCAAAGGTCACCCTAAGGGTTAATCAGAGTGAACTGCTCAGATAGCAAGGTCAGAGGTCACAACAGAGAGGTCAGAAGTAAGGTTATTTAAAGATTTCCCAAACTTTGAAGATCTCCCAGACTGTGTTCAGTCAATGTGTGGGAGGGGCAGCATCATTCTGTGTTTGACACAGAGTTCACAACGCTATGGGCAACACTTTCAGTCTCTAGATGTGCAGTACAGTCATGACACCAAAGATGTGCGCTGTGTCTGGCGAAGTTTGCATGTTCGACTGAAGTCTGCTGTAAAGTTCCTCCAGGTGCTCCGGTTTCACACACTGAAGCAACAGTGAAGAGACTCGCCTCTCCACAGGCCTAATGGACGTTCTAAATCTTCTCTCTCAGACACATCTTCTGTCTCTGTCCTCTGTCTCTATCTGTCCTCTGTCCCCTGCTCTCTGTCCCTGTCTTCTGCCTCTGTCTCCATCCCCTGCATGTCTCCGTCTCTGTCCCCAGTCTCTGTCCCCAGTCTCTGTCCTCTGCCTCTGTCCCCGGTCTCTGCCTCTACCTTTGTCTCCATTTCTCTGTCTCTGTGTTCTGTGTGTTTCTAATATTAGTCTGTTATCTGTTTGGAGCAAATGTCGCTGCTTCAACGATTGATTTGAATCTGAGGAACATTTGGATCAATGAGTTTTGTGCTTCGTCAATCAGAAACTACATCCTCCTCCCCTGCACCCTCCTCCCCCCTGCTCCTCATCCCACCCTCCTCCCCCTGCACCTTCTCCTCCCCTGCTCCTCCTTCACATCACCCTCCTCCGCCCCCTCCTCATCCTTCTCCCCCTCTTCCTTTTCCTCCTCTTCCTCAACTTCCTCCCTCTTCTCCTCCTCATCATCAGCAGTCACAGGATTGGGAAACATTACACGCTTCATCTGAGCCAAAATGTGTTGTCCTCAACTCCAGGTTTTAGTTCATCACAGTGTGTGCGTGCGTGCGTGTGCGTGTGCGTGTGTGTGTGTGTGTGTCCGTGTGTGTCTTTAGCTTCAGTCGGGCTGATGTTCATGACGTCACAGAGAAACTGCTGCATCAGCAACAGGCAAGTCAAGAGGGGGTGAGGAGGGAGGGAGGGTGAGGGGTAAGTAAGGAGGGGAGGGAGGAGGGATCGGGGGGAGGGGGTAAGGGATGAATAGGGATGGTGTGAGGAGGAAGGGGAGCCTCAAAAAGTGTGAGTGAGAGATCTTTGATTTAAGCTTTCCTCTTCATAACCCAGCTCAGATCTCCCTGAGGTGAATACGCTGAATACAGCTGTCCTGAGATAACGACTGACTACAGCGCCCCCCTGTGGTTTCCCATCACACACTGACAGGTCTGACCACAAGTGACTGTTGACTTGTCCATTAGTGAAATCACAAAGGCTTTTGTTTGGCACACGAGGAGTTCTGTTACAGAGTAAAGACCGTTGCCATGGAAAGGCCATAACAGTGACCGTACAGACCCATGGGAGGTCAGGAGAGGGACCCTAACCCTTACCCTGAACCCTCTGTTGGGCCTGCTCTAAACTGACCTTTGACCTTGATGGCCTTCATGGCCCGTACACACCGCAAACGCAGCGAGTGATGCGCGCCTCTCTTGCTGAGCGCACGGAGGCTGCTGCTTTCTCTGTCTATGGAGAAGTACGGTAGACAGTACAGGCCAGAGAACTGATGTACAGCAGCAAAAGTGAGATGTATTTGTTTGTCCTCATCATAAAAACAATCCAGTCCAGAATCACTGTCAAACCTGTGCCGTCTTGAAGTACAATTGCTGTGGCCGCGTGGAGCTGATCTAGAATCAAAGACACATACATGTTTTTTGACTGAAAGCCTCACTCCTTTTTTGGGCTGACAAGTGCGGCTCAGTGCACAGTGCCGTGTTTGTCTCAGTAAGTAAGTAAGTAAGTAATCTTTATTTATATACCGCCTTTCACAGACCAGAGTCACAAAGCGGTTTACAATTGTTATTTTTGGGCACTTGTCCTCTCACTCCACACAGAGATGGGAGCGAGGTAGACCAAGCTTCTGACTCTGACCAAGCTTCTGACTCTGACCAAGCTCCTGACTCTGACCCTGACCAAGCTCCTGACCCTGACCAAGACCCAAAGACCCTAATCCTAACTTAAGACAGTTTCCCAGGGCACAGTTTGTTGGTCCGGATCCAGGTCTGGGTCTCTCAGCGGCCTCTTCTCAGTTGTTGAGTCAGAACGACTGATCGACGATTTCAACCCACGTCACAGATGCAGAGACAAGAACCAGGAGAACCGCCCCCCCCCCCCCTCTCCCTACCCTCACCCCTTCTCCCTCTTCAGCATCCTCTCCCCCTCTCCCCTCTTCACCATCCTCTACCCACTTCATCCAGTCCATCCCTCTCCTCTTCCTCACCCCCCCACCCTCCTCCTTCACCCTCCTCTTCCTCACACACTTTTAGAGAGTTTTCTGAATGAAACTGACGTTAGTGCAGGAGTGAGGGGGCGGGACCAGACCTCCTCCCTGCGCTATGATTGGCTGCTACATGTGTCTGTGGGGGGTATAAAGCCTCAGCAGAGACGCGTGAGTGTCACAGACTGAAGAAGAGGAAGAAGAGGAGCATTTTTTTAACTGGCACAAGATACAAGACCCGGAGACAGCCCAACGACAGACCTGCTCACGAAGAGTCACAACAAGACCCAAAGAGCCCCGAGTGAGAACTAAGTGAGAACTAGGTGAGACCAGAGTGAGACCAGAGTGAGACCAGAGTGAGACCAGAGTGAGACCAAAGTGAGACCCGCTGAGACCCGGCTGAGACCCGAGTCAGACCAGAGTGCGTTTGCAGCTGAGAACACAAGGCTGAGTTTTGTATTTTCGCTTCACACTGACTCACCCACAGGTAAGAGACTGTAAACACATGGGACAAGACCAAGTGAGCACATTTATTGATATAGCACATTTCACACAAACCAGAGACATGTGACATGAGCATGTGACGTCATCAGCAGTCCATTTACAAGGAGCATCATGGAAGACAGCTATAGACGGGTTGAGATCAAAGACTGATACAATATAACATTTATATATAATATAACATTAAATATATACATTTAGACTCCTCCTGGTCCTTAGTCCTGGTTCTGTGTCCTAGTCCTTAGTCCTGGTCCTGAGTGCTGGTACTGAGTCCAATGCTATCTCAGTATCAGTATGGATAAAATATCTCTATCACACTCCAGTCAGAATTGGGTCAGAATTGAGTCAGGACTGGGTCTGAACATGGGGGCGGGAACTCGGCTGGGGACTTCAGGACCTAACCCAAAGACCAGACCCAAACCCTGACGGAGCTTGGGTCTGATGCTTCCTCGGTTAAACCGTCATATGGACGAAGCCCGGACGAATTGTGTGTGCGTTTGTTGTGTGCATGTGTTTATGCGTGTCTCTGTCTGTACCTGTGTCTGTGTGTGTGTGAGTGTCCGTCTGTGTGTGTGTATGTGTGTCCGTGTTTGTGTGCGTGAGTGTGTGCGTGAGTGTGTGTGTGAGTCTGTGCGTGAGTGTCTGCGTCTGTGTGTGTGCGTGAGTGTCTGCGTGTGTGTATTGTAATCTCACTAATGCACTGAGCTCCTCTGGGACAGTCCTGGACCAGAGCCACTGCCTCCATTACAGTCGCTGAGGTGCGGAGGAATCCAGCTGCAGTAAAACGGTGTTTCCCAAACGGGGACCGCATACCTTTAAGATTATATTGGGTGTGATTTATATTAATATATGTTTGGATGACTGAATAGTCTAAATGATTAACACATTACACCTGTGTTACAGACCTCACATTACACCTGTGTTACAGACCTCACATTACACCTGTGTTACAGACCTCACATTACACCTGTGTTACAGACCTCACATTACACCTGTGTTACAGACCTCACATTACACCTGTGTTACAGACCTCACATTACACCTGTGTTACAGACCTCACATTACACCTGTGTTACAGACCTCACATTACACCTGTGTTACTGACCTCACATTACACCTGTGTCACAGACCTCACATTACACCTGTGTTACAGACCTCACGTTACACCTGTGTTACAGACCTCACGTTACACCTGTGTTACAGACCTCACATTACACCTGTGTTACAGACCTCACATTACACCTGTGTTACAGGTGTAACACAGGACCTCACATTAAAATTGTTTTTGTATTTTTCAGAGGACCATGTTCCTGAAGGTCTCCGCGGTCCTTATCACCTATGCTCTACTCCTGTGCCACGCCCACCACTTACAAGCCACACCCACAAGGTACATTTACGGGCACGTCAAGAACATGGATGTCTTATAAAGCTCTTCTGCCTCATATTTTCTCTAAATGAATTTGTACACACTAGGGGGATGTCGTCTTAAACACTGGAGTAATGTGTACTTAAACGCTCTCCCTTCACAGATCTAACCTGGACACAGTGTCGCTCTCGGACTCAGAGAGCAGGAGACTCTTGAATGCGCTGCTCAGAGAGTTTGTACAGATGAGTGCAGAGGAGGAGGCAAGCAGGTGAGGGCGCTGTCCTGCTGTGTGTGTGTCTGTGCGTGTTGTGTGTGTATGAGTGTGTGTGTCTGTGTGTGTGTGTGACTGTGTGAGTGCGTGAGTGTGAGTGCACTAAAACACACATGACTCATTAGTAATTCAACTCGTCACGGTAGCAGCTCTCAAACACCCCCCATCACACCCTCGTCACCCCCCCAGACCCCCAAAAAACTGAATACAGACACCGCTCACATTTGTTTCTCTCCATCAGCTGTTGATCGGCTGCAGAGCTGATGACGTAGGACATTCCTATTGCCCAGAAGGTTTATGTGAACAGGGCTGACACAGGTTTATATGTGACCAGGGCTTCTGCAGGGTAGTTTATGTGAACAGGGCTGACACAGGAGGTTTATGTGCACGGTGGGACAATGTGCATGACTGTGCATGAGGGCCGAAAGCATGGATTAGAGAATGTTTGTGAACGAGCGAATGTTCAGGAGCATGAGGCCGAGCTGCTGCATGAGGGTCTGCTGATGACCTCTGCTGATGAGGCTCTGCTGCATGTCTTTTCTGTCTCTGATATTGTCCTTTTCTTCTGATCATAATGTTTGGCTCTCAGACTCTTCACACTCGGACGATCAGGAACAAATGTATTGACTGTAAGAGAGAGAAAAAAAAACAGACCTCTCTCTGGTCTTTCTGGTTCCTCTGGTATTTCTCTGGTCTCTCTCTGGTCTCTATCTGTCTTTCTCTTTGGTCTCCCTCTGGTCTCTCTGGTCCAACGCGGTCTCTCATCTCTTTCTGGTCTAACCCGGTCTGCAGTCTCCGGTCTCACCCGGTCTCTGGTTTTTGGCTCCTCCCTGGGCCTGATATAGATCCTGCTTGGAGGGAGGAACTGTGGTAAAGGAGATAAAGTCAGACTGAAGAGAGAGACTAGAGAGAGACCAGAGACCAGGACCAGAGATCTGAGAGGGACCGGAGAGAGATCAGAGAGAGACTTGAGACCAGAGAGAGCAGAGAGAGACTAGAGACGAGAAAGGTCAGAAACAACAGAGATAATCCTGGACTCGACCTACACATATATAGACTGGCAGGAGTTTTGGGATTAGTGTCATTGATGAGGGACACAAAAGGTCTGAGTCTGTTGAGTCTGAGCGCTGCATGAGCCTGACCCCTCTGCATGTCCCCCCCCCCCCCCCCCCCCCCTCCCTGTTCAAAGCCTGGAGCGCCCCCTGCTGGTCAAACGCTGCTCCGGCCTGTCCACCTGCGTCTTGGGGAAACTGTCCCAGGACCTCCACAAGCTGCAGACCTTCCCCCGCACCAACGTGGGATCGGGAACGCCAGGCCGCAAGAGGAGCTCGGCCTATCAGAGCATGGCATTCAGGCAGAGCACAGCCAATCACAATGCAGGAGCAGGCAGATACGGCCCGGACAAGGACTGAATACACACACACACCGAGGGACTGAGGAACCAGGTTCTCACCAGCACCAGTCAAACTGTCTCCCAGTCCACGTATCCACATGTCCACAGTCCATGTGTCCACAGGTCCCTTTGGTCTGAATGTGGCTTTAGTTTAATGAAGCATCCAATCATCACGGAGCAGTTTCAGATCATCAGCATGTTTCAACAAGTTCCTTTGGTTTTTAATGTAGAGAAGTTGGAATTCAGAAGTCATTTTCAGTCAAATTGTACGGTCTGGTCTGAGGAATGGGTCTGAGGACTGGATCCAGTCCCTGGATGAAAGAGCTTCTATTTCTCTTCTGTTCCACTATACTTCTAATAGCTTGTGCTCATGTGATGTCACATGCTTGAAAGAGCGATAGTTTCACATTGTAGTGAAGTGTAGCTGAAATGTCTCTCACGTATGATCAAAAACTGTCCCAAAATACCTCCTCTTCTTTATCTTGTCTGTCTCTCTTTGGTCTTTCTGGTCTCTCTTTCTGGTGTCTCTCTCTCTCTCTGGTCTCTTTCTGGTCTATCTGGTCTCTCCACTCTCTCTCCATCTGGTCTTTCTCTGGGGTTTCTCTCTGGTCTCTCTGGTCTCCCTCTAGTCTTTCTCTCTGGTATCTCTCTGGTCTCTCTCTCTGGTATCTCTCTGGTTTGCTCTCCCTCTGCTCTTTCTGGTCTCTCTCTCAGGTCTTCATCTGGTCTCGCTCACACTGACACACCCTAACCACAACAGGGACAGGAGCATGGACATAAATCTCGCAGTCCTGTGTCCTCCGTCTGTAAGACCGGCATGCCTCCTCCTCTAGGTCCTAGCTCCTTGTCTCCTATGTCTTCTCTTCTTTGAGCATGGTGAACGCATGTATTTTCTTTGTCTTTTGGTTTGTTCCTTGACACAGAATTGGTCTCTAATGTGAAACCGAGCGATCTCATTTAATAAACGTATTTTTCTACTGTCACAAAGTGTCTGAGTGTGAGCAGCGAAGGGAGCGAAGGGTTAATCATGCGTTTGGCGAATCATTGTCATCGTTCAGATCCTAAAACTCTCATTTGACGTTCACACTTGTGGATCATTGTATATTTAGAGCTACAGAAGACATCCTCATGTCTCAGCTGGAATCAGACTGAACCGGGTCGCTTTGTACTGCTAAATACTCCAAGAAAAAATAACTCCAATAGACTGCATATAGATGGACAATGCTAACCCATTGACTCAATGCTAACCTGCTAGCTCAATGCGAACCCACTAACCAACAGCATTAAGACTAATACTAGGGTGATGTCATGCAGTATCTGCTTTGATCAGTTTAATTAAATTATATGGCAAAAGTTTTTTGTATAAAATTACACATTTTGTCTGAGCTGCAGAATGTTCCAAATGTCCACAAGATTAAAACTCTTCAGGCCAGAGGTTACTCCATCTTAGAAAGTGCATGTTTAAACCAAGTCCCGGTGATCCAAGATGGCCCTATTCAAATCAATGGATTGATTTATCTAGGGACACTAAAATCCCCTCAAAATCCAACCTTCATGAAAGCTGTAGGTTCTTTGTCAGCTGAGAGGTTGAGCAGTTTTAACTTACATTGAGTTCTATGGTGACATTTTTCTGGGTGGTCCGAGTGAATTTAGTCTGCAGTACCAAGGGCGCCCTCTGTGCCCTTTGGTGGGACAGCTATAAGCTAGTAACACCCTATCCAGATCAGAGGGGGCGGATCCCGGCTCAAAAGTGGCCAAAATGACGTGCGCTGACATGCTTGCAATACCACCCCGGGCCGATGGGGGTGGACCCGGAATAAGAATTTGCCAATGCTAACATATAGCATTAGCTGACCTCTCGAAAACGGTTTACAGGATGGTCCAAAAGTTGGCTCTTCGCCCAAAACTCCATTTCACATGTGTGTCAATGTCAACCAGTCTGGTTTACAGAATTTTTGAAGTCACTCGTTTAAATGAATGGGGCTCGTGCCGGCTGACGCATGCGCAAAGGCTTTTTTTTCACATTTTCCAGCCCCCGCTGCCATTTTGAATCACTCCGTGAGAGCCCAATTTTTGGCCCATTAGTTAGAACGGCAGAGATAGGCGTGACTACGTCCGTTGATATATACAGTCTATGATCCAGATATTATAATTATGATGATTATCCATGGTTTGAACTTAAGTTGAAGTAGTAGTAGAGTAGTAGCAGTAATTGTATCAGTAGTAGCAATTGCAGTAGTAGTAGCAATAGTGGTTTTAGCAGTAATAGCAATAGTGGTACTTATTACAGTACTTTTGCAGTACTTTACAGAAGCGCGCATGTAACACGGCCACATGTGTCACTCATCGTCTCGCCGACTTCCTGAGTCGCTCAGGTGGGATGGGAAACGCCCACTTTGTCCCAACCAATGTGGGTGCAAAGGCTTTCGGAAGGAGAAGAAGGACCTCCCATTGACACTGGCCACGCCCTTTGACCACACCATTACACAGGTAACCACGCCCACCTCAAACAGGTACGTGTGAGGGGCCCACAGCAAAGGACATAATCTTGTCTTGGTCACTCACAGCAGAGGACACACTCTAGACTTGGTCACTCACAGAATAGGACACACTCTAGACCTTGTGATAGATACGCAGCGCTATGTTAGAAGCAGGTCACAATCATACAAGCAGACTGTAATGATTCTAAAAGATGAATGGTCAAAGCCAAGAGACGCAGCTGAATGTTGTTCTGTTTTCTGCAGATGTGACTTGGCAGGATGCAGGCTACGCCCCTTTGCAGGACCCGCCCCCTCGCAGGCCCCGCCCCCTTACAGGCCAAACAATCTGATGATGACAGCAGCAGAAGCAAAAGCACTTTATATAAAATATATAATTTAAGATACATGTAAAACCCTATAACCCTAAACCCAGATCCAAACCAGGACCCGGACCCAGACCCCAAACCTACATCCTAATAAAATGATTTTATACAACTCAAACAACTCATTTGTGTGTGTCTGATTTCTCATCAATATAACCAGGTTTTGGTTCTGGTTTAGACTTGCTTCAGACGTGCTTCGGAGCTAGTTTAGACTTGGTCCAGACTGGCCTCAGACCTATTTTAAACCTGGTCCAGACGGCTTCAGACTGGCCTCAGACTGGCCTCAGACCTGCTTCAGACCTGGTTCAGACCTGGTTCAGTTTCTGGTCTTAATCATTTCCAGCTGTTTCACATTTTTCTCTTGATTTTTGGAACAGACGAAAAAAACAAAACTAACCCTCAGAAATGTTCCATGGTCCAGTTCCCGGAATCCAGACCACAAATGGAGCTATTAGACCTGGTCCAGTCCCGGGCCAGTCCTGGCTCCGGTCTCTGCTGATGCTTTGTCAGCATTTACTGTGTAAAAACCTAGAACAGAGATTCTCAAACTAGGGGCTGGGACCATTACCTCTCTGAGTCACCAAAGCTTGGTGCAATTAAAGCTGGGGTACATAACTTTAGTTTCATAACAAATGTATAAATGTGGGACTCGTAACTTTGGACTACTTTAAAAACGTGTCCCAACATTTGATGAAATATAAATATTTCTGTGAGGAAGTTTTTAGAGTCAAGAGGAAATTAAATGTTTTTGTTTTCACACTTCACACATGGTTCTTCAGCCTCAGGTGATGTCACATTTATACCGTCACTTCCACAAACTCTGGGATTTACACACAACAAAGGCCTTGTTCTGACTGGGACTCCAGCTCAAGACCCTCTGATGAGCTGAGTGACAGAGTGACACACACACTCTCTCCCCTGCCACCCCACCCTTACTCTCTCTCCCCTCCCCCCCTCTCACTGTCTCCCCTGACCCCATCTCTTTTCCCTCCCCGCTTTCCACCCTCTCCCCTCCCTCTCTGTGGTTTTCACATCTGGTCCTCTCTTTCCATCATCTCTTTTCTTCTTCTGTAAAACCAGCTCCAGACTTTTTATCTTTGAACAGTTCATGCTTTAAAAATTTTTATTTGTATGTGGAGAGGAGAGAGATGAGAAAGAAGACAGGAGAGAGAGAGAAGAGAAAGAGAGAGAATTAGATGGGGGGGGGGCTTCCAGTGTGGATGGAGCCACACACAACTTCAGGTCTCTCTTTCTGGTCTCTCTCTGGCCTTTCTGTTCTCTCTCCTGGTCTTTATGGATTCTCTGTTCTCTCTCTAGCCCCTCTCTGCTCTAACCTGGTCTTCGGTCTCACCCGTCCCCTGGTCTCTCCCGGTCCCTGGTCACAGATCTAACCCGGTCTGCAGTCCCTGGTCTCACCCGGTCTCTGGTGCAACCTGGTCCCTTGTCCCAGATCTAACCCGGTCTGCAGTCTCTGGTCTCACCCGGTCTCTGGTCTCTGGTTTTTGGCTCCTCCCTGGGCCTGAAATAGATCCTGTTTGGAGAGCGGCCCAAAGGAGGAGGAACTGTGGTAAAGGAGCTAAAGTCAGAGTAAAGAGAGAGACTAGAGACCAGAGACCAGGACCAGAGATCTGAGAGGGACCAGAGACTATAGAGACCAGAGAGACCAGGACCAGAGACTTGAGACCAGAGACTAGAGACCAGAGAGACCAGGACCAATGACCAGAGAGAGACCAGAGACCATAGAGAGACCATACAGCGACCAGGACAAGAGACCAGAGGGACCAGAGAGAAAGAGATCAGAGACCAGGGTTAACCTGGATCACAACTGGCCTAAACCTGGATTACACCTGGACCGACCTTGTGCAGCAGCCAAAGGTGAGAGACTTGTGTCACTGTGATGTCACATGTTTATGTGTTTTTTAAATATCGTTTGTCTTCCGCATCAGCTCCAGTCTCCTGCAGACTCAAATCAGATTCAGTCTTGGACTCGGACTTAGACATGTTTATATAAAATCTAGATTTCACATTTGAATAAAACTGTTGAGAACACACTTTGGAAACTTCAGTCGACACGTCACACCTGCTGTATCCATGGCGACAGCGATACTCCACACAGAGGCATTAAACATTCATGTGGCTCAGGTCTCAGGTCTGAGAGAGTGAGACCAGAGAGACCAGGGAAAGCGACCAGAGACCAGGAAGAGACCAGAGAGACCAGTGGGAGACCAGGGAGAGACCAGAGAGACCAGGGAGAGACCAGAGAGAGATTAGGGAGAGAACAGAGAGAGACCAGTGAGAGACAGAACAGAAAGACCAGACACCAGGGAGAGACCAGAGAGAGAGAGAACAGAGAGAGAGACCAGGGAGTGAACAGAGAGAGACCAGATTGCTGTGGAGGCTGTGATGTAAACATGAAGCAGTGTTTAATTGACAGTGGCTCTTGTTGCCGTGGAGATCGTCCCCAGCTGTGACCTCTGACCTTGATGAGATGTCATGTGACCTGAGGTCAGAGGTAACACGTGTTTCAACGGCGATGGTCTCCCTTTGATCTCAGTGTGAGTCTGCCCCACATGCCCCTCAGACCACTCTGTGTAGACTCTGTCCTCACTCTGTGTGGACCCTGTCCTCACTCTGTGTGGACCCTGTCCTCACTCTGTGTAGACCCTGTCCTCACTCTGTGTGGACCCTGTCCTCACTCTGTGTCGACCCTGTCCTCACTCTGTGTCGACCCTGTCCTCACTCTGTGTGGACCCTGTCCTCACTCTGTGTGGACCCTGTCCTCACTCTGTGTAGACCCTGTCCTCACTCTGTGTAGACCCTGTCCTCACTCTGTGTGGACCCTGTCCTCACTCTGTGTGGACCCTGTCCTCACTCTGTGTGGACCCTGTCCTCACTCTGTGTGGACCCTGTCCTCACTCTGTGTAGACCCTGTCCTCACTCTGTGTAGACTCTGTCCTCACTCTGTGTAGACCCTGTCCTCACTCTGTGTAGACTCTGTCCTCACTCTGTGTAGACTCTGTCCTCACTCTGTGTAGACTCTGTCCTCACTCTGTGTGGACCCTGTCCTCACTCTTTGTAGACTCTGTCCTCACTCTGTGTAGACCCTGTCCTCACTCTGTGTAGACTCTGTCCTCACTCTGTGTGGACTCTGTCCTCACTCTGTGTAGACTCTGTCCTCACTCTGTGTAGACTCTGTCCTCACTCTGTGTGGACCCTGTCCTCACTCTGTGTAGACTCTGTCCTCACTCTGTGTGGACCCTGTCCTCACTCTGTGTAGACTCTGTCCTCACTCTGTGTGGACCTTGTCCTCACTCTGTGTGGACCCTGTCCTCACTCTGTGTCGACCCTGTCCTCACTCTGTGTAGACTCTGTCCTCACTCTGTGTCGACCCTGTCCTCACTCTGTGTAGACTCTGTCCTCACTCTGTGTAGACTCTGTCCTCACTCTGTGTAGACTCTGTCCTCACTCTGTGTCGACCCTGTCCTCAGACCACTCTGTGTAGACTCTGTCCTCTCTCATGTCGGCAGTTTCTTTGGGACACAAGCCTATGAAGCTAAAATAAACTCTAACCCATAGACTCCTCCCTTAACATGAGGAGCAGATGTGAGCGTGGTTGAGCCAGTCCCAGCTCTTCTAGTTTGGGCCTCTCATTATAAGTGGTGACAGACAGGAGCATCTCATATTTTATGAACAAAAGATTATTTTACTGCAGAAGACACAAACCAAGACTAGGACCAAGACCAGGACCAAGACCAAGACCAAGACCAAGACCAGGACCAGAGTCTGAAGGATTCAACTTCAGACCTGATGACCTGACGGCTGCTGACAGGTTTTCACTTTAAAACTCTTCAGTCTTATTGTGAAGAGAACAAAGAGGAGAACAGGCTGAACAGCTGTCACTCGCACTAATGCACAGGGAGAGGATTGAGGAGAGAGAGAGGAGGAGGGAGGGGATTGAGAGGAGAGAGGAGCAAGAGGAGAAAGAAAGGAGGGGAGAGAGAGGAAGAGAGGAGAGAGGGGAGGGAGAGGAGAAGAAAGAGAGGAGAGGGAGGAGGTAGGAGAGAGGATTGGGAGAGGAGCGAGGGGAAAGAGAGGAGAGAGGTGAGGTGAGAGGTGAGAGTGGAGAGGGAAGAGTGGAGATAGAGTGCAGAGGGAGAGGAGGGCGAGGAGAGAGGGGAGAGGAGAGAGGAGAGGAGAGAGAAGAGAAAGGGGAGGAGAGAGGAGGGAGAAGAGAGAGTGTCTCTCTGTGTGTCTGTGTGTGTCTCTATGTGTGTGTGATGACCTCATGTCTGCGGCTTCATAAACACAATTCTCCTTTTACAGCAGGCGTGTCACTGTGTGACTGATCGCCGAAGTGCAGGTCTGGTGGCTGTTTTTTAAACCAATTATATTCTTAAGTCTCATAACACATTCTATGGTGGTCTGAAAGTCAAATATTGGTCTGTTTCTGTTACAGGGTCTGAACCAGGACTGAACCAGGACTGAACCTGGTAGGACCTGGTCTTGGCCCGGTCTGGACCTGGTCTGGACCTGGTCTGGCTCACATGGCGTCCCTGGACAGCTCCTCCCTCTGTTTGTCTCCCTGCAGGTGTGTGACCTCTGACCCATGCTGCTATTGTGTTTGATGATTCTGAGAAAATGATATTTGAGCAGAAAAACATGTAAACACTTCAGATAAACACATAACAACATAAATACAGACACACACACACACACACACACACATTCAGACACAGACATATACACAAGGACACACACAGACACACAGCCTGGGGCTTAAACCTGATGGATCAAAATACTGTGTTCATAAACTCAACAACAGCCGACTCCTCCACAGAGAAACACATCAGCAACATCAACGTATGAGCCACAGGGATCAGAGAACTAGAAAAAAGTAGAAGCTTGTTGTCCGTAAATTACCGTCCATATATATATATATATATATATATATATATATATATAAAACACACAGTGGGGCAAAAAAGTATTTAGTCAGCCACCGATTGTGCAAGTTCTCCCACTTAAAATAATGACAGAGGTCATCATACAGTAGGTACACTTCAACTGTGAGAAACAGAATGTGAAAAAATAATCCAGGAATTCACATTGTAGGATTTTTAAAGAATTTATTTGTAATTTAAGGTGGAAAATAAGTATTTGGTCACTTCAAACAAGGAAGATCTCTGGCTCTCACAGACCTGTAACTTCTTCTTTAAGAAGCTCTTCTGTCCTCCAATCGTTACCTGTATTAATGGCACTTGTTTGAGCTCGGTATCTGTATAAAAGACACCTGTCCACAGCCTCAAACAGTCAGACTCCAAACTCCACTATGGCCAAGACCAAAGAGCTGTCGAAGGACACCAGGAAAAGAATTGTAGACCTGTACCAGGCTGGGAAGAGTGAATCTACAATAGGCAAGCAGCTTGGTGTGAACAAACAAACTGTGGGACCAATTATCAGAAAATGGAAGACATACAAGACCACTGATAATCTCCCTCGATCTGGGGCTTCACGCAAGATCTCATCCTGTGGGGTCAAAATTATTATGAGAACGGTGATCAAAAATCCAAGAACCACACGGGGGGACCTGGTGAATGACCTGCAGAGAGCTGGGACCGAAGTAACAAAGGTTACCATCAGTAACACACTACGATGACAGGGAATCAAATCCTGCAGTGCCAGACGTGTCCCCTGCTGAAGCCAGTGCATGTCCAGGCCCGTCTGAAGTTTGCCACAGAGCACATGGATGATACAGCAGAGGATTGGGAGAATGTCATGTGGTCAGATGAAACCAAAGTAGAACTGTTTGATATAAACTCAACTCGTCGTGTTTGGAGGAAGAAGAATACTGAGTTGCATCCCAAGAACACCATACCTACTGTGAAGCATGGGGGTGGAAACGTCATGCTTTGGGGATGTTTTTCTGCTAAGGGGACAGGACGACTGATCCGTGTTAAGGAGAGAATGAATGGGGCCATGTATTGTGAGATTTGAGCCAAAACCTCCTTCTATCAGTGAGAGCTTTGAAGATGAAACGTGGCTGGGTCTTCCAGCATGACAATGATCCCAAACACACCGCCCGGGCAACGAAGGAGTGGCTCCGTAAGAAGCATTTGAAAGTCCTGGAGTGGCCTAGCCAGTCTCCAGACCTCAACCCCATTGAAAATCTGTGTAGGGAGTTGAAAGTCCGTGTTCACTGCTCTTGAGAAGATCTGCATGGAGGAATGGGCCAAAATACCAGCTACTGTGTGTGCAAACCTGGTAAAGACCTATAGTAATCGTTTGACCTCTGTTATTGCCAACAAAGGTTATATTACAAAGTAATGAGTTGAATTTTTGTTATTGACCAAATACTTATTTTCCACCATAATTTACAAATAAATTCTTTAAAAATCCTACAATGTGAATTCCTGGATTTTTTTTCACTTTCTGTCTCTCACAGTTGAAGTGTACCTATGATGAAAATTACAGACCTCATTATTTTAAGTGGGAGAACTTGCACAATCGGTGGCTGACTAAATACTTTTTTGCCCCACTGTGATATATATATGTCTCCATGTATATGGAGAAGGGTCCCCGGGTGAAGTATTACGGCGACCACTGCTCCTAAGAGAAGCCCTAGGAGCATTTGCAGGATGAGTCAAATGCAGAAGAAAAAGTCCCTATGGGGATAAATAAAGTACACATTTATATATTCATTCATTCATTACCATCTCTTTTAATAATCCATTTCTGGGTCGGTGCTGCCACCCAACGGGAAGACATTTATATATATTTGTGACATATCTATACATATGTAACATATAAACACATCCTGTGTCAGAGGAGTTTGTGTCCAGAGTCTCATTATCTGCAAACAGCATGAGTCATGAAAACTAATCCAGACTGTGACTCAGCACTTTCACTTGGACCAGGAGCATACTTCTATCTGGTTTCTCTCCCTGGTCTCTCCCTGGTCTCTATATGGTCTCTCTCTAGTTTCTCTTTGGTCTCTCTCTGGTGGAAGGAGGCCACATTTAAATATTATAATAGTTTTCTAGCTCTCAGTCCAAAGCTCTTTACTCAAAAAAGATGAAAACTGCATGTTGTCTGATTTGTTGACAACATTTTACTTTAAGTCTCTTTCTGTTATCTATGGGACTATAGTTACAAACTCCAGCTTTAAACACGTGTTGTTTATGAGAATAAAGTTACGTATCTCAGCTTTATACATGTGGATTTTTTTGGCTAAAGTTACATATCCCAGCTTTAACAGTTTGCAGAGTAACTTGTGGAATGACTCAGAGTTTGGCTTGTTAGCTCGTTAGCCCGTTAGCTTGTGGTGACGCTCGATGGTTTCCGTGGGCTTGGGGCTCATATGGATCCGCGATTGACGGAAGTGACAGAAATCCCACGCTCTGCAGGTCATTAAAGGCACCGCTGACAGCCGCTCGTTACAGACAGAACTGAGCCCACCCCCCTCCCTCACAAATCTCTGTGTGACCCCCCCTCTCAGAACACTCATTTTCTGAGACACACGTTTGAAATCTGAAGCTAAAATACAGAGGTGTTGTCGTTTACTTGTCGTTCACTTGTTTTTGTTTCCTTGTTGTTGTTTGCTTGTGTACAGTCTCCGCCTCCAGTCCGACTCGGTGCAGCGCTGGTTGGAGGACCTGCGTCACATGACTGAGGTGGAGTGCATGTGTGTGCTACAGGGGAAACCTCTGGGAGAAGAAGAAGAGCTGCTGGTGAGGCGCCATTTTGAACTCAACCAGAGTAAACTCAAGCCCCGGCGATCCAAGATGGCGCCCTATTCAAATGAATGGTTGTGCTCAGTGGCGCTTTGTTACGGCATGGGGGCTGAAAGATTAGCGGAAGTCGCCTGGAACTCGCAAAGATCTATGGGAAACTCGCAAAGATCTTTGGGAAACTCGCCTGTATTTGGGCATCGTCTGATCCTCCCGGTTCTGCGCAGTGGATGATATCCCATAATGCGTTGCGCCAAATACACGTGTGAGGGTTTCACACCAGGTCTCACGCACGTGCACAGAGGGGCTCGGCCGCGCTCTGACCAATCAGAGCAGTTCATCAGAGCAGGAGTTAGAGCGAGAGCCAGACGAGCAGAGTTTGTGGCACTAAAGTGTGGATTTAAACAAAACCAAAGGATTTAAGAAGAAAAAAAGTTCAGGATGACAAGGGACACTAAAATCCCCACAAAATCCGACCTTTATGAAAGCTGTAGGTTCTCTGTCAGCTGAGGTCGAGCTGTTTTAATATGCATTGAGTCCTATGGGGAAAATGTCTGGGTAGCCCACGTGAATTTAGTCTGGTTCAGTCTGCAGTACCGCGAGAATCCCCCGAGCACATGGGTTATTCAGCTACAAGCTAGTAATACCCTATCCAGTTAATATAATACATCCATGAGTAAACTAGACTGACCCAGGACTAGACCAGACTGAACCAGGACTGACCCAGGACTGAGCCAGACTGAACTGGATTGGACCAAGCTGAACCAGACAGAACCTACACAACACAGTTGCGGGTCGCATCCAGCAGGAGACCACACAGAGAGGACACAAGGCGGTTTTTGACTAATGGGAGGGCCGTTCAACACCACTTGTGTCTTTAATTTGAATTGTTGTTGATTACTGTTATTGTTGTCGTCAGCTGGGAGCAGACCCGCCCTGGCCAGCCCGCTCACACCTGCAGCTCCTCTTACGGCGCGCCCTGGTGGTGAGTTCGGAGCTCAGCAGGATGTTCAGCCGTGTGGAGCGAGGCCGATGGGGACGGACTCACAGCACCGCAGTTCGAGCACAAACTCACCTGAGGGGACTCCTGCTGCAGTACACCCAGGGCAGAGGCGTGCCAGAGCGTCTGCTACAGGTACTGCTACTGCTGCTACTACTGCCACTGCTGCTACTGCTGTTAAACAGATCTGTGTTTGTTACAGTACGAGAAAATCCTCTTGGAGAAAAGTCAAGAGCTGACATCCATCACAGAGAGGTGAGACTTATAGAAGAGCAAGAACCAGGTCTGACCGCAGGTTGGACCCGGAGCGGATCCTGTCTGAACCTCGACTGGACCCAGCCTGGCAATTGTCTAAAGCAGGTCTGTTTCAGGTGTGTACAGACTGAGGACCAGAGTTTCCTGAAGGCGAGTCGTGACACAATACATCAGATTCTGACCGACCTGAGCCAGGACTTCAGCACCATGATTGACCTGGCTCTGGCCAACGAGATCCGGGTATGCACACATCCTGACATGCTAATGCTAACAGACATGCCGATGCTACACTCTGGCATTTGCCAGAAAACTTTTCTGGACACTCATTTAAATCGTTTATCAGCAAAAAAAAGTGGATTTGAGGGTGAGTTGTCCTTTAATATTATCATTATTATTATTAATAATGACAACCATATCAATGTATTAATATTACTGACAACAATATCAATATTATTAACATTAAAGATGCAGTCAGTGATTTTTTTCCAGATGCATTTTTTAAAATATTGTGGGAAGACGTCCCTAAACCCTAATTCAATCTGGAGAGACTTGAGAAGACAACATTTTTATTGAAAGGTGGTTTGGCGCCCTAGGCCCCGGTGCGGCGTTCAGTCAGCGAGGCTCCTGCGTGAGTGCGCGCACAATCCCCCGGGGACTTAGGCACTGGTGGTGGCATTAGGGCAGCAGGAAGAGGCATGCTTGAGGCAGGGTGAGGAAAGGAGGAGGAGCGGAGTTTAAGTGGGACTCCCACAAAGTGGGAGTTTCTCCGCTTTTAAGCTGCTGGCTTGACCAGCGTAGGTTGGTTGGAAATGGGCGTTTAGGTAGGTTCTTTTTATTCATCTCATGAAAATGCATAGCTATACAAAATTCAAAACATTTAACAGGCTATAGGCTGAGGATGCGAGGCCGGCCTGGAAGAGCTGGCTTTAGCAGTCAGTCTTCCAGAGTTGAATTTCCGCGAGGCTGCATAAGTAGTCAACTTTTCATGTGTTTTCAAATATTAATGGAATTGACAACATGCCTATTGACCAGATGCATCGACGTCATCCAGTCACGCAATTGTGCATGAGCTTGCGACGGAAGTGGTGGAAACTAGAATTGCGGCGAGAGCAAAACGGACTACAACTCTTAAAAACATGACTCCTCTCCTAAAACGAGAAGTAGCTGCTTCAAGCACATGTTTGATTATGTTATGAAAGTAGGACATCTTGTCAGGGCTCACAAGGAGCGGTATTTGGAGAGATTAAGGATCGCAGAATTGGATGTTGACCCGTACCTTCTTCCCCCAGTCCATTTTATCGATTAAATGAAATGTCCAATTTTGCCCGTTTTAAACCCCACATGATCTTTATCATTATGTCGTTAACAATGCATCTCCTCACACTGGAGCAGATTTATATGTACATTTTGCTGGTAGCATAAGATAAGATATGCTTTATTTATCTCACAAAGGAGAAATGTACATGTCACATTTGGCATGGATAGAAACACTCAGATTGTGCAAAAAGGGAGGAAATGTGCAAACATGTTAAATGCAGGATATATTATGTACAATAAAAAAGTGGCAATTTCAAAGTGGCAAAAATAGTGTCAATAGTCGTGCAGTAGCAATGCACTTTTCTGTCTACATCCAAACATGATACATATAGACGGAGAGGAAAATAGTGAAAAACGCAACTTGCGTCTAAGATCAGATAAGAAATCTTTTATTCGTGCCACAGTGAGAAAATGTCAGTGTTGCAGCTCACATACAGCACGGTACTAAGAGCACACGTTTGACTTCAAGAGTTTGTTGTGTCATTGTCCTCCAAATAAATTAATTGACAAAAAATACAGAATTGTGATTGATTTATCTTGTAAAAAGTGTTCACTGCAAATTTGGGAGTACTTGGATGGCTCTCAGTCTTTTTGGTTGATTGCCGCTGGCCATCGTCGTCCTCTGTCTTCATGACGAACAGGTATCAGATAAAAAGAAGAAGAAGGTCCTTTATTCGTCCCACAGTGGTGAAATTTCAGTTTGATGCATACACTTACACATCAAGGCAAGCAGCGAACATCAGTTCCGCGCTTCTTATTGGCAAAGTGGGTTAAGTGTAATGCCCAAGGACACAACGACAGCAGACATCAGTGGAAGTCGGTGGAGAAGGTCTTAAGCCTAGCGTACATCGACAGAGAAACTGGGGACAACTAGTTGCAAGGCGGCTTTTGGCAACTGAGAGGAGATGGTGGGAGATGATCAGTTGCCGAAATCGGTCGATGTGCGCGCTCTTACAACTGGAGATGATCAGTCGGTCTCCAGTTCCAGTCAGTTGCCCGTGTTCTACTTTTCGGCAACTAGTTGTCCTCAGTTGCCCCGATGTGCGCGCTCCATGCGCCGCTCCGACAACGTGTGTGTATTGCGTGTATTGCGAGCCTGCAACAGTTTATGTCAGAAAACACACTGTGGTTGAGGCCAGTTGCTGTCGATGTACGCGCTGTTATTCAAGAGACTGGCCTGCGACTCAGAGTTGCCCGTTTTCGCCAGATTGTCGATGTGTGCGGGGCAGCAACTCAGAGGCGACGGATATAATCAGTTGCCAGTCCGATGTACGCTAGGCTTTATGGTGGGCTCGAACCCATGACCTTCGGGCTCAAAAGCCAATGCTCTACCAACTGAGCTACTATCGCCCTCATTTGCCACACAATTTTGGCTGTTATTTGGGGAAAAAGGTTGTTTTGGTCAAGTTTCCTAAGGCTCGCAGCTTAGGAAAGGCTTCCGCTGTCTGTCATGGAGAGTGGGCGTGGCCGGGACGTTACATGCAAGGGGTTAATTGTCTTCAAATTGGGCTATATGCACTGAGAGGTGTGACGTCATTTCCTTTAAACAAAGAACAGCTCGTTTACCTCCTGTCTATGCTATCGCTATGGCTTTGTGGTGAGTTGAAGTGACAATTTTTAGTAATTAGATCGATACATTCAGCTGAAACTGACCCAAAAGTGTCTACGTGCTTTCTCTCTGAGGAATAGCTTTGACTGTGACCACTCAGAGAGATTAGTTAAAGGTACACTGTGTAATATTTAGTGCTATCTAGCGTTGAGATCTTATATTGCTGTTCAATATAGTACAGAAGCCTTTGAGTTGAGGAGCACTGTCAAAGACAGTCATTCACCAGACTGCCAAGGAAAGAATACTTTTGTTTGATAAATGACCGGATCTCTCCAAACATCTCGGGCACTTGACAGTCGTGTGGAGGCGACTTGTAAACAAGACTGCGTTCAGACGCGGCACCATGGAGTTTTACTATGAATCTACTATAATATACAGTGTCTTGCGAAAGTATTCGGCCCCCTTGAACCTTTCAACATTTCGCTACATTTCAGGCTTCAAACATAAAGATATAAAATTTTTATTTTTTGTCATGAATCAACAACAAGTGGGACACAATCGTGAAGTGGAATGAAATTTGTTGGATAATTTAAACTTTTTTAACAAATAAAAAACTGAAAAGTGGGGCGTGCAATATTATTCGGCCCCATTACTTTCAGTGCAGCAAACTCACTCCAGAAGTGCAGTGAGGATCTTTGAATGATCCAATGTTGTCCTAAATGACTGATGATGATAAATAGAATGCACCTGTGTGTAATCAAGTCTCCGTATAAATGCACCTGCTCTTTGATAGTCTCAGGGTTCTGTTTAAAGCGCAGAGAGAACCATGAAGACAAAGGAACACACCAGGCAGGTCCGAGATACTGTTGTGGAGAAGTTTAAAGCCGGATTTGGATACAAAAAGATTTCCCAAGCTTTAAACATCTCAAGGAGCACTGTGCAAGCAATTATATTGAAATGGAAGGAGTATCAGACCACTGCAAATCTACCAAGACCCGGCTGTCCCTCCAAACTTTCATCTCAAACAAGGAGAAGACTGATCAGAGATGCAGCCAAGAGGCCCATGATCACTCTGGATGAACTGCAGATAACTACAGCTGAGGTGGGAGAGTCTGTCCATAGGACAACAACAATCAGTCGTGCACTGCACAAATCTGGCCTTTATGGAAGAGTGGCAAGAAGAAAGCCATTTCTCAAAGATATCCATAAAAAGTCTCGTTTAAAGTTTGCCACAAGCCACCTGGGAGACACACCAAACATGTGGAAGAAGGTGCTCTGGTCAGATGAAACCAAAATCGAACTTTTTGGCCACAATGCAAAACGATATGTTTGGCGTAAAAGCAACATAGCTCATCACCCTGAACACACCATCCCCACTGTCAAACATGGTGGTGGCAGCATCATGGTTTGGGCCTGCTTTTCTTCAGCAGGGACAGGGAAGATGGCTAAAATTGATGGGAAGATGGATGGAGCCAAATACAGGACCATTCTGGAAGAAAACCTGTTGGAGTCTGCAAAAGACCTGAGACTGGGACGGAGATTTATCATCCAACAGGACAATGATCCAAAACATAAAGCCAAATCTACAATGGAATGGTTCACAAATAGACGTATCCAGGTGTAAGAATGGCCAAGTCAAAGTCCAGACCTGAATCCAATCGAGAATCTGTGGAAAGAGCTGAACACTGCGGTTTACAAACGCTCTCCATCCAACCTCACTGAGCTCGAGCTGTTTTGCAAGGAAGAATGGGAAAGAATTCCAGTCTCTCGATGTGCAAAACTGATAGAGACATACCCCAAGCGACTTGCAGCTGTAACTGCAGAAAAAGGTGGCGCTATAAAATATTAGCGCAAGGGGGCCGAATAATATTGCACGCCCCACTTTTCAGTTTTTTATTTGGTAAAAAAGTTTAAATTATCCAATAAATTTTGTTCCACTTCACAATTGTGTCCCACTTGTTGTTGATTCTTTAATTTTTATATCTTTATGTTTGAAGCCTGAAATGTGGCGAAATGTTGAAAGGATCAAGGGGGCCAAAGGCACTGTATAGTTTTACAAACGCGGTGTGAAGAGAAGAGACGGATGGAGGAATAACGTCTGCGGGAGCTTAAGACTACGAAGATCAAAGAAGCAGGAGATATACACAGCCACGGCAGACATGGCTAAAAGCTCATGTTAGCATTAGCGTTAGCCACAGCGTCCTATCTGCATCACGGTATGAAAACAGAACATTCACTCACGCTGCTGATAAAGTATTCTGGCGATTGTTTTGTGGGGATTCTGTGTGTTTTATTTGAGGCTTTTTCCCTGACTACTTTATAAGCAGCATGTGGTTTGTGATGTTGTCACTTTGCTGCTATGACGCTGGACTTCTGCATAATTATTTTTCTAAAAGATTGTTGTTCGGATCGTTCTTTTACATAACTGTGGTCCTCCATGGTTCCTTCTTCCAACTTGTAGGTCATGTGAAACGAAAACGCGATTCTCGCATCCTTTTTGTCCCTTGTCCACCACTGTTTTTCAAGATGGCCTATGAATACAATTCAAAAAACATGGTGGAGGTAAATATTCTTAAAAAGGTCACATTTGTTATTATGTTTTTTCATATGGAGCAGCTGTAAAAATTACACAGGGTGGCTTTAACTTTATAAAAGCACAATGACTGCACAATCAAAGAGCAGCATCCTCACAGTTTAATTCCTGTTTGAGCATTATTTAGGAAACTCGTGTGCACATCTGGTGAACTCCAGTGAAACTCAAGCCGATTTCTGCGCACTGGAAGTCAAGTGGTATCATAACTAAAACGCGGAAGTGGTGCATGCATAGAGCCCATTAATACAAAATGTTTTGGAGCGGACTGATAAAAATACACCAATGGGATGCCTTTACCCCCCTTCACCCTCTTCTATAAAAATAATCAGTTATCAGATAACGCGGTGCTGAGAGGACTGGGCGGCAGTCGAAGGCGGAGACCTCGGCGACCCAGTCCGCACACATAACATCTGGCTCGTGGGACGTGGAACGTCACCTCACTGGGGGGGAAGGAGCCCGAGCTCGTGGGGGAGGTTGAGCGATACCGACTTGAGATAGTCGGCCTCACCTCCACACACAGCTTGGGCTCTGGAACCCAACTCCTTGAGAGGGGTTGAACGCTCCACTTTTCTGGAGTTTCCCGCGGGGAGAGGCGGCGAGCTCGGGTGGCCATTCTCATTGCCCCCCATCTCAGCCGCCACGTGTTGGAGTTCTCCCCGGTGAATGAGAGGGTCGCGTCCCTCCGCCTCCGGGTGGGGGACAAGTCTCTCATTGTTGTGACGGCCTACGGGCCTAACAGCAGTGCAGAGTACCCGGCCTTCTTGGAGTCCTTGGGAGGGGTACTGGACGGTGCTCCTGGGGGACTTCAACGCCCATGTGGGAAACGCCAGTGACACTTGGAGAGGGGTGATCGGGAAGAACGCCCCCCCTGATCTGAACCCGAGCGGTGTTCAGTTGTTGGACTTCTGTGCCAGTCACAGTTTGTCCATCACGAACACCATGTTCAAACACAAGGGTGTCCACCAGTGCACGTGGCACCAGGACACCCTAGGCCCGGAGGTCGATGATCGACTTTGTTGTCGTATCATCTGACGATCGACCGCGTGTCTCGGACACTCGGGTAAAGAGAGGGGCGGAGCTGTCAACCGATCATCACCTGGTCGTGAGTTGGATCCGCTGGCAGGGGAAGAAGCCGGTCAGACCTGGCAGACCCAAGCGTATAGTGAGGGTCTGCTGGGAACGTCTCGCTGAGCCCCCTGTCAGACGGACTTTCAACTCACACCTCCGGGAGAGTTTCTCCCAGGTCCCGGCGGAGGAGGGGGACATGGAGACCGAGTGGACCATGTTCTCTGCCTCAATCGCCGATGCGGCGGCTCGTAGCTGTGGTCGCAAGGTCTCTGGTGCTGGCCCCGGCGGCAACCCCCGAACCCGGTGGTGGACACCGGCAGTAAGGGATGCTGTCAGGCTGAAGAAGGAGTCCTATCGAGCCATGATGGTTCGGGGGACTCCTGGGGCAGCTGTCCAGTACCAGCAGGCCAAGCGTGCCGCGGCCGGGGCTGTTGCAGAGGCAAAAACCCGGGACTGGGAGGAGTTCGGAGAGTCCATGGAGCATGACTATCGGTCGGCCTCAAAGAGATTCTGGCAAACCATCCGGCGCCTCAGGAGGGGGACCATGCAGCTCTCAGCAGCTGCTGACCTCGACTGGGGATATTGTCGGGCGGTGGAAGGAATACTTTGAGGTTCTCCTCAATCCCCCCGTCACGTCCTCTGTTACAGAGGCAGAGGCTGAGGATGTTGGGGCCATCCATCTCCCTGGCTGAGGTCACCAAGGTGGTTGGTAGCCTCCATGGTGGCAAGGCTCCGGGTGTGGATGAGATCCGCCCTGATTATCTAAAGTCTCTGGATGTTGTAGGACTGTCTTGGCTGACACGTCTCTGCAACATCGCGTGGCGATCGGGGGCAGTGCCAATGGAGTGGCAGACCGGGGTGGTGGTCCCTCTCTACAAGAAGGGGGACCAGAGGGTGTGTTCCAATTATTGTGGGATCACACTCCTCAGCCTCCCCGGTAAGGTCTACTCCAAGGTACTGGAGAGGAGGTTACGGCCGATGGTCGAATCTCGGATCCAGGAGGAGCAGTGTGGTTTTCGTCCCGGTCGTGGAACACTGGACCAGCTCTATACTCTCCATCCGATACTCGAGGGTTCATGGGAGTTCGCCCAACCTGTCCACATGTGCTTTGTGGATTTGGAGAAGGCGTTCGACTGTGTTCCCCGGGGTGTCCTTTGGGGGGTTCTCCGGGAGTACGGGGTCGGAGGTCCTCTGCTGAGGGCCATCCGATCCCTGTATGACCGGAGCCAGAGCTGTGTTCGCATTGCCGGCAGTAAGTCAGACCTGTTCCCGGTGAATGTTGGCCTCCGACAGGGCTGCCCTTTGTCACCGGTTCTGTTCACTGTATTTATGGACAGAAAATCTAGGCGCAGCCAGGGTTCGGAGGGGGTCCGGTTCGGAGACCACAGAATTTCATCTCTGCTGTTTGCGGACGATGTTGTCCTGTTGGCTCCAACGAACCAGGACCTGCAGCATGCACTGGGGCGGTTTGCAGCCGAGTGTGAAGCGGCTGGGATGAGAATCAGCACCTCCAAATCCGAGGCCATGGTGCTCGACCGGAAAAAGGTGCCTTGCCCTCTGCAGGTGGGTGGGGAGGTCCTTCCTCAAGTGGAGGAGTTCAAGTATCTCGGGGTCTTGTTCACGAGTGAGGGAAGAATGGAACGTGAGATTGACAGGCGGATCGGTGCAGCGTGCGCAGTGATGCGGTCGCTGTATCGGACCGTTGTGGTAAAGAGGGAGCTGAGCCGAAAGGCAAAGCTCTCGATTTACTGGTCAATCTTCGTTCCCTCCCTCACCTATGGTCATGAGCTTTGGGTAATGACCGAAAGAACGAGATCGCGGATACAAGCGGTCGAAATGAGCTTCCTCCGCAGAGTGGCCGGGCGCTCCCTTAGAGATAGGGTGAGGAGCTCAGTCACACGGGAGGAGCTCGGAGTAGAGCCGCTGCTTCTCCACGTCGAGAGGAACTCGACTCGAAGTCTGGGCGTCTCTGCTTAGACTGCTGCCCCCGCGACCCGGCAACGGATAAAGCGGAAGAAAATGGATGGATGGATGGAGTTATCAGATAATTTTCTAAAACCTTAAATGGCTGAACAGAAAATGCCAATTTCACGTTTGGCACCCACTCTCCCTGTTGTGACAAAGAAAAGAAAATGCTGGATGTTTGGTTTGGTGAAGAGGCGAGGGGAGGCGGGGAGTGGTTTCGAGTTGGTGCTACGGCTAAGCTAACAAAATCGCTTACTGCATCTTTAACATAATAATAACGATCTTTAATGACAACAATGTCGATATTACTAATATTAATCATAGCAATATTAATATTATTAATATGAATATTATCACTCCATGACTATTTTAACTGAGGTAGAGTAACAGAGGTGTGGTTGACAGGTGCTGGTGGAGCAGGTGGAGCGCAGTTCTAAGCCAGAGACTGTAGAGGGCGCCATCTCATCTCTGCTCAGTCTGACACAGGACGGACCACAGCTCTGCAGCATCATCGCACAGGTACTGTCCATAGCAGGATACTACCCAAACCCACATCAGGATACACGCACTAGGGGTGTGACGATATATCGATATATACGATATATCGCAATACTTTCTCCCGCGATTCGATTATCGACATGCATTTGCCAAGTATCAATATCGATTTTTTTTAAATTATTATTATTGTTTTTTTCAATACTTAATATATGGCTACATTACTCATCTCCATTCCATTTATCATGAAATAAAGTGTTTTTCTTTTATTTATGCCATAAATTGGCATATTGTATATTTCTGACCAATATATCGATAATTGTCATATGGTGATAAAATCGTTATCGTGATATCGTTATCGTGATAATATCGTTATCGTGATAATATCGTTATCGTGATAATATCGTTATTGTGATAATATCGTTATCGTGATAATATCGTTATCGTGATAATATCGTTATCGTGATAATATCGTTATCGTGATAATATCGTTATTGTGAGCTCTGTATCGTGTATGGTATCGTGTCCTGAGATACCCTTAGGTTCCCACCCCTAACACGCACACATACGAACACACCACAGAGTGTGTGTGCGTGTATAATTCTCTTTGACAGAATTGACGTCTTAGATAAAGAAGCAGAAACAGGAAGAGTTTATCAGCGGCTTTTAATCTGAGATGAACCAGACCGACCTTTAGACCAAGACTGAGACCAGGAGGACTGAGACCAGGACCAGGACTCAGACCAAGAACAGAACTGAGACTAAGTGCCGAGATCGCGAGATTAGAACAACAAAACAATTATCACCTTACGAAAAGGAGGTGGTGATGAGCAGGAGATGATGTGGAGGAGGGGGTGATGAGGAGATCGTGATTGGGAGGAGGTGGTGATGAGGAGGAGGAGGAGATAGAAATGGTGTGAGAATCAGTCCGAATTATAGTTTGAATAATACTGTTGTAAAGAGGAGTCGAGAGAGAGAGAGAGAGAGAGACTGTTGATCTGAATAAGAGACAAAAACAACTAAATTGCAGCATGTGGTATTTTCAGCGCACAGCTCTCCTCCTTCCTCTCCTCCTTCTTCTCCTCCTTCTCCTCCTCCCTCTTCGCTCCCTGCTCGGCCGCTCTCAGCCTGGTGGTGGGATGCGGTATTTCACCCTCAAGGTTTAAGGTACTCTATCATTATTATTCCCGAGGTGCAATTTGGTTGCAGCAGAAAGCCACACAAAAATACAAGTCGCGCTTGTATTTTGATTGGAACAACATCTGAACAGTTGTGGTCTCTAGGGGAAATGTGGCTCATGTGCGGTGTGATTCCAGGAGGGGGCAGTGGGGGCGCTCTTCAGACTCTGTAGACAGGATGTCTTCACTGAGCTTTACGCGCCAGCTCTGCGGACCATCGCCGCCCTCTGCTGCGAGGACGAGGGAGTGCAGCAACTGGACAAGGTACAAGACTCTAGTACATACAAACACACACACACATAAACATATACATGTACCATAGACTGTAAATATCAACAGACATAGTCACGCCTATCTCCGCCGTTCTAACTGATGTGCCACCACTTCCGCGGTCTATGGGCAGTTTCAAAATGGCCGCTGGGGCTTGAAAATGTGAAAAAACTCATCTGCGCATGCGTCAGCAATTCACAGCGACTAAACGAGACTGGTCCAAAAAAAATTCACTCCCCTCAGCATTGACACACATGTGGAACGGAGCTTTGGGCCAAGAGACTACTTTTGGACCATCCTGTAAAGACGTTTTCGAGAGGTAAGAATATGCTATATGTTAGCATTGGTTAATTCTTTTTCCGGGTCCACCCCCATCGGCCCGGGGTGGTATTGCAAGCATGTCAGCGCATGTCATTTTGACCACTTTTGAGCCGGGACCCGCCCCCACTGGTATGGGTGAGTGAAGCTCTGACCTCAGTTGCATACGCTGCTCTTTCATTTTTAAAGTGGTCCAAACAACACGACAACATTTCCCTCTGCGTAAGCCATTCTGTTTAATGTTTACAGTTGCTCCAAATAAATAAATGTGATCTCTCTAACAATATTTACCCCCACCATGTTTTTGGGTGGGGGGTTTTTGGGTGAAATTGTTTTCATAGACTTAGAATTTGAATCGTCAATGCGCCATCTTGAAATACATTGGTTGATAAGGGACACAAGAATCGTGTTTTCATTTCACAGGTGCTTCCACTGTGTCCTGACAAGTTTGAAGTAGGAACCATGGAAGACCACAGTTATGTAATAGAACCATGAAGGACAACATTTATGTAAAAGAACGACCCAAACAACAATCTTTTAGAAAGATAAATTCAAAAATCTGAAAACCGGCGACATAGCAGCAAAGTGTCAACATTGCAAACCACACGCACCGAAAGGCAGAGTTAAAACAACAGGAGGAACATTGCTGCACAACAGACAGTTCTTCACACCGACAGTAAATTTATTCACATCGACGGTAATGAGAACAAAGCAGAATCTCCAACACAGGTCTCAGGATGTTCTGCTCCGCTTCTTGTCCAACTACTATTACAATCACCAGAATATCAACAGCGTGTGTTTGAATGTTCTGTTTTTGTACCGTGATGCGCCTGGTGAAAGATAATAGTCTGAGCTTTTAGCTAGAGTCCCTGGTCCTCGTCTGTCTAAGCAAACATTCATATACAGTGGGGCAAAAAAGTATTTAGTCAGCCACCAATTGTGCAAGTTCACCCACTTAAAGAGATGAGGGCGGCCTGCATTAGTTTTCATCATAAGTAAACCTCAACTATGAGAGACAGAATGATTTTAAAAAATCCAGAAAATCACATTTTTAAATAATTTATTTGCAAATTATGGTGGGAAATAAGTATTTGGTCAATAACAAAAGTTTTTCTCAATAATTTGTTATATACCCTTTGTTGGCAATGACAGAGCTCAAACGTTTTCTGTAAGTCTTTACAACACACTGCTGCTGGTATTTTGGCCCATTCCTCCATGCAGATCTCCTCTAGAGCAGTGATGTTGTGGGGCTGTCACTGAGCAACACAGACTTTCAACTCTTTCCAAAGAATTTCTATGGCATTGAGATCTAGGGACTGGCCAGGCCACTCCAGGACCTTGAAATGCTTCATACAAAGCCACTCCTTCAGTGTGTTTGGGATCGTTGTCATGCTGAAAGACCCAGCCACCTTTCATCTTCAATGCCCTTGCTGATGGAAGGAGTTTTTCATTCAAAATCTCGCAATACATGGCCCCATCCATTCTTTCCTTTACACAGATCATGCGTCTTGGTCCCTTTGCCAAAAAACAGCCCCAAAGCATAATATTTCCACCCCCATGCTTTACTTCATTGTGTTAATTTGGATGCAACTCTCCTCCAAACACGACGAGTTGAGTTTTTCAAAAAATTCTATTTTGGTTTTATCTGACCACATGACATTCTCCCAATCCTCTATTGGATGCTCCTCCATATGCTCTCTAGAAACCTTCAGACGGGCCTGGACATGCACTTAGTGTGTTTCTGATGGTAACCTTTGTTACTTTGGCCCCAGCTCTCTGCAGGTCATTCTCTAGGTCCCCCCGTGTGGTTGTGAGATTTTTGCTCACCGTTCTTGACCATTTTGACCCCACGGGGGGAGATCTTGCGGGAAGCCCGATTGAGGGAGATTATCAGTGGTCTTGTATGTCTTCCATTTTCTTACTGATTGCTCCCACAGTTGATTTCTTCACACCAAGCTGCTTAACTATTGCAGATTCAGTCTTCCTAGCCTGGTGCAGGTCTACAAATGCCACAGTGGAGTTTGGAGTGTGACTGTTTGAGGCTGTGGTCAGGTGTCTTTCATACTGATAACGAGTTCAAACAGGTGCCATTAAAACAGGTAACAAGTGGAGGACACAGGAGCCTCTTTAGGAAGGAGTTACAGGTCTGTGAGAGACAGAAATCTGTTTGTTTGTAGGTGACCAAATACTTATTTTCCACCATAGTTTTTTTTCTCATTCTGTCTCTCATAGTTGAGGTCAACCTATGATGAAAATTACAGGCCTCCCTCATCTTTGCACAACTTGTACAACTGGTGGCTGACTAAATACTTTTTTTCCCCACTGTGTAATCCCTGGTTTCAGTCCTGGTCTTAGTCCTGTCCTATTCCTGGTCTGGTCCGTGTTTGTAGATTGGTTTCACATTGACAATTGTTGCCCGACTTTTGTTTTCCAATGTGGTTTAACTGCAAATGGTAATTTAACTGGTAAATAGTCTTGGATTTAGTCCTGGTCGCGGTCCTGGTCTCGGTCCTGGTCCCGGTCCTGATCCTGGTCCTGATCCATGTTTTAGTCTTAGTCTCTGTCCTGGTCTCGGTCCTGGTCCCGGTCCTGATCCCGGTCCTGATCCCGGTCCTGATCCCGGTCCTGATCCATGTTTTAGTCTTAGTCTCTGTCCTGGTCTCGGTCCTGGTCCCGGTCCTGATCCCGGTCCTGATCCCGGTCCTGATCCCGGTCCTGATCCATGTTTTAGTCTTAGTCTCTGTCCTGGTCTGGGTCCTGGTTTTAGTCCTGGTCTGGTTCTGGTCTTGGTGCTGGTCCTGATCTTAGTCCCGGCCCTGGTCTTGGTTGTGGTCCTTGGCCTGGTCCCGATTCTGGTTTTACTCCTGGTCATGGTCTTAGTCCTGGTATTAGTCTTATAAATGTTGGGAGACTCATTATGCAGTGGGTAGTGATGGGAGACGGACACATGTGCAGTTCCCCTGTGGGACAGTGGAGGCAGCAGAGACACCTGTGTTCATGAAGCAGAGAGCGGAACTGCAGAAGAACAGGGATAATGAGTCTGGGGGGACAGGACAGCCCTGAGTCACTATCTGACTCTTAGGGCTGAGAGATGATTGACTGAGGGAGGGTGACCACAGGACCTGATCTGGACCAAGACCAGGACCTTTGTAGAGCCAGGGACTTGTGAAATGGTTTTTATTACATGTTGCGGGTTTAAAGTTACGTACCTCAGCTTTAACACATGGACCCCATGTTCTCTTTGTTATGTTTTTTTCATCATTATAATGAAACAACAGAATGGTATGTTTATTTGTATAGCACACTTCATTCACAACAGTGATGAGACTGTAAATGGTACAACAACATACGGTACAACACTGGCCCCTGGTGGAGGCTGAAGGCACCACATTGGCCCCTGGTGGACAGTGTGTGTAGATACAACACTTGCCCTATTATTTGAGGAGGTATTGTCTCTATGGTGTGTTTAAGGTGCATTTGACACATACACATTATAAGTATAAACACAAAGTATGTAAACATTTAAAGTGAACAGTATTTCTGACAGATGAGAAAATCTTTTCACCAATCAAAGCTGGGATGCATAACTTTAAAGCTGGGGTTTGTAACTTTCAGACCAGACCAATAGAACTCCTCAACCACCCTCACTCAGAAAATCAGCTGTCAGGCCAAAGAGTCCGATAGTGACTCGCAGGGTTCTTTCTGACAAACATGATGAAGACAGCATATTGTGTCTGATTCGTTCACTTTCTGTTCGAACTACATGTGTTATTTATGAGACTAAAGTTACTACCCCAACTTAACCGCCTTATGGTGATATCCTCTCTCCTCTTATGGTGATATCCTCTCTCCTCTTATGGTGATATCCTCTCTCCTCTTATGGTGATATCCTCTCTCCTCTTATGGTGATATCCTCTCTCCTCTTATGGTGATATCCTCTCTCCTCTTATGGTGATATCCTCTCTCCTCTTAAGGTGGTATCCTCTCTCCTCTTAAGGTGGTATCCTCTCTCCTCTTAAGGTGGTATCCTCTCTCCTCTTAAGGTGGTATTCTCTCTCCTATTAAGGTGGTATCCTCTCTCCTCTTATGGTGATATCCTCTCTCCTCTTATGGTGATATCCTCTCTCCTCTTATGGTGATATCCTCTCTCCTCTTATGGTGATATCCTCTCTCCTCTTAAGGTGGTATCCTCTCTCCTCTTAAGGTGGTATCCTCTCTCCTCTTAAGGTGGTATCCTCTCTCCTCTTAAGGTGGTATTCTCTCTCCTATTAAGGTGGTATCCTCTCTCCTCTTATGGTGATATCCTCTCTCCTCTTATGGTGATATCCTCTCTCCTCTTAAGGTGGTATCCTCTCTCCTCTTAAGGTGGTATTCTCTCTCCTATTAAGGTGGTATCCTCTCTCCTCTTATGGTGATATCCTCTCTCCTCTTAAGGTGGTATCCTCTCTCCTCTTATGGTGATATCCTCTCTCCTCTTAAGGTGGTATCCTCTCTCCTTTTAAGGTGGTATCCTCTCTCCTCTTAAGGTGGTATCCTCTCTCCTCTTAAGGTGGTATTCTCTCTCCTATTAAGGTGGTATCCTCTCTCCTCTTATGGTGATATCCTCTCTCCTCTTAAGGTGGTATCCTCTCTCCTCTTATGGTGATATCCTCTCTCCTCTTAAGGTGGTATCCTCTCTCCTCTTAAGGTGGTATCCTCTCTCCTCTTAAGGTGGTATCCTCTCTCCTCTTAAGGTGGTATCCTCTCTCCTCTCAAGGTGAAATCCTCTCTCCTCTTAAGGTGGACGGGCTCCTGGTGCTCTGTGACCTCCTGACCGATGGAACGTGTCCAGAGGAAGTGAAAGCTGAGGCTGCGGCGGTTGTGGCTCAGCTGACATCTCCTCACCACAGCTCCACAGGACACCTCCTCAGCTTCATGGAGAACATGCAGGAGATTGTGAGCGCACTGATCTGTGAGTGCCCCAAACCCTTCTGTTCAAACATCCTGTTATCAAACACCAATACCCAACAGCTCCCCTGCAGGTCGCTCTGGTCTCTCTCTGGTGTCTTTCTCTGGTCTCTCTCTTTGGTCTGTCTCTCTCGCCTCTCACTGGTCCTGATCCTGGTCTACATCTTGGTTCTTCCGGTCCTCAGGTCTCTGCTCCTCTGCCTCCTGTGGGGAGGTCTTTCTCCTGGCCTCTGCAGCTTTAGCAAACATTACGTTCTTGGATTCGTTGTCGTGTGAGCTGCTGCTTCAGACCAACGCTGTGGAGATCCTCCTGAGAGCAACGAGAGACAAGAGCAGAGTGGACACGCCTTACTCCAGGGACCAGGTGAGGAACCAGGAACCACCGACCAGGACCAAGGACCAAAAACCACAGACCAGATCCAGAGAGACCAGAGACCAGGGACCAAATACCACCGACCATGACCAGAAAGACCACAGACATAGTTGAGGAGCTAGTGACCAGAGAGAGAACAGAGAGGGACCAGAGAAAGGGACCAGACAGAGGGACCAGAGAGAGAGACCAGAGAGCAACCAGAGAACGACCAGAGATCCCAATGACCTGTGTGATTATAATGTTTATCATGTGATATGGGCTTTGAAGTTCTTTGTGTTACCCTCTGTAAGAAAAAGCGCGGCACGGGGGCTGAGTGGATAGCACTCTCGCCTCTCAGCAAGAAGGTCCTGGGTTCGAATCCCGGTCGGACCAGGGCCTTTCTGAGTGGAGTTTGCATGTTCTCCCCGTGTCTGCGTAGGTTTCCTCCGGGTACTCCGGTTTCCCCTACCACTAAAAATATGTACAATAGTTCTGGCATGTGCCTCCTGTACTGGCCCCGCTCCCATCTCTGTGTGGAGTGAGACAAATGCCCAAAATTAACAATTGTAAACCGCTTTGAGACTCAGATCTGCAGTGAAAAGGCGGTATATAAATAAAAACTTACTTACTCTACAAATAAAAATGTATTGATTGATTGAGAGACCCGAGACAGACCCGTAGTGGACATCAGTGTAATGTCTGTGTGTCTCAAATTAAAAAAATAATTTTCATGAAGAAATGATCTGACCCTCAACACTGAACATGAGCACAGACAGACAGAATGAGAGTAACCTTTTACCCTGAGTAATGGTCCTCCTCACAGAGCCTCAGTTCTCCTCCTCACAGAGCCTTAGGTCTCTCGTTCAGATGCGGAGCTTTCAAACACATGTTCACTTTGTTATGAAAGAATGAGATGTGAGTGTTTGAAACGATGGGGGCATTAATCAGGAGCTAAAGTGTATGTCAGCTGTACACACCCTAACTCAGGTGATAACCATACCCACGGCTGTAGAGTTTCTCAGAGGTGTGACTGTGTTTCCAGGTGGTGACAATCTTGGCAAATCTGTCGGTCCTGGAGCAGTGTTCTGAGCAGGTTCTGCAGGAACAAGGTAATCTCACTCACCCTGTGATGTCACTTCCTCCCATTCTGCTGTTGATGAGGAGTCTGACTAAAGAATCAGAATCAGAATCATTTTTATTGCCACGTAAGTAACAGTAAAGTAAAGCTGACTAATTGAGCACTAAAGCAGGACTAAAGCAGGTATAAAGTAGGACTAAAGCAGGTCTAAAGCAAGGCTATAGCAGGACTGAAGAAGATCTGAAGCAGGACTAAAAGGGAGCAGTCCTGCTGGTCGGTTATCATGTGAATATAGAGTTAAACCAGTTAAAAAATGTTTTCAGACGATTGGTTTGTGTTTAAATATGTTGTATAATATATTATAGTAATATCACAGATATATTAATATGATGTATCATTATTGTTTTTAATATTATTATCGGAATATGGTGCTGAATTTCTCCGGGTATCATAAAGTATCTATCTATCTATTACTATTACTATTATAGAATAATATTTGAATAATAATATTGTATTCATATTATTACAATATGTTAATAATTTAATCTTCTAAGAACAATATTGAAGCTAATGTCTCGTTTTCAGGAGTGGAGGTGCTGCTGCAATTCTTGTGCGAGCGCCCCTCCTCCTCCAGTCCATCAGAGGGCGCTGCGTGCGAGCGCGTTCAGCAGAAAGCAGCAGTGACTCTGGCGCGACTGAGCCGCAACGCACAAGTTAGCTGCTGCGCCGTGCAGAACAACGGTAACAAAAAAACACAGCTCTAATGGAGCCTCAGAGTCAGCTCTAATCCTCATGATCCAGGCTCATGTTTGTGTTTCAGCTGTTCCTCGTCTGATTGAATTGTGTCGCTCCCCAACTGAGAGAAACAACTCTGACTCAGTCCTGGTGGCCTGCCTGGTGAGACCAGTTTAGAGCTGCTTTATGGTGCTTTCAGACCGCAATGGTGCTTTTGGCTGTTTACATTATGTTACATTGTGTTCTGTCTGCTCGCTCAGACCGCTTCTGTCCCCGTGACCACTTTGCGGCTCTCTGATTGGTCACTGCACGAACGTCCCGAGAAAAGGTTGAGCAAAGTTTATCTCCTTTGGGCGTCCATTTTCCTCCCCTTTGACTTTCCCGCGCAGTCCGTGCGTCTCTGCCAAGCCCCGGCGATTCAAGATGGCGCCCTATTCAAATGAATGGTTGTGCTCAGTGGCGCTTTGTGACGGCATGGGGGCTGAAAAGATTAGCGGAAGTTGCCTGAAACTCGCAAAGAACTTTGGGAAACTCGCCTGTATTTGGGCATCGTCTGGTCCTCCCGGTTCTGCGCAGTGGATGATCTCCCATAATGCGTTGCGCCAAACACGCGTGTGTGGGTCTCACACCAGGTCTCATGCACGTGCACAGAGGGGCTCGGCCGCGCTCTGACCAATCAGAGCAGTTCATCAGAGCGGGAGTTAGAGCGAGAGCCAGAGGAGTAGAGTTTGTGGCACTAAAGTGTGGATTTAAACAAAACCGAAGGATTTAAGAAGAAAAAAAGTTCAGGATGACAAGGGACACTAAAATCCCCACAAAATCCTATCTTTATGAAAGCTGTAGGTTCTCTGTCAGCTGAGGTCGAGCTGTTTTAATATGCATTGAGTTCTATGGGGAAAATTTCTGGGTAGCCCACGTGAATTTAGTCTGGTTCAGTCTGCAGTACCGCGAGAATCCCCGAGCACGTGAGTTATTCAGCTACAAGCTAGTAACACCCTATCCAGTTAATATAATACATCCATGGTCTCTGCTGAGCAGTCTGAGCGTCCCGAGACGTTCGTGCGTTTTGACCCTCGAACACGCGTCACCATTGAAACCTAACCCTTTGCAATGAAAGCCGACGCAACGCATGATCTGGTCTGAAAGCACCATTAGTCCTGTTTTTGTTCTGTTTTAGTCCATATTTAGACCTATTTTAGTCCTGCTTTTGACCTGCTTTAGAACTGCTTTAGTCCTGATTTAGACCTGCTCTAGTCCTGATTTAGACCTGCTTTAGTCCTGCTTTAGTCCTGATTTAGACCTGCTTTAGTCCTGCTTTAGTCCTGCTTTAGACCTGCTTTAGTCCTGCTTTAGACCTGTTTTAGTCCTGCTTTAGAACTGCTATAGACCTGCTTTACTCCTGCTTTTAGACCAGCTTTAGAACTGCTTTAGTCCTGCTTTAGATCTGCTTTAGACCAGCTTTTGTCCTGCTTTCGACCCGAGTCAGACCTGGTTCAGCCCCTGTGTAACTCTCTCCTCTGCGTGTAGGCGGCGCTGCGGCGTCTGGCCTCAGTCTGTCCTGAGTCTCTTCAGATCTCAGATCATCAGCAGCTCATCGCTCCGAGACTTGTGGACTCGTTTCTGCTCTGCTCCAACATGGAGGAAAGCTTTGTGTAGGACTACAAACTTGAATGGGAGATTTGAGTAGGACTACAAACATGGATGGGAGATTTGAGTAGGACTATAAACATGGATGACAGATGTGTATAGGACTACAAACATGGAGGCTAGCTGTGTGGTAGACTACAAATATGGAGGGGGACTACATACTTAGAGAAGGAATCCACTACTCAAGACACGGCAGTCTGCCCAAACTCTCCGCTCATGTTCATCCTCCATCAGGACGTTTCCTTAATTTAAATTCAACGTATTTGTGTGTTTGTGAGGACTTTACAAAGTTGTGGATTCACCAATAACAGATCAAAGAATGAAACGGTTCAAACACAGGAAATGCAATAATAATACAATGGAGCCATATGTCCATAGGGAGTGGGATGACTGAGGCTGTAGAACGAGGACATTACATTACGTTGTAATTTACATTGTAATACAGGGTGTTCCACAAAGTACAGGGGTGAATATCTCATTTGCAAACCCCACGTTGTAATAAAATCATCTCATTAGTTTCAGATGTGTTTGTGTAGATGTGTATGAATTCTATTACACACCGCTGTATGTACAAAACCTGTATCATAAACAATACATATTTAAAGCTGGGGTATGTAACTTAAGTTACGTTTTTGTGTGGTGATAATTAAATTCTCTTGGGAGCGAAAGCTGTGCAGAGTCATCTCCATTTTTTCACTGTACGTAACTTTAGTCTCATAAATAACACAAGTCTAAAACTTTAGTCTCTTGTGTTTCAGAAAGACCCTCAATAATATTTGACTCTTTGGGCTAAGAGCTGACTCAGATTGGTCCTCTCTTTCACTTAACTGTCTGAAAAAGCTAATCTAGATGTGATAGAGGCAAAAAATACATTTTGTGAAAACCTTTGTTACAGACCCCAGCTTTAAAGTCCTGTACCTCAGCTTTAATGTAACCCCTCATGTTTGATGTCCCAGAGTCTGCTGTCACTGTTATATATCGTCATATAAAAGGGACTCGCCTCTCCGTTATTTATGATTAAATATGTTTCTGTGGTTTGTGGAATTCAACAGTTTATGAATAAAAGTTTTGTTTTCTCTGCAGAAGAAACTTGTACACATTTTATTTTCTAACAAAGAGACAGAACCCCTGGACCAGAGTTAGACTAGAGACCAAAGACCAGCACTGAGACCCTCCAGGACCAAAGAGCAGGACTGAGACCCCCCAGGACTAGAGACCAAAGACCTGGAATTGTACCCCCCCAGGACCAGAGCCAAGAGATGCCTCAGGGTCAAAGCCTGTCAGACAAAAGTCAGGGGGAAAACACAAGTTAAATCAGAAAAAGCTGCGGCCGACCTGCTGTAACAGAAGCCTCATAAATAAAACGTATCTAAAGCTAAAGTTAAAGAACTCTCTCTGGCCTTTGGTTTTTCTTTACTCTCTCCGGTTATCTGGTCTCTCTCTGGTCATTCAAGATTCAAGAATCTCTCTGGTAACTTTCTGATCTCTGGTCCCGATGGTCTCTCTCGCTGTTCTCTGTGGTCTCTCTCTCTGGTTCTCTGGTCTTTCTTTGGTCTCTGGTCTCTCTGGTTCTCTGATCTAAATGGTAACAGATACTCTCTCCCTCATTAACATCTTGTCTTCTCAACTTCTTATGTTTTGTCTTTTATCTGAAACGTCGATAGTTCCACTCTGCCTGAGGGTGTGTGTGTGTGTGTGTGTGTGTGTGTGTGTGAGAGAGAGAGAGAGAGTATTGTAAAGAGTATGATATTGTATTTAAAGAAGACACACACTTCTGAAGAAAGCTCCACATTATTGAGACTCAACAAGCAGCTAAAAAAGCCCTCATCCTCACTTGTGCCACTTGTGTCACGTTCTCTCTGAGGGAATCCGTACAGGAGACAAATATGAGTTGTACACTGCAGATCCAGTTGTACGGTGTGGGTGGAGCTAAACACAGCTGCAAGTCTGTGATGAGGAACAGAGAGACCTCTTTAACGCTGCACTGTGGAATTTTGAATGAATAACAACAACACAAGTCATTAAGCTAACCTCAGATCAAACATCAGAATCATATATTTTCTTCTTCAAACACTTTTTCTCTGATCTAATTACAGAAGTGAGAATTATGTGGTCAAACGAGACCAGAGAGGCCAAAACCAGAGAGTCCAGAGAGACCAGGGACAAGACTCCAGAGAGAGATGACAGAGAGACAAGAGTGTAAAGTAAAAACTATACTGTCATGCATTCTCACACTCAAAATAAAAACACTAAGACAAGCTTTGCTAACAAATTCATGCTAATGGATGAATGCTAACAGATGAACGCTAACGGATAAAGGCTCACAGCCTCTGTTCTGAAGTTAGCTTCGTTTGCATATTTTGGTGTTTAAACGCTTTTACATATTTTCAAAATAAAGTTCCACAACATCACAGCAGTTCATGACCTCTGCCCCAGAGGTGAAGTGATAACCAGCGTTTGTGAGTCAGGGACGACATTTTAAAGAAACGTGACGTTCTCATGGTTTCTCATGTTTTCCACTTGTGCAGTCCTTAGCAGCACTTCCTGTAGTTCTGGGCATGCTCAGTGTGTCTTCTAAAGTTCACTTTCCAGCTCCTTGGTAAACTTGTTAGCATCATAATAGCTCTCTCGTTAGCATCATTAGCCTCCTTAGCTCTCTTGTTCGCACCATTAGTCTTGTTTGCATTATTAGCATTGTTAGCTCATGGTGTGTTTTCAGTGTTATTCTGCGTTGGCGTGGTGTTTTCTGCGGTTGCCGAGGGGACGTCTTCAGCGGATGCTGTGGTGACAGAATAAGCAGCGTCACTGCTGCTGCTAACCAAGGTAACTCTTGGACAGGACTCTGCAGGCAGGGGTGGGAGGATCCTGTGAGAAAGGGAGGGTATACAATCATATTCTACCCATAATTCTAACACGCCCCCCCCCCCCCCCCCCCCCTCCACAGGAGAAGCTGTGGAACTCACATGCAGCCCCGCCTCCTCTGCCGCAACATCTGTTTGTATTGGCCGATGCTGAGTCTGCGCCCCTCCAGGAAGCAGGTGCGTTTGGGGCGGGGCTTGTACTTGTAGTCAGGATATGTCTCCAGGTGAAGTCTGCGCAGCCGAATCTGCTCTGCGTAAAAGGGAGCCTTCTGGGGAGCGGCCATAGCCTTCCAGCGCCGCCCTGAGGACCAGACCAGGCCGAGACCATGAGAGACCAGAGACTGGACCAAGACCAGACCAAGACCATGAAAGACCAGAGACTTGACATAGACCAGACCAGACCTAGACCATGACAGACCAGAGAGAGAGACCAGACCCAGACCGCGAGAGACCAGAGACTTAGACCCAGACCAGAATGAGGTCTGACTATGTGACCTTAGACCATGTGAGCTTAGACCATGAAACCTTAGACTATGTGACCTCAGGATCATGTGACATACCCAGGATCTTAGAGATGTTTGAGTTGTGCAGATCTGGATGTCTCTGGAGGATCTTCCGTCGTTCGTCTTTAGCCCAAACCATAAACGCATTCATGGGACGTTTGATGTGAGGCTCTACACAACCAGACCTGGACCCAGACCTGGGCCGGACCGGGACCATGTGGGTCAAACATAGACCTGACACAGAACCAGACTGTGAGACCAAACCTCACCCTGATCATCTCTTATTTCATTAAACAAGTTTATCCACAGACCTGAGGAGTCTTCTTCCAGGTCCAGGTCTCGGTCCAGATCCTGGTCCTGGTCTGAGTCTGGTCCAAGTTTGATCCGATTCAGAGGCCAGTGTCTGTCCTGAAAGAAAGGTTCAAGTTTAAAGGGATCAGTAGGAGTGACAGCGGATGTCCAGTCTGATCCAGTGGGGTCGGGTCCCGGCTCAAAAAGGTCCATGAGCATGTGCACTGACATGGTTGCAATCTCCCGGAAAGAGAATTATCCAAGGTTATTTATATGCTGCCTTCTTTCCTATCAAAAATGGCTTTACAGGATGGTCAAGTCGGCTCTTGGCCCAACGCTACGTTCCAGATGTGTGTCAATTCTGAGGGGAGTTCTTTTTCTTGACCATTCTAGTTTAGCTGCTGTGGACTTTTGAATGCACTCGTTAAATGAATGGGGCTTGTGCGTTCTTTCACAGTTTCTTGCCCCGCGGCCCTTTTGAAAATCCCCACAGAAGGCAAAAGTGGTGGCATATTATTTTCAACGGCAAAGATAGGTGTGACTATATCCGTTAATATTTACAGTCAATGGTCTGAACCCGGTCCTGTCCAGTACCTGGTCTAGACTGCGGATCTCTGTGTGAACCGGTTCCAGATGCTCTTGACCTGGTCTGGTCCAGTCCAGTCTTGGTCTCTTGTTTGGGGACGTGAGATTCAGCGGCTCCTGGAACAGTGACAATCAACAGCCACTCCCACAAACAGAGTCTTTGTCTCTGTGGCAGAGGGTGTGTGTCTGTGTGGAAGAGGGTGTGTCTGTGTGGAAGAGGGTGTGTGTCTCTGTGGCAGAGGGTGTGTCTGTGTGGAAAAGGGTGTGTCTGTGTGGAAGAGGGTGTGTGTCTCTGTGGCAGAGGGTGTGTGTCTGTGTGGAAGAGGGTGTGTGTCTGTGTGGCAGAGGGTGTGTGTCTGTGTGGAAGAGGGTGTGTCTGTGTGGAAGAGGGTGTGTGTCTGTGTGGAAGAGGGTGTGTGTCTGTGTGGAAGAGGGTGTGTGTCTGTGTGGCAGAGGGTGTGTCTGTGTGGAAGAGGGTGTGTGTCTGTGTGGAAGAGGGTGTGTGTCTGTGTGGAAGAGGGTGTGTGTCTGTGTGGCAGAGGGTGTGTGTCTGTGTGGAAGAGGGTGTGTCTGTGTGGAAGAGGGTGTGTGTCTGTGTGGAAGAGGGTGTGTGTCTCTGTGGCAGAGGGTGTGTCTGTGTGGAAAAGGGTGTGTCTGTGTGGAAGAGGGTGTGTGTCTCTGTGGCAGAGGGTGTGTGTCTGTGTGGAAGAGGGTGTGTGTCTGTGTGGAAGAGGGTGTGTCTGTGTGGCAGAGGGTGTGTGTCTGTGTGGAAGAGGGTGTGTGTCTGTGTGGAAGAGGGTGTGTCTGTGTGGCAGAGGGTGTGTGTCTGTATGGCAGAGGGTGTGTGTCTCTGTGGCAGAGGGTGTGTGTCTGTGTGGAAAAGGGTGTGTCTGTGTGGAAGAGGGTGTGTGTCTGTGTGGAAGAGGGTGTGTGTCTGTGTGGAAGAGGGTGTGTGTCTGTGTGGCAGAGGGTGTGTGTCTGTGTGGAAGAGGGTGTGTCTGTGTGGAAGAGGGTGTGTGTCTGTGTGGAAGAAGGTGTGTGTCTGTGTGGAAGAGGGTGTGTGTCTGTGTGGCAGAGGGTGTGTGTCTGTATGGCAGAGGGTGTGTGTCTGTGTGGCAGAGGGTGTGTCTGTGTGGCAGAGGGTGTGTCTCTGTGGCAGAGGGTGTGTCTCTGTGGCAGAGGGTGTGTGTCTGTGTGGAAAAGGGTGTGTCTGTGTGGAAGAGGGTGTGTGTCTGTGTGGAAGAGGGTGTGTGTCTGTGTGGAAGAGGGTGTGTGTCTGTGTGGAAGAGGGTGTGTGTCTGTGTGGCAGAGGGTGTGTGTCTGTGTGGAAGAGGGTGTGTGTCTGTGTGGAAGAGGGTGTGTGTCTGTGTGGAAGAGGGTGTGTCTGTGTGGCAGAGGGTGTGTGTCTGTATGGCAGAGGGTGTGTGTCTGTGTGGCAGAGGGTGTGTCTGTGTGGCAGAGGGTGTGTGTCTGTGTGGCAGAGGGTGTGTCTGTGTGGCAGAGGGTGTGTCTGTGTGGAAGAGGGTGTGTGTCTGTGTGGCAGAGGGTGTGTCTGTGTGGAAGAGGGTGTGTGTCTGTGTGGCAGAGGGTCTGTCTGTGTGGAAGAGGGTGTGTGTCTGTGTGGCAGAGGGTGTGTCTGTGTGGAAGAGGGTGTCTGTCTGTGTGGCAGAGGGTCTGTCTGTGTGGAAGAGGGTGTGTGTCTGTGTGGAAGAGGGTGTGTGTCTGTGTGGAAGAGGGTGTGTGTCTGTGTGTAAGTGGCCTGTGTAAAAGATCGTGTGTCTGTGGAAAGAGTGTGTTGGTGTGGGCGTGTCTCACCTGCATGTGGATGGGGGCGTGTCCAGGTGTGATCAGAGGGGGTGGGGCTGAGTGCAGCGGGAAACTCTCTGAAATACAACAACATATGCAACCTTAAAACCGCAAGCAGCATCGGACGCCACTGTCCCAGAGGAAGATTAGGAATGACAGAACATTGATTACGCCTGAGGCCTCTCTGAGCCCAGACAATTAAACCAAGTTTCATTAAGTCCTCTGAGATAACTACTGTTATCTGTTGTGATTTAGGGCTATACAAGAATAAATTAAATTGAATTGAATTGACTCCAGATGTCCTGTCCTTGACTCCTCCCTGCTCTTACTGTGGTTCCTATATTTGCATAAAATGACGGAACAGGTAACTTTGACATATGTGTAACTCTACTGTACATATATATTGTACATCTATACTGTACATATATAAACTGCACATATGGACTTGTCCTCTTCCACATCATTATGACAACTCACAGATCAAACTCTGTGGTTACTGTGGAGATGAGAACATGAAATTGGAGAACACTCAAGATCAAAGACAGAACAGACTGCTGCTTATTCCATCATTTACTATGTGCGAGAAAATACAGATCATAAAACTGTGATTATTGACAAAACAACTCTGGTCTCTCTCTGGTATCTCTCTCTGGTCTCTCTACGGTCTTTCTCTCTGGTCTCTCTACGGTCTTTCTCTCTAATCCCTCTCTGGTCTCTCTCTGGTCTCTCTGTGGTCTCTCTGTGGTCTATGTCTGGTCTGTCAAACCAAGCTGACTTTGTATTTTTGTTTTCCTGTTTGTATACACCTGCAGGTTTGAGATAAATGAAATGAAAATGTTTCTGTGTTTGTTTTAGCTCTTGAGGCTCAGTGTGTGTCCGGACCCTAAAAGCTTTTCTGTGTTCTGACCGGACTGGTCTCGGACTATAATTGGACGAACGAGCTGCTGTGGAGGCTCAAGAGATGAGTTGAGGGGTATCCAGAAGGCCTGAACCATGTCTGAACCAGGTCTAAAGCAGGCCTGAAACATGTCTGAACAAGGTCTGAACCAAACCTCATAAAGACCAGTATAGAGATTACTCACCGTGGTGCTGTTCTGGAACCATCATCATAGTCATGTGACTCAGAGTCTGCGGAAACACAAACATACAACAGTTTGAGTAAAAGTAGTCTTACTTTACATATATAATTGTAAAGCGCTTTGTGACTAAACTTACTAACTTAGTAGCTAGTAAAGTGTTAGTACTCCAGTATTAGTGCTAACATACTAGAACTACAGTATTAGTACTACAGTAGTAGTACCTGTATATATTGCTGGAGGACACAGATTGTGTAATGTTGTTCCAGAAGCTGCTGCTGTTGATGAGAAATCTGAAAGTAGAGACAGTTTAGAAGAAAGTGCTTTAATCGTCCCGCAGTTTGATGAATACACATATACACATCAAGGCATGCAGCGAACATTACCTCCTTATAGACAAAGTGGGTTAAGTGTCTTGCCCAAGGACACAAGGATAGTAGACATCAATGGAGACGGTCTAGCAGGTCTCAAGGTGGGTTCAAACCCACGACCTTCAGGCTCAAAGGCCAATGCTCTACCAACTGAGCCACTGTCGCAAGTTTTTAGATAACAGTATATATGACAGTAAATAGAACTGTATATATAACACTACCATATATGATTATTTCTGGCTCTCACTGACCTGTAACTCCTTCTTTAAAGAAGCTATACCCGATTTATTTTCTAATGAGTTCATAAAAATGCGTATTACTACATACACATTGTAATTAAATCCGCAATTTAATTGAAAACTTGAGCTCATTGATTCAGCTTGTGTATGAATTCAGGCTGTAAAAAGTGCTGAGTAAAGACTTAGCGTGACGCAGGCTCTCCTCCAATCACAGAACGAGGAGCGGGACTTTTACAAACAGGCCACGCCTTCTCTAGTGTCTGCAGCGCAGGTAAACACAGTAGCATGGAGGCAGAAAGTGGCTATACCTGCTCTGGCTGTAACTGCATACACAGCAAAACAGCCCAAACAAACACAACAGTGAGGAAGAGAAGAGGGAACTACAGCAAAACAATTATCAAAGAAGAAATCAAGCCCAGGTGAACATATCCAGCAGCATACATCGTATCCTCTGGAGAGACCTGCGGGAGCGGAACCGCAGGTTTTTTTGTTAGCAGTGCGTTGCTTTTGTACCATTTCATCAGTGATTACAAGAAGTTGCGCTAATGCTAATGTTAGCATACGTATCAGATCAGAATCAGAATCAGAATCAGAATCATTTTTATTGCCACGTAAGTAACAGGAGGTCACAGACTAGGAAATTGCTTTGGCTCAGTGCAACAGTCAAAAAGAGATAATAAAAATAAGAATAAAAAACACTTCTAAAGAATAAATTTAAATTTAAAATAGAGTTACAGTTACTATTTACAATATACAAGTGCACATGGTGCACACAATGTAAGGTGACAGCAGTACAATGAAGTAAAGTGACGTATGATGGGCAGTAAAGTGACTTTATAAAGGGCGGGGGGACAGGTTAAGAAGTGTTCAAGAGTCCAACAGCAGAGGGGAAGAAACTGTTCTTGTGGCGGGAGGTTCTAGTCCTGATGGACCGCAGCCTCCTGCCTGAGGGGAGTGGTTGGAATAGTCCATGTGCAGGGGTGAGAGGGGTCGGCTGTGATACGACCAGCCCGGCCTCGAGCTCGGGCGACGTACAGGTCCTGCAGCGATGGAAGGCTGCGGCCGATCACTTCCTCTGCAGAGCGCACAATGCGCTGTAGTCTCTGTTTGTCCCTGACTGTGGCTCCAGCGAACCACACGGTGACGGAGGAGGTGAGGATGGACTCGATGATGGCCGTGTAGAACTGCACCAACATCTGTGCAGGCAGCTTGGCTTTCCTGAGCTGCCGCAGGAAGTACATCCTCTGCTGGGCCTTCTTGATGAGGGAGATGATGGTCGGCTCCCACTTGAAGTCCTGGGTGATGGTGGTGCCCAGGAAACGGAAGGACTCCACAGAGGTGATGGGGGAGTCCATCACGGAGGGTGGGGGTGGGGGGACAGTGCTCTTCCTGAAGTCCACAATCATCTCCACTGTCTTCTGGGCGTTCAGCTCCAGGTTGTTACCACTGCACCAGGACACCAGCCGGTCCACCTCCCTCCTGTAGGCGGACTCATCGTTGTTGGAGATGAGTCCAATGAGGGTGGTGTCGTCCGCGAACTTGATCAGCTTCACGGAGTCGTGGCTGGAGGTGCAGTGGTTGGTGTACAGGGAGAAGAGCAGGGGAGAAAGAACACAGCCCTGTGGGGCTCCTGTATTTATAATCCGAGAGTCCGAGACATTCTTCCCCAGACGCACTCGCTGCTTCCTGTCCGTCAGGAAGTCAGTGATCCACCTGCAGGTGGAATCGGGCACGTTGAGCTGGGAGAGCTTGTCCTGGAGCAGGGATGGCAGGATTGTGTTGAAGGCAGAGCTGAAGTCCACGAACAGGACCCTGGCGTAGGTCCCCGGGGAGTCCAGGTGCTGTAGGATGTGGTGGAGGGCCAGGTTAATGGCGTCGTCTACAGATCTGTTGGCTCTGTAGGCGAACTGCAGGGGGTCCAGGAGGGGGGAGGTGAGGGACTTGAGATGGGAGAGAACCAGGCGTTCAAATGACTTCATGACGACAGACGTAAGTGCTACAGGTCTGTAGTCATTGAGTCCTGTGATCCTGGGCTTCTTCGGGACGGGGACAATGATGGAGGATTTGAAGCAGGCCGGGACATGGCAGGACTGCAGAGAGGTGTTGAAAATGTCCGTGAACACAGGAGTAAGCTCACTGGCGCAGTGTCTCAGAGTGGCCGGAGACACGTGGTCCGGGCCAGGAGCTTTGCGGGGGTGCAGCCTCAGGAAGAGTTGTTTAATCTCTTTAGCGGCTATTGTTAGGCTGGGGGCAGGGCTGATGGGTGGGTCGTTAGAGTAGTGGGGGGTGGGGGAGGGAGAGGTGTCAGGGGCAGCATCAAAGCGACTGAAAAATAAGTTCAGATCGTCAGCTAGCTTGTGGTCGTCAACACAGGGGGGGGCTTTGGGTTTGTAGTTGGTGATCTCCCGTAGGCCCCTCCAGACAGAAGCAGTATCGTTGTTACCAAACTGCTCCTGTAGTCGTTCTCTGTGCCGGGACTTGGCTGCTTTCAGTTCTTTCCTGAACTGATATTTAGCTGCTTTGTAGCCGCTGCGGTCCCCCTCCCTGAAAGCAGACTCCTTTGCTTTCCTGAGCTGCCGGAGTTTAGCAGTGAACCAGGGTTTGTCGTTGTTATAGATGACCCTGGTCCTTGTTGGAATGATGCTATCCTCACAGAAGTGAATGTATGACGTCACAGTGTCCGTATATTCATCCAAACTATCTGTGGCAGCTCTGAAAAGGTCCCAGTCTGTAGAATTCCATGCATGCGCGCAGCTCTTCCACAGCTTCATCAGACCACACTTTGGAGCTCCTCACTGCAGGTTTCGAGAGCTTTAGTCTCTGTCTGTAAGCAGGAACCAGATGTATCATGGAGTGATCTGAGAAGCCGAGGGCTGGCTTGGGAACAGCGCGAAAAGCTCCGCGCACGGTGGTGTAACAGTGATCCAGAGTGTTCTCCTCTCTGGTCGGGCATTTGATAAACTGACTGTATTTGGGTAATTCCTGGCTCAAGTTTCCCTTATTAAAATCCCCCAGGATAATAATCAGAGAGTCCGGGTATAAGCGTTCCATACACAGTACTTGCTCTGCGAGTGCGCGCTGAGCCTCGCGTGCGTCCGCGCATGGCGGTATGTAAACAGAGGCAAGAATGAATGAAACAATTTCGCGCGGGGAGTAATATGGTTTACAATGAATGAAAAGATATTCCAGAGCAGGAGAGCAGTGCTTGGAGATCACTGTCACATCGTTACACCAGTTTGTATTGACGTAGAAACACAGCCCACCGCCTCTGCTCTTCCCTGAGAGCGCACAATGGCGATCCGCGCGGAACAGCCCAAAGCCCTGCAGCTCCAGAGCGCAGTCCGGGATCCGCTCATTTAGCCAGGTCTCAGTGAAGCAGAGGACACAGGATGTGGCGAAGTCCTTGTTTCTTCTCATGAGCAGGCTGAGTTCGTCCATCTTATTGCCCAGTGAGCGTACGTTGGAGAGAAAAATGCCGGGGAGAGCCGTGCGCGCTCCTCTCCTCCTAAGACGCACCAGCAGGCCTCCGCGCTTTCCCCTTTTACGGGCCCACACTTTTTTGGCTAGAACATGAACTAAATCAGCCGCAGATGCCAAGAAAACAGGCAATAGGTCCATGGGAACGGTGGGTCGGATGTTCATAAGTTCCTCACGGGTGTAGGAACAACCAGATGCGCAGTTAAAAAGTAAAAACAAAAGAAAAAGAGAGCAGCAAAGAGCCATGTCGACCGTACGAGGCGCCATCTTTGTAACAAAGATAAAACTAGATCGCAAATAAAACTAGATGGCTTAGTGGGAGGAGAGCGTAGGGGAAATGAGAAGCCTGTGAGCGAGTTGGGGGTGGTGCTAAACATTCAAAAGGAAAAAAACCCTTGCAGAAACGGTTATAGCTCCTTTAAGAGAATCCTCTTTCCTCCACTGCATGTTTTAATGGCACCTGTTTGAACTCGTTATCCGTATGAAAGACACCTGTCCACAACCTCAAACAGTCACACTTCAAACTCCACTATCGCCAAGCCTGTTGTCCTTTGACAACTCTCAAAGGACACCAGAAACAAAATTGTAGACCTGCACTAGGCTGGGAAGACTGAATCTGCAATAGGTAAGTAGCTAGGTGTGAAGAAATCAACTGTGGGAGCAATTATTAGAAAATGGAAGACATACAAGACCACTGATAATATCCTTCAATCTGATCATAAGAACTGTGAGCAAAAGTCCCAGAACCACACAGGGGAACCTAGTGAATGACCTGCAGAGAGATGGGACCAAAGTAACAAAGGCTACCATCGGTAACACACTACGCCGCCAGGGCCTCACATCCTGTGCCAGAAGTGTCCCCTGCTTAAAGGGACCTATTCTCATTTTTTTTGTATATTGTGATCTTTTTTGTTGTTAAATAAAACTAATTTTGACAGATCCTCAATCCCTCTTCAGCGGTTTCTATCAATAATTATTATTTTAGTTATAGATTGAAAGCACTCGTTTTGGGTGCCATCATCAAGCTCACGCTGGTGTCCTCTCCTCAAACCGAGCACTGTTGCCTTCTCTGTATTAAAACATTTGCTGAAGTCAAAGAGCGAAGGGACTGCTGTTTACACTCTTCTTTCAGTAACCTGCTGCCTCCCAGGGCCATACAAAATACACCCATTTTAAGGAAATCCTTGTTCTTTTTTCTGATGTCTTATTTGCGTCACAGCAGAAGCAATGTCGTAAACACTAAGCGGGAGCTTCGACCCCTACAACTACGTCATCAATTTTCTGACCAATCAGAGGCGTTCATATTGAAAAATTATTTAACTGATTTATTATCAATAACACGAAAACACATTGCTAAGGTGGGAAATGCATGTTTTTAATGTGTTTTTTTTCAGAACAAAATTATAATAATCTTCTTAATAAAGCCAGAACATATCCAGGCCAAGATTGGGAGATTATCACATGCTCAGATGAAACCAAAATAGAACTTTATGGTAAAAAAAAAAAAAAAAAATATACGTGTTTGGAGGAGATCGACACAGGTACCTGCACCATACCTACTGTGAGGCATGGGGGTGGAAACATTATGCTTTGGGGCTGTTTTTTCTACAAAGGGACCAGGACGACTGATCAGTGTAAAGGAAAGAATGAATGGAGCCATGTATCGTGAGATTTTGAATGAAACATCTCACAATACAGGGTCCCATTCCTTCCATCAGCAAGGGCATTGAAGATGAAACGTGTTTGGGTCTTCCAGCATAATAACAACCCCAAACACACCGCCCTGGCAACAAAGGTGTGGCTTTGTAAGAAGCATTTCAAGGTCCTGGAGGCCTAGCCAGTCACCAGATTTTCTGGATATTTTTTTTTCATTCTGTCTCTCATAGTTGAAGAATACTGTATGACAGTTTGAAGAACCGTATACAACAGCATATGACTGTTTATATGACAGTATAACAGTGTATATGACAGACCTGTCGCTGCAGACGCAGCATCAGCTCCTCACTCTCTCTCTGCTTCTGTCTCTGGACACTGGTCATGTTTCTCAGCTCCTCCTGTGACAGTAGGAGCTGAGAGCGCAGGGACCCAAGCTCCACCACCAGGGGGCCCAGGGCCTCCTGAGGTCCTCCTTCTGAGACCAGTGGGGTCAGGGCCACCTGAGGTCCTCCTCCTACAGCTTCTCCAGCTGTACCACCTCCTCTTGAGACCAAAGACCGGAGATCCAGATGTGGCTGGTTGATGAATCCTGTGGGACAGAGTAGGTCGCACGTGTTCTTCACGGGCCACATCATGATGGACCCCCCCAACCCCCCCGACCATGATGCTGCTCCTCCCTCACTCTGAAGACAGTGTTAGTGTGGGTCTCGAGAATAGACTTTAAAACAGCTTTGCTTGTGTACAAGTCTCTCCATGGCCTCGCACCAAAATATATTAGTGACATGTTAGTCCCATATGAACCAGCCCGGACTCTGAGGAGCACAGGGACTGGACTCCTGTTAGTGCCCAGAGTCAGAACTAAACATGGGGAGGCTGCTTTTCAGATTCATGCTGCTAAAATCTGGAACATTCTTCCTGAAGATGTGAGACAGGCCTCCTCTCTGACTATGTTTAAAACCAAGTTAAAAACTGTGCTGTTTAGCTGTGCATACAACTGAGGGATTTTATATTTTTATCTTTCTTTTTAATGTTCTGTGATTATTTATGATTTTAATGCTATCTTGTTCAGCACTTTGAGTTGCCTTGTGTATGAATTGTGCTATACAAATAAACATGCCTTACCTTGCCTTGCCTTGTCTGTCCACCTGTGTCAGACTCACCTGCGTCCAACAGGGGGCGCTGCAGTTCCTCCAGTCTCTTCTGTTTCAAACACTTCACCACAGTGGCCAGAGTGATACGTCGGCTCTGTGGAGGGAGAGCAGAGAAAGTGTGAGTGTGTGTGTGAGTCATATAAACTGTAAATATGTTGGTGTGTATCTCACATGATTGAGGAAACTCATCTGTTTGGGGGAGGTGGCCTCGTCCCATTGGTCGGCTGGCTCAGGTGAGAACTCACAGCTGATTGGCTCTGTCTGTGGATCATGTGATGGCTCCTCCTGTTGTGATTGGACCGAAGTCAAATAGTCGGAGAAAAGAGTCGACATCTGAAACACAAACAGCTAAACTAAACTAACAGCATGAGCAATAGCCCCTGCTGACAGCATAGTATTAGCCCCAGATAACAGCATCTACATTAGCCCCAGCTAATAGCATGAGCATGTTTGAGTCATGTATACTCAACAGGACTAGACAGGGACTGGACCAAGTCCTGACCAGGACCAGACAGGTCAGGACCACAGACAAAGTTAGGGATCAGAAGATGAATACATGACTCAAACATGGTCATGGCCTTGACCATCAATCATGTACAGTTTAATATTTGAGTGAAAACAAAGTGCTCGAAATAAAACACATTTAAATACATTTAAATATGAAAAAGTTCTGTGTGAATGTAGAGGTCCAGGTCTGGACCAGGTCTGGACCAGGTCTGGAACAGGTCTATGCCAGGTCTGCACCTGGTCTGATCTAGCTCTAATGCAGGACTAAAGCTGGTCTAAAAAACGTGTAAAACAGGACTAAACAAGGACTAGAGCAGGACTAAAGCAGGAATAAAGCAGGAATAAAGCAGGTCCAGATGAGGACTGAAGCAGGTCTATAATAGGACTAAATCAGGACTAAAGCAGAACTAAAGGTGATCTAAAGAAGGACTAAAGCATGTCTAAAGCAGGTCTAAAGCAGGACTAAAATTGATCAAAAGCAGGTCTAAAGTGCTTGCATGCGAAAGCCAGGGCCTGGTTAGTATTGTGATGGGAGACCTCTGGGAACACCAGGTGCCACAGTGGGGCGGCTGCGGCTTTAAAGAGACAAACTGTTGTTGTGTCCCTAGACAAGACATTTCCCCCACATTGCCTATGAGTCTAGTGTGTGCGTTAATGGTTGGTGGTGATCGGAGGGGCCGTCAGCACATACTGGTTGCCTTGCTTCGGTCAGTGAGCCCCAGGGCAGCCGTGACTACAGTACTTTATCAGCACTGCGTATGAAAAATGTGAAAAGCGCCTTTGAGTGCCCTGAAAAGCGCTATATAAAACCAATGTATTATTATTATTTATATTAAAGAAGGTTTAAATTAGGGCTAAAGAAAATCTAAAGCAGGACTAAAAAGCACAACAAAAGTATAGGACTCATGCAGGTCTAAACAGGTCTAGGGCAGGTCTAAAGCAGATCTAAAGAAAATCTAAAGCAGGACTAAAGTAGAAGCAGTGTAGGATTAAGAAGAACTCAAAATTATCAAAAGGCAGGTCTGTAAAGAGCTGTAAAAGAGGACTAAAGCAACTTTACGCAGATCTAAAGCAGGACTAAAAATTATTAAAAGCAGGTCTAAAGCAGGTCAAAAGCTGGAGTTTTGCTGATCAAGAGCAAGTCTAAAGCAGGTCCAACCCTTTATCTCCGAGGCACATGCCGCTGTCCTCGTGTCACCTCTGACTTTACTGTAACTGTCTTCTTTGAGATAACGACTGCTACATCCTGATATCCAAAAGTGAACCAAGAATACATGAACCCCTTTCCTCACCCCACAACCCATTGCTCACTCCCTTACCCCGCCTCACTCCGTCCCTCACCCTGACCCCAGTGTCCTCTCCTGTCCCTCCTGCTCACCTGGTCCTCCGGTCGTGCTGCTCTTGTTCCTGTGAGTCCAGCCTCTTTGATCATGTGATCAGTCTTCGCGTCTGCTGGGGGTCCAACCGCAGCCAGTTCAGATCCAGTATTGAACTGATGAGGCTTGAGTTTCACAGGATGTGAGAGACAACACTTCCCAGAGACCAGAGAGAGAGAAAGACCAGAGAGGGAGAGACCAGAGAGAGACCAAATAGAGAGAAAACAGAGACCAGAGTAAAACACCATCACAGACCATGCAGATACTAGAGAGAACAGAGAGTGATCAGAAAGACCAAAGAGAGAGAGAACAGAAAACCAAATGGCACCATGCGTAAAGACTAACAAACGGAGTGGGGGTTTTTGTCTGCGCTTGACCTCACGAATGCGTCGATGTTCCCTGTGTCTTCATCACTTTGTCTACATGTTTAGAAATCAGATTCTTACCTTGAGTTTCTGCTGTGAATCCCAAACAGACCGCTATAGTTCTAGCTGATGGGACCAGAGACCAGACGAAGACCAGGGAGAGACAGAGACCAGAGACATCAGAGAGAGACCTGAGAAAAACCCTGGCAGACACCAGAGAGCAAGAGACAGATAGACAAGAGAGAGACTAGAAAACAGAAAGAGGCCAGAGAGAGAGAGAGAGAGAGAGAGAACATATGAGACCAGGGAGTGAGCGAGTCCGCTTCTCTGCGCGTAAAACCAAATGACACCGCGCGTAAAGACGGAGCGCTTTTCTACTTCGAACTACGAGCAGGTGAAGCTAAAAGAGCACGTTCTTCTCCCGCATCCAATGCGCACACAAGTCACTGTAAAGTTTCAGCCGTGAACCTCAAGCAGACAGAACTGTTGCAAATGAGAGAGACCAGAAAGACCAGAGAGGAGCCAGAGAGAGAGAGACCAGACATACACCAGAGCGAGACCAGGGAGAGAGACCAGACAGAGATCAGAGAGAGAGACCAAAGCGAAACCAAAGAGAGACCAGAGAGAGAACAGAGAGAGAACAGAGAGAGACTGGAGAGATGGGACGAGGGAGACAAAGAGAACAGAAAGGCCACAAACCAAAAAGAGAGACCAGAGTGACCATTACATCTCACTGTTTACAGAGACGCAGCTTCAATCTTGTGTGACGCTTTTCATATTTTAAATAAAACATCAATAAACCACTTAGTTACTGTATATTTAATCATCATTATGTCGAGAGCTGCCCTCTGCTGTTTCTGTCCCAACCACACTTCAGTCTGTTCTCCCCGTTGGGACATTTGTCCACTGTTGGAAACGTCCTGCAAGAGAATGCTCTTCACGACCACAGAGTGTGCAGTATGCACGGATATATATATATATATATATATATATATATATATATATATATATATATATATATATATATATATATATATATATATATATATATATATATATATATATATATATATATACTTATAATTATAATACAACTAATATTATATTAGTTAATATGTACGTGAAATATGTATGGACAAATAAATACAAAAAAAAAAAAATATATATATATATATATATATATATATATACTTATAATTATAATACAACTAATATTATATTAGTTAATATGTACGTGAAATATGTATGGACAAATAAATACAAAAAAACTATCCAAATCGGCCCACTGCCCCCACCTGCTGGACGTCTCCACTCCACTTTTCACATTTATCGAAGTGATTTATTAAAAGTTTCGTTTAGCTTTTTTTTTCCCCCTCAAACACAAATCTGATTTTGATTAAATTTAACTTTAAAAAAAATCTTTTTATTGAAAGAACAAATCAGACAGGCTTACATATTTAGTACAATTTCAAGTATATTCATAAACAAAAGTTATACAAAAAACAAAAGAACAAAGAATAACAGAACAAGAACTTAGAAAGCCACATTACTGAGTGACAAGGGTCAGAGGTAAATTCACAATATTTTCAAATAACCAAAGTGCTTTCTTTGAATTACACAGCCTCAAAGAATCCCTAATAATTGACAATTAGTTCAGAAATATACTAAACAAAGGTTTTGAATGACTAAATTTGCATTTGTGAATTAAAAATAATGCCGTGATAATACAGTTTTTAATTGTATATTCTTTGTTTTCGTCTCCCAGTGACACCAAGTTTTATGTCATGATAAGTCCATAATATCTAAAAATATTTTTGAATGCACACATGTGAAAAAAAAGACGTTTGTCTGTTTCAATATTGGTATTGAAAAAAACATACATTATTGTCAATATTGAATTTGGACTGTAAAAAGTCTTTACACGGATATATATTCAGTAATTTAAATCTAACTTCTTTAGGTTTAGGTAGGATATAGGGAATTTGATGTAACTGCATCTGACAATCTTAATATTGTGTTTAATGAGATCCTTCATAACATATTGTCTTCTTAAAGGTAATGAAATATTTTTTGGATAATGCTGATCTTAAAAAAAATTATTACATTTTTTGTCCACAAAATTACAATTCTGAACAAGTAGCAAGTTAATGGATATATTTCCGGGACCAACTGTGTATACCTTAGAGATCCCTTAATCGCACAAACAAGCGCTTGTGGAATTATTAAATGTAACTTATCTTTGCTTTGTTTCGTATTTTCTGTGCTGTGGCGGAAGTGACGGATCAGGAAACGCCACAGCGCATGTTAGCATCATGGATGTATTATATGGTTAGCATTAGCATTAGCTCACGTTTGTAGTTTCAGACCTATTTTTCGTTTTCTTTGTTTAAACAGTCTATGGTTTAAACTCGTGAAATGTCGTCATCAGAAGAAAAGCACGGGACAAAGAGACGCGCGTCCCCTGGTCCTTCCCCTGGTCCCCCGCTTGGCCCTCTCGGTGTTCCGCAGGTTCGTGATTTGTGGAGACTTTGGCCCCGGAGCTAACGCGGCTAATGCTAATATTTACAAAGGGGACTTTGTAAAAGAAAAGGCCAGCATCATCTTAAAGCTCTACTACGTCACTTTAGTCGAAACAGTAACACATGCTTAAAGCTGGGGTACTTCGTTTTAGTGTCATTAGTTAATAACACGTGCTTAAAGCTGGGATACGTAAGTTTAGCTTCATAAAAAACAATCTATGTAAATAACGTGCGTTTAAAGCTGAGGGGTGTAATTTTAGTGTCATAGATAACATATGAAGTTGAAGTTAAACAGAGAGTATTTCATCTCATTATAAAACGTGTAATAAAGAGCTTTGTGAGTCACTATTTAAATCTGTGGTCTTAGAGATGGGGGTGGTCCTCTCTTTTTCTGTCTCTAAAGACATGATGGTGGCAACAATATATGATGTGAAAACGAGTGTTAGAAGCTGTTTAAGAGCCAGGAACTAGAGACATGAGTATATTAGTTTTACTATTGGGGTTTGAATGTTACGCACCCCAGAGGACAGCTGTAGTGTGTGTATTTGTCCACAGGGAGGCGCTGTGACAGCTGTAGTGTTTGGTTTTGTCCCATAGACTGTAAATATGAACAGACGTAGTGACGCCCATCTCCGCAGTTGAAACGGCCAACACTTTTGCCTCCTGCGGTCTTTTTAAAAACTGGCCGTGAGTATTGACACACATCTGGAAAGTAGCGTTGAGCCAAGAGCCGACTTTAGGACCAGGTTTTTTGAGAGGGTGAAAAAGTATCGTAAGGATGCATTGGATAATTCTATTTCCGGTACACCACAACTGGCAAGGAGTCGAGGGGGTGGGCCTGGGGGGGCAGGTTCCTTTTGAGCCCGGACCTGCCCCCACTGGCGCATTGTGCGCTCTGCAGAGGAAGTGATCGGCCGCAGCCTTCCATCGCTGCAGGACCTGTACGTCGCCCGAGCTCGAGGCCGGGCTGGTCGTATCACAGCCGACCCCTCTCACCCTGCACATGGACTATTCCAACCACTCCCCTCAGGCAGGAGGCTGCGGTCCATCAGGACTAGAACCTCCCGCCACAAGAACAGTTTCTTCCCCTCTGCTGTTGGACTCTTGAACACTTCTTAACCTGTCCCCCCGCCCTTTATAAAGTCACTTTACTGCCCATCATACGTCACTTTACTTCACTGTACTGCTGTCACCTTACATTGTGTGCACCATGTGCACTTGTATATTGTAAATAGTAACTGTAACTCTAGTTTAAATTTAAATGTATTCCTTAGAAGTGTTTTTTTATTCTTTACTTTTTATTATCTCTCTCTGACTGTTGCACTGAGCCAAAGTCTGTGACTTCCTGTTACTTATGTGGCAATAAAAATTATTCTGATTCTGGTTTGTCCACAGAAACTGACATCTATAGTGTGTGTTTTTGTCCACAGGAGGCGCTGTCGCAGTGGGACTCTGTGGACCTCGGCAGCAGCGAGCGGAAGCAGAAGTTCCTGCGTCTCATGGGAGCGAGTAAAGTATGAGATGTGTGTGTTTATGGTGTGTGTGTGTCAGATGTGTGTATGTTTATAGTTTGTGAGTGTGTGTGTGTGTATTTATAGTTGGTGTGTGTTTATTTTATTTGAGTGTGTTTTTACAGTGCGTTTATTTGGTGTTTTGTGTGTTTCCTCTTGTTCAGAAAGAACACACCGGGCGTCTGGTGATCGGAGAACACAAGTCCACATCTCTCCTGCGCTCAGGTGTGTGTAGAGTTAGCTCTAAACCTCATGCAGCTGTAGAGTTAGCTCTAATAGAGCTGCTGTTGCAGGTGTGGAGGATCGAAGAATGAACCGGGAGCTCGAAGATCAGTTTCAACAAGGACTCGACGGAAAACTATCTGGACGAAACAGACGTCACTGCGGCCTGGGATTCAGTGAGGTCAGACCAGACCAGACCAGACCAGAGACCAGACCAGAGACCAGAGACCAGACCAGAGACCAGACGTTTTTAGTTTTGTTTAATGAACATATTTTGCTGTTACAGGATGAAGAGGCACCCACTGAACCCACTACCTCAGAACCATCTCCTCAGGCCCAGAATAAGGACTCCAGAGTGGACTCTAGACCAAAGCCTGGACCAAAGCCTGGACCAGAGCCTAGACCAGAGCCTAGACCAGAGCCTGGACAAGATACCAGACCAGATACTAGACCTGAGACCAGTCTCCAGACCAGAACAGACACCAAACCAGAGACTCAAAACCAGGCCAAGCCAGAGCAGCGCAAACCCTTCAAGATGAACTTTGTGAAATCCACGTGAAGCAGAAGTTTTAGAGAGTGAGAGGCTCCGCCCACGTCACCTGATCTACAGACTCCGCCCACATCACCAGGGTTACAGGCTCCGCACACATCACCAGGGTTACAGGCTCCGCACACATCACCAGGGTTACAGGCTCCGCACACATCACCAGGGCTACAGGCTCCGCTCACTCTGGAGGCTAAGTGATGGTTAAGAATCTTGTGTGCAGTGGTTTGACCGGTTTTGCAATGTGATGTCAGTAATAACTACACGCAATGAGGTGTGAGCAGCACCCCCCTCTGGTGTCAGAAGTGTATAGTTACACCAAGTCTCCAGTGATGGACGTCCCTCATTTACACAGTGGAACGTGGGCAAACTCCACACCATGCACTTATTATAATGTGTCTCGATCGGTTGAAGGAGTTGTTAAAGCTGAAGTGCAAAAGGGTTTATAACGGGAGCCATGTCCTTTGGAACAGGAGCAGTGTTCTGTCGGAGGAACAAAAGCCGATACAAAGTGTTTTTTGTGTCTTCAATTTTTATTTAATAAAATGATAATTCAAATGTTTGACAGTCTGACCTTTGTAGTGGGTGCAGTGGTTCTACTTCTGCAGAACAAGAGCAACACGTGATCGTTCTGACCAATCAGAGCGCATATCAGAACGGGATGAGAACGAGTCGAATTTGTGGCATTTATATAAAACTGATGGATTTTTAAAGAAAAAAGTTAATGATACAAGAGACACTAAAATCCCCTGATAATCCTCCTTTGTGAAAGCTGTAAACTCCTTGTCAGCTGAGGATGAGTTGTTTTAGTGAACACTGAGGACTCATACAGCCTATGTGGACTGAGGCTGCAGCACCGCAGGTGGTCTCTAGGCCATGTGAAGACAGGTTTAAGCAGCAACATCCCCAAAATAACATCGTACATCCATGGCCCTGTCAGAGAGAGCTATGGGTGGAGTCAATGGCCCTCATTTAGGAAAGTTGTATACGGCCAAATCAGGATGTAAATGAGGTGTACGGAAAAGAATTACACTTTTCAGCATTCATCAATCTGGAAGTGGGTGTATGGTACGCACAAAATATACACAAGAGTCAAGAGCTGGTGTATTTTACACCCATCTCAACCTTCATCACAACACGCATAAAACAAGCATGAAATTCAACAATAAACATAATCCCACTATACAAATAGTATTTTTTCGACTTTCCCGAGGTCCCCAGGTCTCTGGTCGTCATGTCTCTCCCGTGGTCCGCAGGTCTCTCCCCGGGATCGGCAGGATCCTCGCTGCAGTTCTCTCCCGGGTCCTCGCTCAAAATATTTCGAGATTAATCTCATAATATTTCATAAATCCCACGCTGGATCTTGGACTATACACCCAAAATACACACCCTTTTCTGCGCAAGTTTCATAAATAGATAGATAGATACTTTATTTATCCCCCTTAGGAGAAATTGAGGTGTCCAGCAGCAACAGACTCTTTTTTTGTTGTTGTACAGTCAGTCAGGTTTGTTGTAGTCTGACAGCCGAAGCAACAAAGGATCTCTTGAAACGTTCCGTTCGGCAGCGTAGTGATAGGAGCCTCTTGCTTTGAATACTCCTCTGAGCGGCCATAGTGTCATGCAGAGGGTGTCTGGAGTTACCCAGGATGCCCTGCATTAGAGTCCACACTTCTCCCCATCACAAAGACACATTTCCTGATCAGCCTGTCGAGCCGGTTTCTGTTCTACGTCATGGTGCTACGTCCCTTAGCGTACTTCGCTAGTGGGATATCACCTGACCCCCAGGTCACACGCCAAAGAGATCAAAATAATTTGCTCCAATCACTAGCGACCCTCCTCTATAAAGGCCCCTGCACAAGGCCGCACCCCCTCTTTCACTCTGGCGCCGATTGAGATCTTACCTTACCATCGTACTTACTTCATGTCTGAGATGTCTACCCTGACTGCACGTCCGAGTTCCCCTTCGCCCTCCGGTGTCGGACGTCGTCGGTGCTCCATTTGTCGGGTCAGGCTTCACCGCACGGATCAGCATGCCAGCTGCTTTACGTGCATGGGCTCGGGCCATGCGGCGGAGAGCGCTAGCTGCGCCTTGTGTCTCGCTCTCCCCAGAGAGGAGAGTGAACGCAGGCGCACGTTCTACGCCGCTACGGTGCCCCGTCCGGACGAGATTGACTGGGCCCCACTCGACCTTCCTCCTGTGCCCGCGGAATGGGGAGACTGCGAGGTTGGAGACTCGGAGGACGGCTCGCTCATCACCCTGGACGAGGTGGTTTCCAACCCAGAGCCGGACCGCTTCCCGCTGGACCACATGCCGGGTCTCTACTCGTCCGCGGCGGCCATCATGGGGGCCCCCTGCCACCACAGCCAGACCGAGCGGTGGTGGACTTCACCTCCGTTGGCGCCGCACCTCGGGGGAGGAAGAAGAAGCAGCCCACGCTGTGCCCGCGAATGGAGCCGATCCTCCATTACGTGACGCGTGAGTGGTCCAAACCTCTGGCAGCCAAGAGGCCTGCCCTGGGTTATGGGATGTACTGCAACGTGCAGGACTGGTCCTGGGCCGGTGGTGTCCCGGAGATTGAGGACTCGGTTCGCATGGCCCTGCTCCCCTCCTCATCTGTGTGGCCCGGCACCACACCTCTCCTTCCCTCCGAGCGGGATAGGATGTCTGTGGCGCTGCTGGATAGATGTTACGCCAATGCGGCTCAAGTCGTCGCATTGGCAAACAACATGGCGTTCCTCACGGGGGCGCTGGATAGATTGCTCTCCGCTGGCCAGTCACTCAGCGGGGGCCGTCTTTTGGAGGCGAGGACCACCTCCGCGGCGCTCCTGCGCATGAGCCAGGCGTTTGCCGTGGATGGTGGCCGCAGCATGGCGGCAGCCCAAGTCGGGGTCAGGCACCTTTGGCTTGGGCTAGCTAACATCAGGGAAGCGGAGAAGAGACAACTTCTGGACCTGCCCGTCTCCCAAGATTCCCTGTTCGGCCCGGACATGCGGGCCCTGGTGGAGAGACTCAAGTCTGCGGCGAAGGATTCGGCGAGGCTAGCACCGCACCTAGCTCCGAGGCGCGAGACCCACCAGTCTTCCCGGAGCAGAGACAGAGGCAGAGAGCGCTCGCCCAGGAGGCGCTCCGAATCCTATCCTCGCTCCGCCACCCACCGTCTCCCCTCGACGAGACCCCCGGGCCCGGACAGACCCACGGGAGCCCCCTGAGCAGGGCGCGCAGTGCACTACGCGGGCTACGAGCTCCGGTTCTCTGATCCATGCTATGCCCTCCCAGAGAGAGGTCAAGCGGAGAGTGTTGGTGAGTAGAGGTGTGTGTACTTCAGCTAAACATGTGCTAGCCCCTCCTAGCTACGAGGCTAAGCACGGGGTTTCCCACTCCAGGCACGGGGTTTCCCATTCCAGGGGCTCGCCCCCCCTCCATGAGGCAAAAGCCCCCGACGTGACGCAGGAGGCCCCTCTGCCTTTTCGTTCACCCCCCCTCCCTGCTAGGAACACCAGGAGAGGGCGGGGCTGTGACGTCTCGTGTTCCAATTCCCGTTCTGCCCCTCATAGATTTCTACAACATCTGGAGGGAGCAGGGATTACTGTCAGACCCGTGGTTGGAGAAAACCATGCGCAGAGGCTACGCACTACAGTTCTCCCGGAAACCACCACCATTCCGAGGCGTACGGGCAGCAGGCTCTCAGGTACGGGGGTCATTAGTGGCACTGCAAGCGGAGGTCTCCTCTCTGCTGAGTCGAGGCGCAGCAGTAGAGATAGACCCACAGGACGCCACCAGGGCTGTACTCCCCTTACTTCTTGGTGCCAAAGAAGTCAGGCGGGGTGCGTCCCATTTTGCATCTGCGCGTTCTGAACGAGTGCATTTCCAAGCGTCAGTTTCGGATGCTGTCCACAAAGCAGCTTCTACAGTGTGTCAGGCAGGGAGATTGGATGTGCTCCATAGACCTGACGGACGCTTATTTTCACGTGGCGATAGTTCCGGAACACAGGAATTTCCTACGAAATTCGCCTCGGACATTCTCAAAGTGCGTGGAGGCAGCACTGGAGCCGCTCAGACGCGCAGGAGTAAGAATTTTAACCTATATAGACGATTGGTTAATACTGGCCTCCTCCAGAGAAGTGGCTGTGAGTCACACACACTGGGTCCTGTCCCACATACAGCGTCTGGGGTTTGTGGTGAAAAGAGAAAAGAGCAGGCTGCAGCCGGCTCAGCGCTTGATTTATCTCGGCCTGCAGCTGGACTCGGTGACGTTCAGTGCTGCATTGTCCGAGGACAGACGGAGGAGCATCACCCGTCTGGCAAAGGAGGTGCTGGCGGGTCCCAGGGTCCCCGCGCGGCGCCTCAGATCTCTTCTGGGGATGATGGCGGCGGCTCATACTGTGGTACGGTTAGGCCTCCTCCACATGAGAATGTTTCAGAGGTGGTTCTCACGTTTCAAGCTTCACCCCTCACGGGACGGGGGGAGGCTGATCTGGGTTCCCCAAATCGCAGCATCGGACATCAGGTTCTGGCTCACTCCGGGTCTGTTGCGGACCGGAGTGTCTCTGGTCAGCGCCGTGTCTCACGTGGAGGTGTTCACGGACGCGTCACTCGAAGGGTGAGGCGGGGTCCTCGGTCAGAGCTCCGTAGGAGGCTGCTGGTCGGACTCAGCCCGCCACATCAACCTTCTGGAAATGGAGGCAGTGCACAGGGTGCTGCTGCACTTTGCCCCACAGCTGCAGGGGAGGAATGTGATGGCTCGCTCAGACAACACCACGGTGGTGTCTTATCTGAACAGACAGGGAGGCACCAGATCCCCCGCTCTCCATCGCATGGCGACGGTGATTCTGCTGTGGGCAGAGCTTCACCTCCTGTCCCTAAGAGCACGCCACGTCCCGGGTGCCCGGAACGTGGGGGCCGACAGAATGTCCAGGGGGGGCCCACTCCAGGACGAGTGGATAACTGCAGAGATCTGGCGGAGGTTCGGCCGTCCAGTGGTCGACCTTTTCGCCAGTGCAGAGAACGCACAGTG